CGGCCCTCGGTACGGAGACCCAAAATAATAAGGGCCGACTTTTTTGAAGTGCAAATATTGCCGAAAATTGTTTCTTTGTGCACGGTGCCGGCATGCAATTTTCTCGAGTTGGGTCGCATTCTTGAATCGAGAAAAATGTAATCAAGACACTCTAACTCAAAACTACCGATAAGTTTTACCATCCACGAGAAAAAGGACCTTCCTGCCGAAGAACTTACACACGGAGGAAAAAACTTCGTGCATGGGACCCGAAGTTGAGGTTATATGGATCTCTGAAGTTTTCGGATCACGCATCCGAAAATTTGAGGTCCAACTGCCGAGGTTCGGGTAAGATATCTGAAGCTCTCGTTATGTACCGGAGTACTTCAGATGTGTGACCTGAATCCTTCGGTACATACCGAAGTACTTCAGAAGTCTGACCCGAACTTTGGCAGTTGGACCTCAAGTTTTCGGATGCGTGATCCGAAAACTTCAGAGATCCATATGACCTCAACTTAGAGTCCCATGCACGAAGTTTTTTTCTCCGTGTAAAGTGGAGATTTTTTAATGAATTCTCGTGCTAGCTGTTTTCTCAAAACAAGTCTTTTGAAAAAATAAACGATCCCTGGCGCTTCAAGTCCTACCGTCTCTGCATGTCCCATACTCGCGGATAACGGGGTTCCGCTGCATGACCTCGGGATATGCGTTTCCGATGACTGGCTATCGACATGCTACCGAGCTGTCCCATTCGCCGCTCAAGTTTGCTCATAAAAGAGGATTATGGGTAAAATTTTGACAAGTTCCCGTGCCGAGGGTGAGGGGTGACGAGAGGGAGGAGGGGAGGGGCGGTCATGAATTGAGAGTTTGAGCGGGACAGGGCGACGCGTCGGCGTCAAAGTCAATAAAGTCGGCGATCGAGTGGCGATGAGGTATTTGATTTGCGTGGCCGCCGACGCGAGACGCCCGCCCAGCGCAGCGTCGCGACGCCACCGACGCCCGTTGCAGCGCTGTCAAGTACGTGTATGTACACACGCACACACTGATAGCCCGCACCGCTCGGCGAGTGGCGTGGAAATATGAAGTGTCCACCAAGTCAGTTGCACTCAGAGGTGCAAAATTTCACTGTATTTTGACAAACGGTATTCACCGTTAAACTTTATGGAATGCAATTCCACCTTAACATTTTATTGGTATATTGTCATTCCATGTTTTACTCGCTTTTTTATTGATGTTTCACCGTAAAAATGAAGTTATGAATTTTCTGAAAACTCAATATGAAGATGTTGGAATCGGTTCTTGTGCTGGATGACATTGATTTTTTTTTACCATTTATACGAATTTATTACGACTATGATGGAATCGGGAGGTCATGAGACTCCTAGAAATAGTAAAAACTTGATTTGAAATCCTAAAGAAAAATACTGTTGAACTTTAGAATTCCTTGCCGAATACTTACTCCGTTACTTTTTATGGGACGCTCACTCAGTCCCTAAGAATTCTATAATTTCATATATAATATATATAAATATAATATAATATAAATATTTCATTTCAGCAAATGATTTGACCTGAATTTTCTTAAAACTTCACTTTGCATTTTCGGTTGCACTTCTTACAGAATCTTGTATTCTTGGTCGCAGATCGTAAAGTAGCAAGGAATAATATATCAAGTTGGTTCGACGTTCAATCGGATTATTCGATGATTTGAACCAATTACAGCCCTTTACCTTGATATGTGGATGGCACAGTTTGATCGTGTGACGTTAGCGAAGGAGATTCTTACCAAAACAACCAAAATCTCAGTGAGGTAACTAGGATTCCGGTTGTCGCCAAAGGACTCCGAGAGGAGACGAGAGAATCCCAGTAAGAGAACGTCCTGAGGGAATTCTAGGAGATTTTTCACCGTGCACCCTTCCTGTGATAATGGATCCGGAGGTATAAGAAAAATGTGCGGGAACGTATTGCAACGGTGTATGCGAGAATGACGCAATTGATGCAATCGAGATGCCGGAGCCCTTATCTATCGAACGGTTACCCCCTCCTCCCTCCCTCCGCCCGCCTGCGTCCAATCCAATTGAATCTTGGAGGAGAATGTAAATGAGCCCGTAAAATTGTAGCAGAGCCCGCGCCGCGTAATTAACCGTTTAATCTAATTTTACTAACTGGCGTTCCCTTAAAAGTAAACAACGGTTCTCTCGAAATCGTTAGCTTCGTCGCCCGTCAATCGACGCGCTTACGTGAGCAGCGGTTTCCTCATCGCATCGACCCGACGCACAGTGGGACGAGCTATTAAAAGTGGTCGGACATGAAATTTCTGACTAAAATTGCTAATCTTAATGTATCCTTTGTCACGATTTCGATTTCAAGCGGTGTCTCTGAAGGGAAATTTCACGAAAAAACCAATGGAGCCACTTTTATACCTCCTCGTCTTCTACTTTCAAAGATATAAGTTTTCAAATTTTGTCCAATTTCTCCCATCGACTCGTTTCAGTGTGCGACGATGCCGCCGACGTCGCGTGCGCTCCGTCCGAAAATCGCCGTCTAAAAATTGCTCGTTGCATCTCTATCAGAAACTAAGGACGGACAATATACGTATTAAAAAAACACTTGACCACAGGCAATATAATGAAAAACAACTTAATCGGCCCGGAACGATAATACAAAATCATCAACTTAAAATGGGACTGAGGCCGCAAAATAAAAAATAAAAAACCGGGACGTTTTGCAGAGTACCATAATAACAGCGCGGTGAGGCTCAGTTTAAGTTTCAGTTTTAATTTTTAATTTTGTATTTTCCAGTTTTAATCGCAGTTTTGATAACTGAGAAACGTCCAACTTTTTTATCCTTTAATCTGCAACCTTAGTCCAATTTTATCTTATTAATTTTGTATCGGGCAAAACATGTATGATGGCGTCAGAAAAAAATCTGCATCACAGTAAATAATCATTGCTCAGTACAACGGTAAAACCTATGTGGACTTGGAGTGTCATAACGCCTTCACTTCCATGCGTATGCAACACAGACGTCCGAGGAGCGCGATTAGTCGCATCCAGGCGTTAAGAAATTCGTTCAATATTCGTCGCATACGGTTCTAACTGAGGAACGCTTTCCTTGTTTCTAACTACAATACCGGTTGCCTACCGTATAGGTACCGATGAAGTAAACTGTTGCTAATTTTTATCGCGGAGTCGTCAATTTTCTGAAAAATGCATCGACTATATCCTGTGTTGATTTTTGTAATAAAACGTTGACGGTCTTGGAAATTGCAAAAAAATTAGGTATGAGCACAGGTAGAGGGTCGAAAACTTCGGTGATTTTTCGCTCCATGTATGTGAGAAATTTTCTGGCAAAATTTCAAGCTATGATCTTTTTGTAAAAAAATTAAAAAGGAGCGGAGATTTTGAAACACCACAACAGAGATACGCATCTTTGCAGTTTCTCCGTCGATTTTGCATTGCGCTTTGCAGAAATCGCGCAATTTTCAGGACGGCCAAGTAATCAGTCATGAGTTTGTCGGAATCATTCGAATGAATGTACCGCAATGTGGGTTGATAAACAATCAAATTTAAAAAATTACGACTTGAGCAAAGACCTTTAAGTCTTATTTTAAACTCCTATTTTCAGTGTAAGAACTCGGCATCTAGAAAATGTTGACTTATAGCTGCTCGAAGGTAACTTCTATCTTGCCGGCAGATATCGCAAGGGCAGTTACAGTTATTTCCTTGTCACCCCACGCCCATCTTTACTCCATGTTCACATCGCAATTTACCCGTTTGGACGATTTCAGCAAAAGAAAGCTGGACTATTTGAGGGACAAAGTCGTCAGTTGGTCGGATAGAATATCCGCACGGTTCAGAGGGAATCGATGTGGGTTTGCTTTTTTTACGAACTCAGTCCTACTCCTGAGCAATCTGAAGAAGCGAGGACATCATCACTTTGATTCGCAGTGACCGTAATTTGGTTTTCCTTGCGGTGAGCACGCGATCAGAATAAAAAAGTCTCATTACTTGTTACCGGATGATTTTTTCGCAAAATGCCATCCCCCNGTAAAACTAACAGAAACGATTCGAAAAGTGTTTTATGAACTCAAGAACTTAATAAAATGTAAACATATCTTCAATTCCATTGGACTGCAGCCGGTCTTGGGGGAGGATTCGCCTAAATTTTTCAGAAAGAAAATTTTCCAGGCAAGAATCCTTGTCAAGATGGGTTAGAAGACCGATTATTTAAATTCTGGTGGTCTCTGATATCCCAAATAATCATATGCCCGCGGTATACTCATTTTCATTTCTATGGAGGGCATACAATTTCATCATAATTCGACAATTTTTAAGGTCCGATCATTACTGATGAAACTCTCGATCGTTTTATCTCGAAACTACAATTTTGAGCTACAAACTTCAAATTTTCTCAAAACCACATCGTTGAATAGCATACTTCGAACCGCCATAATTCCGTATTGGTACGACACTTTCCGCCGTTTTCTAAGCCAACATTTTTACATTACTAAACAATCCATCGTAGAAATGATGCCAGCTTCGCAATGGTTAAATTGGTGTATCATGGTGGCTTTCTTTGGATAAGGTTACTTTTTTCTTTCTTTCTGATTTTACCTTTCTTGCTGAAATAGATAGATCGCGTTAAGCAGAAATGAACCAAGCCACTACATCAGCTATTGCCAAATTTTATTGGACAATTTAATTTTATATGTGAAAACGGTTGGAAGGATTTTTGTACAAAATTATTTAATGAATTTTCTACACAGTACGACGCATATTCCTTAAAATTGTCAAAATAATCTGCACAAACGTTCTTTTGTAAAAAATTAAATCGCCCAGGTAAATTTGGCAATAGCTGACCTGGTTTGATTCCTTTCCGCTAAACCCGGTCCAAATTATAACCCAATTATCCGGTCCGATTAGATTTTGTTTCAAATGCATGCGTATCAGAGCAATGATTTTATCTTTCAATGTATCTTTTTACCGTATTATAAAGATATACTTTTTTAAACTTGTTTCAGTCATATCAACAAAACGACAACTTATGAGGACCCACGCCCTGGCTACAGAGATGAGCCGGCAAAACCCCGCACGGTTCATCTCACCAGAGACGCTGAGATGGGCTTCGGATTCGTCGCCGGTAGTGAGAAACCCGTCATCGTCCGGTAAGTATTCCTTCAACTCAATCCGACAAAGTATATCGAAAAATAAAACATTAATTTCATTGAAATCAAATGTGAATTCATTCTTCTCCGTGAATGTCGCGCCATTATCTTCATGGAGGATTTCACCCGGCAAGTCTCTGTTGGAGTTTGGATATATTAGCGCCTACAAGACTGTTTAAATACTTCACACATCGCGCCAAATAACACGGTCGGCGTGGCCGCATATTGGCGCCTACAAGACTGCGTGAATACCTCACGCATTGCGCATTTACTACGGTGCGCGCTTTAGTCGCTGAAAATACGCTATTTCTCGATGCCGGACTTACCACGGTGTACACAACTTTTGACCAGTACACACCGGAAGCCTATATACGTAGGATCGAGGAATTGCAGAGATTTTGTACCCCTTGATGGTACCTTTGTCAATTGAGTCATTGATAGCGGAATCCGTCCGTCTTTTTCTGATCGAAAAGAAGGAAATCGGCCGGTCCCTTGAGTTTTCGTCATAGGGAAAGATTACTGTATTTTATTTTAATGTTTTTAAATGATACACGACTCTCCTTTTTTCTCTGAATTCTATAATTTAGAATGTTCGAATCACGTATTTTGCCTCAATTTTTCTCTTCCATGTTTTTCACAAATGAAGAAAGAAAGGAAAAAAACTGAGGTTTATCTGTGATTTTGAGGAGGAGGAGGAGGAGGAGGAGGAGGAGGCGTCATAGGAGCGTGACTTATTTTAAAGGGGTTATAGATTTGCGTTACAGGGGAGGTAGAGGGTAAAACAATATCTGATTTTTAGCGTCATGTATTTTGTAAGTGAGCCTTAAGCGACTTTGCAATCTGGTCAAGAGGGCAAGCTTTGCGAAAGTCTGCTTCGAACTCGAGCGACCAATTTAACTCCCCGGCGATCAAATTGCATATCCGACGAATTGAAGGGCCTTTTCAGTTATTGCGAAGCGAGAATGTAACGGAGAACTACAGCTTTAACCTTGAGAAACTATTTCAACTCCGTGGCGATCGCACTGCATTCACAACGAAATGAATGAACTTTGAGACAGTTGCATAGCTGGAATATGACCGGAAACTAAAGTCCCTTTAAACTTGATCGACCCTACTTCAATTCCCTGGAAATGTAATCACATATCTAATAAAATGGAGAAACTTCGCGTTGGTCGTGAAACTAGAATGTGACAGGAGACAAATGCAAAGGCCTTGTCACACGAGCGCAGTTAGGACGAATTAATTCCAGGAACTGGAGGCTCCAGGGATAAGTTTTAGGTAAGTTTTAATAAGTTCCTGGAATACGTTCGCCCGAAGTTCCTCGTACCGCGCTCGTGTGGACAAGGCCAAAGGCTTAAGTAGACATGTAGATCCATAATTTTACAATATCGATGGCCTAAGTGCGAAACTACGCATCTCCGATCGCGACTTTGCAGACTACCTGTCATACTGATTTTTTTCTTTGGGAAACCAGTCAATCTCTGGTAAGATTTTTTGATTATTCCTCTATATGAACAGAATATTCTGTATAAGTAAATTTCAACTTGAAAAATTAGTTTGTCTCTCTTCGAAAAAGTAAAATAGGAGCAAAAACGCGGTGGCTACCGTCAGTTAAAACCGGAAAATATCAGGAAATTCGATGTTCTTAGGAGAAATCAGGACTTTCTGAGTGTATCAAGTATCTTTTAAACATTTAATTCATTTCTTATTGATGATTTTTTAAATCAAACAATTGTGTCAAATTCATTCGCACGAAAAATCAATAAATCTCGTGTAAAATATCAGGAAAAATCAGGAAAATCCAAAATTAAATTTTAGTAGTCACCGTGGGAAATTTTGAAACGTCGCAATGGAGGTACGTATTTTCGCACTTTAGCAATCGATATTGATGATATAACTCGAGGATAAGATAATTGTATCCGATTCGTCAAATATTTTCCTGAAAAATTCTCATCCTATTGATTGGCGATTGCGTGTGTTTTCAATTGTAGATTCGTGACAGAGGGTGGTCCGAGCGAGGGGAAGTTGGAGCCCGGTGACCAGATACTCAAGATCAACGATGAGGACGTGTTCTCAGCACCCCGCGATCACGTCATACAGCTCGTGCGTGCCTGCGCATCCACGGTCTGTTTGGTCGTGTGCCAACCGCTTTATGATAGTGTAAGTGCCTTTTCCTTTTCACCGCCGACAACCTCCCGCCTTTCTCCCATTTTTGACCGTTCCTTTTTTCAAAGGTAATTTATGAGAATGTGCGTAAACCAATGTCCACGAGAATAGGATCTGTATCCATGGAGCCGGAATTTTCACTTGAGCGTTATTTGTCGAGTTAGGTCGGGAAATGGGATTTTGAGATATTTTGATAGAAAACGCGTACTCTTATGTCCTGAAGATAAGCTGCCAGTTGTTTTTTAAATTTTTCGTGCCTAAAGAGGGCTTCAAGTTGCGTTAGGTTTTATTTAATACTAGGTTTTTTTTTTGGGGGGGGGGTGTTAAATTATATGATTACTACCTCTACACCCCTAAAACTGCGCACACATTTGGAGCAGTCTCCTCATAAGTAGAAAAAAGTATAGAAAATAATTGAATTTCACACCTTTTCTTATTTCAGCTTAGCTCTCTCGTCTTTAAGCGTTTTAGATCACGGAATTCTAGAGGTTAATTCCTCTCAATTACAAAAGGGAAAGTCACAGACAGAATATAATGTAGGTATCTATATGAACAGATGAAACTGAGACGATGACTATACTTTTCAAACACTCTTCTGGCATCGAGCCACCCCTTTGTTTCTCTAACCTTGAGTCTCTTTTAGCCAAAGCATCACAACAACTTACTATAAATTGTAAAGTGTGGGAGTAGTGTAATTAGAATAGTGTAACTATATTTGCGTGTGTGAGTGTAAGTATCTTACACTGCTGTGGGAGTTACGTGACACTTGATCTAAGTGGCGCGAATTTTAGATTTGCGGGTTTTTTTCGAATGTGCCGCGCACTTCTCAACCTACTTAAGGTTCATTTTTTTGGTGATTTTGTTCGGTTTGTGCCGTATTCCCTATCTTTTTTGAAGAAACATTTAATGGTTATTTTCCAGACGGCGAGAAAATCGGCGCTTCTTAGTTCAGCGAAGAAAGCCAAGCTGAAAACGAATCCCTCCCGAGTGCGATTTGCAGAAGGAATAGTAATTAATGGGTCCCCTCTTTTTCCTGTAAGTATTTCAATTTTTGAAAATTTAATAGAAGTTTCCTTTTTGCCCCCTTCAATTCACTGAATCCTAGTAAAGTCGAAAGTATTTCAACAGCTGCTGCCAGAAACTTTCTACATCTTTTAAATATGCCTCTAAATTTCTACATGCTCCGGAGTTCGGGGGAATTGAATCAGGCTTTTCCATCAATTATTCAGCAATTGAGTAAGAGCGAGCTTCGCAGTAAGATTCTACTAGGGCCAGCAATAAATTCCTTTTATTTTGAATAAGTAAGCCAGTCCTTAGGTTACGCGTATCCTGACGGGCTCTTATTGAATCAAATTTTCTTGGGAACATCAGGAGTGTTTCCAGCCATTCATTTTGTATCAGATATTCTTCTCCTTGCCTTAGGGTCGTATTATAGTACTTTCAAGGATAATTGGAAAGTACATGCATCAATAATCTATGTATTTAATCCGTCAATTTTATGAGGGAAAATGCACTAAAACTCTCTACACCTCTCTGGTGCAACACTGCAACAGGACATAATTATCTGTCAAGAAAATCCCATTTTGTTACACCTGAACAGGATAAACCGTTAGATTTGCCTCAGCTAAAGGCTCTTAGATTGTTTCTGAGTACGATTACTCGGCGACGGCGTGGCGTGCTGCGGCGCTTCGAGCTACTATTTTGCTCTGAGATGTCGCACAGTATCATACGAGATTGAAGGCACCCCAAGGTATCATGATTGATGAAATCTTTCAAAAGCACGTGGCTCCCTCGCAAATTGACTCGAGTGACCCTGACAAAAAGGAGGCGGTAGTCGAAAAACTTACTTAGTCCTAGTATCCGTATTCAATAACGTTTATGATTTTTGAACTTCATTAGAGGAAAAAGTGACATGATGCAAACAGAAATAATAATAATAATACCTATCATCTTTTATCGTAAATTTGCACAGAGGCTAACAAAGCGTCAACTTAGAGACTATTTACAAAAGTTGAGTACAAGAAAATTACATGAAAAAAATAGATGAAAAATTGTTTATGGTTACGAGGCTAAAAATTCATCAGCCACCCTAGATATTTTTGAAGCTTTACCTTAAAATTTATTTCTCCACTTCCCTTTTTCAAGTAATCCGGTAATTTTTCAAAAAATGTGTTCAAATTTACCGCCGAGAAGATTTCCTTTTGAATCAATTAAGAAAAGAATGCGTGTTTAAAGCATGAAAGATTCTTATATCAAGAGAAAAGTCACTTACATCAAACAGAAACCCGCTTTCACTCAAGGATTTTATTCTTGATTCAAAATAAAATCTTCGTGACGGCATACTCAAGAATGTGTCTGCCTAAATTGAGTCACTTTTTCTCTAACAAAATTCGAAAATCATGCCAAACGCTATAAAAGACGGATGCTAGGACTTTGTGAGTTTCTGGACTACCGCTCTCTTTTTGTGCCGAAGTATCTTGATTTATTTTGCGGGGAAATCTCCGTACTTTTAAAGGATGCCTGTCATTCTTAATATGCTAGAGTGCCTTCAATTTCGTATGTTACTGTGCAACACCTCTGTTGTAAAATGCCTAGTTGCTTGAGGCACCGTGGCACGCTGCGGGCGGCCGGCCAGCGCGTAACGCGCATTGGCGCCTACAAACCTAAGGTGATACTTCAAGCATTGCGCAATGCGTGAAGTATCCCCTTAGGTTTGTAGGTGCCTATGCGCGTTACGCGCTAACCTGCCGCCCGCAGCGTGCACGGTGCCTCAAGCAACTATTTCACAACAGAGGTGTTGCACAGTATCATACGAAATTAAAGGCGCTCCAGTTGCGATTCAGTTGCTTATCAAGTAACTAACGTACTTTAGACTATCAACCATTATCTTTTTTCATTTCCTTCTGTAATATTCTTTGTTTCTTCTTGTGTTTTACAGACGTCAACATTCATTAGTGATTCAAATGTGCCGTTGATGCCAAATGTCTTAAAAGTGTTTTTGGAAAACGGCCAGACTAAGTCTTTCAAGTATGATGCAAATACAACAGTTCAAGATGTGATCACCTCTCTGCAAAGTAAATTATGTCTACGTGCAATAGAACATTTTTCCTTGGTTCTGGAACAAGTCAAAAGTCTTCGTAGGAATAAATTAACGTTGCTCAATCCTGATCACACATTAGCCAGAGTAAGTTCAATTTTGTTCTTTGCAGCCTCATGTTTTTCTTTGCAATGAGGTTAAAGTTTAAATTAAGTAACTTAAGAACCATGAGATTTTCAATATTTTAACTTTCCAGCCTGCTTTGCAGTGGATTTTTATCAAACTTCAGGACTTGGTTAAATATGTAGAACCCTCTAATTTTAAATTGAAAAATTAGATAAAGAGGAAACTCTTTCTAATGCCATCGTAAAATATTATACTCTGCAAGCAATGACAGTCTCTGTTGTACAAAATTAAAGTTTTTCAATTATTGAAAAGATTTGTTACATATATAGCAAGTATTTTATTATACACACTGTGATGATTTGGTAGATTATTTTATTTTACAAGTCTTTTATACTCATCAAAGGGGGGAAAAAATTTATGAGAGGGACAAAATGTAAGTATTGAGTACGACTTTCCTAAGGCACAAGTTTAGCAAATGGCATATCCTTTCAATCACATCAAATATATAAAAACGTAATTGATTTTATATTTTTCTCAAACTTCCTCAGATTGCTTCCAGACCCGGTTCTCACAATTTGCGTTGTTTGTTCCGAGTTGCTTTTGTTCCTAGAGATCCTTGTGAATTAGCTCAACAAGATTTAGCTGCCTTTGAGTATTTATATATGCAGGTAAAAATTTGTCATTAACATTTTCATATAGAAAATTCTAACACTTCTATTGTAAAATCAAGACCTCAAGTATTTCAAAAGTGTTTTTCAAAATTTGTACTGGTACCTATCTTATTTTTCCAACGAAATATATCATAGGACACATTTTCACAGAATCTTCAGGTGATAATCTCAAGTGAAAAGAAATTACACATGAAATTTCCATGATGATACTACATGGTACCTACAGGTGTGGTGCATGCTACATTAGATACATGTAAATCTCTCAAATTAAAGTTTATTGAGCTGGCTTTTACACATTACACTTTGTTAATGATCAGCACTAGACGGTACCTCCATAAAAGTCTAAAAAAGGAAATTGCTGCACTATTTTTTTCATTCAGTAACAAGTATTTTACAATTTTTTCTTAAAAATATTTAATTTTTATGTGTCTCATTTTCAGTGTTGTAATGATGTGGTTCAAGAGAGGTATGCTCCTGAATTGAAGTACGATATTGCTCTACGTTTGGCTGCACTACATATTCATCAGCATGCAGTCTCTAATAACATTCCTGCCAGCAAAGTTACCGTAAAAGCAATAGAGTAAGTACCTCACCAATTTTCTTAAATTTTCATGGTGTCTAATTTATGATCTCTCAATAACAAACTCTATACATTTATAAGTAAGATTGTATGTAGTCTGAAAGAAAAGAAATAAATGATAAACAAACATTTTTCTTTTGTTATTTTAGCAATTTATTTTTGGCAATAATACCTGTTGATCACCAGATCAGTTTTAAGTATTTAATATTTATAAGGAGAAGACGGAAGGATTTTCAATTTAGTTGGTAAAAATTTTCATTAATTTATAATTATTCATCTTCAAAAGTCTGAAATAAATGACAAACAAACATTTTTCTTTTTGTCATTTTAGCAAATTATTTTTGGCAATAATACCTGTTGATCACCAGATCAGTTTCTAGTATTTAATATTTATGAGGAGGAGATGGAAGGATTTTCAATTTAGTTCGTGAAAATTTTCATTAATTTATAGTTATTCATCCTCAAAAGTTTTTGCTAAAGAAAACACTCAGAGCTTAACTTTCAAAACAAGTTCTAGTGTCTGAATTTTATCAGCATAATATCAAATCATTTGATTATGAATAATAACAAAAAATTATTTTATTTCCTCAGACGAGAATTCGGCTTAGAAAAATTTGTGCCTATGTCTTTAATGGAATCAATGAAAAGGAAGGAGCTGCGGAAACTCCTTACTCATTTACTTAAGCTCAATCAGACAATGACCGGTTCCGCTAACAAAAGCTTAACGAGTCTTCAAGCAAAACTTTACTACCTCACCATCATCACAGAACTTCCTAGTTACGGAGCCAAATGCTTCTCCACAAATATCAGGGTAAGTTGATAAGAAATCCATTTTCTCGTTTCGCCCTTGGTCTTTTAAAGTTTGCAACTTCTAGTGGATCAGAATTTTTCACGGAGAGACAATTCAGTATTTAATTGCTGGTTAAGATGCGCCTCTTCTATTTGATCCCCATCTCTGCATCAGGGTAAATTTTTTAAACCTCAATTAATCTTTAAATTTTACAAACAGCTTGCTTCTTGGCCTAATTTTAATGTGCAGATTCAGGAGGAAGACTGGAGAGTTTTAGGAGGATTGTAAGAAGAACACGGTCCTCAACATGGATTCATTTTTTCGCGCCTTTATATTTCGTACTAGCAAAAGTCATTCAAAGACCCGCACTACATATGAGTATTATACCTAAATTGCATCTTTTTAAATATTAAACAATCAATAGACACACAAACCATTGTTATGCACAGGCAAAAGCTACACCCATTTTTCCTTAAACATTATGAGCTAAATCATTTTTGCCCCTCGGTTTTTATGACTGCATTATGAATTATTAACTCTATTCCTTTTCTGATGTTGGCTGTTGTCGAGAAGCTCTTAGGGGAAAAGTGGATTCAATGAGATTGCATTAACTTGAGTTGGGTTGGGAATTCTCAATTGAAGCTACAATGACTGTCGTAACATCGTCAAGTTTTGATAGAATGAATAATTATCGTCCCTAATGAGAGTATAAGAGTTGATCTATCAATTTTAATCGTCTTTCTAAACTGCAAGCTGTGTGGATACCTCTGTTATCCTAAGTGTCTATCTAATTTTGTGTTTCCGTGTTCATGCGTACCTTCTACTTATTTCAATGTTATTATTTTTCAGGATTGTAATGCAGAAACTGTCATATTAGTTAGTCCAAAATTGGGTATCAGTCAAATTAATGGTCTCAGAAATAGTATGGTAAGTAAAGAATCATTCTTTTTTTTTTTCCTGTAGAAGAATGTATGATATAGCAATGATTAATTTTTTATTCCAAGTTGTATTCTTTATCTTAGCTACATAATTTTGTTTCAATTGCGAAAACTCTGAAAATAAACAAATACGCAGACTAATAAATGATATGATGGATTCTTCTGTTACAGCCTGTGCCACTAGCAGATGTAGAGCAATTAAATCTAGTTCGTGTTAGGAGAGATGATCAAATATCAAGCACTCTAACACTTTACCTTCCAACTGCCCTTCAAAAGGTAATCTTCGCATATTGTTTTTAAAATTTTTTCAGGAGGGAATCAGTTCATAAGTTTAGCAACCTTTAAGTACCTTTAGTCGATACATGCAAGGCATTATCTTAAACAACTACCTACCCGATCGAAGTTGCAATTTGATCGGAAAATATGTCGCGATTTCTTAGACATGTATTTATTACAATACCTATTATCAGATGAAAAATTGCAATAAATTGCAATTTCATCACATAAATTTGCAATTAAATCGCGATTTTATCGATGGCAATTTATCACAATATTATCGAACAAAAAATCGTGAGAAATTGAGATAAAATTCTGATTTCATCGAACTCAATTTTATTTCTATAAATTTGTCTTAGGTCCTCAAGATCGAGGACAATCGTTTAGATGAAGTTGATGATCCTAGCAATTTTATCTCTAAAAAATATCATTTAAATCGCAACTTAATTTCAAGATATCGCGATTTTTCTGTTGAAAAATGCTAATTGGCTATATGATATCGAGCTAAAATTGTATTTTAATTAAATTATTAATTTAACAAGTCTGAATGATTAATTGATTTCAGGAGGTAACATTTAGCATGGAAGATAGAGATGCAGAAGAATTAGTTCTAGTGCTTCAAGGTTACTACCGGCTCCTAACAGACAAAGAGCTACCCATTGAGCAAGAGAAGGAAACTTGGTCGCACGATATAGGTGAATAAACATAATAATTCTCATAATCTTGTGAATCTTCATCTAAATATTTTTATAAGTAAATAAATAATTGCATACATAGTTAAACTTGACCTCAACAAGTAAGATAGAATCTGTTTGTATGGAAGAAATTTTGTTTCAGTTTGAATATATTTTCATAACAATTTTCTATGAAGGGCAAATAAAAAATTATCTTCTAATTCAACAATGTGAATACCAGGTCTCAGAATCGGTAACTCTTCTATTCAAGTGAAAAATAACACTATTTGAAAAATGTAAAACTCTTTCATGTGAGAGTGATACTTTTTTTCACAAACTAGCAATTTAAAGGCTTCTCTCCAGGCACAAACTAAGCTCTTAAAGAAGATCGTCTGTATCTTTTCCAGCCCTCTTGTTGGCCAACGGTGCAAGTCAGGGTAATCAATTAGCCTCTTTGAAGCCGCTACTTTGCTAGTGGAGAAGAGCCCTATAAACGATTTCCGGAAAAAACTTCCCCCTTCTGTCTTTTAGTAGTATAAGTATCAGCCATCATAAAATTGAAAGTATACCAAATCTAATTCACTCCGGCCATTATTACTTAGATTGAAAGCAAGGAATACACATTGGGAAAGTAAGAATTCAAAAAAAAAAAAAAAAAAAAAAAAAAAAAGATTTTTCAACATGAAGCACATTGTTGTAGTTATAATCTAATTAAACTCAGTTCATTCTTTTCCTCAAGATAATGAGATTTTTTTCTCTTTTGACCAGCTCCACTTTATCACTCACAACATGCTGTTAGACCAGCCAGGTGGAGTTACGCCACTGGAAGTGATTCTGAGGATGAGAGACTGACAAGCTTTGCCATTAATCCCCCTTACGCTCCGAACAAACAATCCGGTGTAAGTATTTCCACTACTAACACCTAGATTCGTAATCCCTCAAATGATGTCATGGAACAAAAGATGGTCATCAGGTTTAATTTCCTCTTTAATGAAAAAGGAAAAAAAACAGGAAAGATTTAAGAAGAATGATGATGAAAGGTATCAGTTCAAAACAAGTCTGAAGTAGAAGAGAGTTAAGAGGTGACAAAGTACCAAGAGTGTAAATTGATACTCTTGAAGTAAAAAAGACTGATGAAAAAACAAGGCAGTCACATTTAAATGCATGCAATTTAATGGAAGGACGAAATATTTAGTTTTGTGTGTGAAAACTATTCGCATTTTTATCATTTTAAGGATGCATTGTATTTTTCTCATGAGTGTTGATTGATCTCAACATAACTTATTTGGACTAATGTAATTATTCCTGGCAATATGATGAAAACATTCAGTTCCATTGATTTCCCAGAGAGCTCGCAAAAATATAATTTCAGGAAGTATTCAATTAATGACAATTTACAATTTTCCTGAGAAAAGCACGTAAAATTTCATAATAAGTACCTAATATTTGAGCTCTTAGAAACAAATCTACCCTTCCACGTTTAACTGAAAAATGGGCCCTCGAATTTTCATCAGCTTCATATTTTTTTTTTTTTTTTCAGAATAATGTGAGTAAAGTTGGGACAATTATTAGGAAAGACTCAAAAACAAACACAGACAAATTAGATCGCAATATGAATAATATGTAAGTATCTGTTTCATTTCCTTACTTTATTTCTTGCCGTTGGTCGTCAGTTGTTAAAATGTTCAGTATATGAGGAGTAAAAACCTTTATCTCCTCATCATTTATCAAGATGATCGAATCTGAAGCCTCAAGTTTTTAATGATATTATGATGAGTTAGTGAATGAGAATTTTAAATTCTGACCTATGAATCCCATGTTTCAGAATGGCTCCTCGGAGCATGCTGAAAAACTTGGCGACCACCGTTGTGGGAATAATCATTCAAAAATCACTGTGATTACTAAAGCGTTTTGCATTTGTCTTTCCCTAAATGTGGGATTTGACATCCAGGGACCTTTTCAGTAGGCATAGCAACTCAGTTTTTTTCTTTTCAAGAATTTTAAACAATTTTTCCAAAACCCATCTGTTAAAATTTCATGAAAAGGGACCAAGTCATCCACAGCCTCGTCCACTCATCAGGCCAAAAATTGCATACATCAAAGTATTTCCTCTTAGTATTGCCTATTGAGAAACTGTTCAAAAGTTTTGTTTCCAAATTGCTCTAAAATCAGAAAGTATTACTCATTTGTGGGTGAAATTTTTGAGAGTTATAAGAGAGAAATACAATTTTAGAGTTGAAAGATATTTGTGGATGTCAGATGTACTATTATTATTTTTTTTTTCCGCAGGTCTCAGAAAATAGAGGATAGAAATGGATTGTGTGATAAAGATTTTAAAGTTAATCCTGTAAATAAAACCGGTATCGACCTTCAAAGTGTAGTATCAATGGAAATTTTAGAAAGTGAGAATGCGTTTGAAACCAAAAATGAAGAGGTAAGTTTTGCTGACTTATGTAAAATTTGGTTTGATAAGTGCGCTGTAATAAGATTTGGTTTGACGAATTACGGCTCATCAAAACACAATAAAAAATAAAAAAAAATTTGAATTTGCAACATTCTTTTTTAAAAAAGGAAGATGAAAAATAAAAGAGATTGAAAGAAGATTTGATTAAACAAGAAAATTTCTAGGATTTTTCAGAGGATGGGATGCTCTTCTCTGAACCCCTTAGAATTACCCCTCTTTCAGAGAATGATGGAAGATTAAAATCTTACCTTGGCATACGTGTCTAATTTTTTGTTAGAAAAAACAAGCTTTCGAGGAATTTTTAAGGAAATTTAAAATTTTGGTACAGCTTATAGACAAAAGCACAAGCAAAGCAAACTGCTTTCAAAAATGGCGAGTCTGATAATGAACAGCGCAGAAGAAAGACAGCAGTTTTGTTTCCTTTATTTGCAAGGAACTTCTCATGAAGTCTAGATTTATGTGCTGAATGCCCTTGTTCCTTCTCTCGTACTTTCAATAAAAATGGCATCACCGCTTGTAATTTACTGGCATTACATAGTCCCATTTCTTTAAAACCTCAGAGCAGCTTTCCGGACTTGAGCGGAAGATAAAGTTTGGCTAGCAAAACCTCTCTAGAAAAAATTCCCCTCTTTTTTCAACCTTTTAGTTTTTTTCCCTTTCCTCCTGCAGGTATTAAAAAGAGTCGCTGAGATGCAAGCCTTAGTAGAGAACTCAGAGCAATATTTAACAAAGCATCAAAGGGAATCGAGTGATAGTGACACATCTCATGTCTCCTCTGGACAAGACTCTGATACAGCTCCCGCACCAGGACAGTTGAAGCACAGCGATTCACTTCTACTTCTTACTCAGGTACTCCTCATACTCCTGTGCTCTTAGTATAACAAAAAAAAATAATGCAAATTTTATTTTCTTCGTTGAATTTTATGCAAGACATTATCTTGACTTACAACCAACTCTAGGAAGTATTGAAAAAATCTCAATCCAGGCAAAATGGCAAAATATAGACAAAGTTCCCTCTAATGCATGTCTTGCTAATTAAGATATCTGAAGCAGAAGAGGAAAACATTTTATTTTGGGTGCAATTTTTTAAAGTCGCTTTTTGTTGTGGTGCTTGTGTCATTATTTTAACGTGAAGTAATTTCATTAAGCCTCCCTGATGGAGCAAACAAAAATAAATTATTTCTTTAAAAAATATGTAACTATCCTCAAAAAAAGAAGTCAAATCAAGGAAAGAGAAAAAATCCTCCATGGACGAAGGTTTTTCAAGAGAGCTGTTTTCATCAAGTTACCATCCTAATTCCACCTTGGTTTGACATTTTGGTGCATTTTTGGCCTCTTTAATGTCTCAAAACACGCCTCTATGCAGTCGTAGTGGCATTATTATCTCAATTTTGAGTTTTTTGGCACTACAACTGATTTTCTTGAGGATAGTCCCATAGAAATAAAATGAGAAGATAATGGTGGTGACCCGTCTAGAATTATGTATGTTAGTCAAACTTAAAACTTCATAGTTGACCCCACTGGTGAAAATGAATATTGTTTAACACTCAATATTTTTTTCTCCCAAAATGTTTTAAAATTAAGAATTGGTGATCTTCATTCATTCCTGTTAGGAAGATTTAAAAATACCGTATATGTACTTTGAAAGACTTCATCTCTGAAGTTCGAAGGTATTCATTTTTGGACCTTTTCAGTGCAGGACATTTCAGAATTTATCATTTACTTTTATGTGGAAAATGTCTCTCTCCTGTCCTTCATCTATCATTTCATATCTCTCAAGCCGCACCAAAATCATCTCCATTACAGTGGACATTTTATGTGTTGTTTTGCTTGCGACCATAGCTCTTCACAGATTGTATCTCGATACTCAGTGCTCAAAAGCACCTTTCCAAATCCTGATCACTTTTCCCTGCAATTATATAATGAGTTTCCAGTTGCATTGTTTGTGATGTCTTACATGTGGGTATGTCCCCTACCATTGCAGGGTCATAAACAAGCAACGGAGGATCTTGCAGCTGCAGTCCAAGCTTTAGATTTAACGGAAACGGAAAGCGATACAGACTCTATCTGCACGCCATCGGAGAGTCCCTACAAGAATCGAGAATCAACAAGCAGTTTTGGTTTGCACAGTCCGGACAATTTGATACCCCGAGTCGGTCAAGACACTCTACAAGAACTTTGGAAACGGCTCAAAGCAGAGAACTCGGACCTTACTTGTGATAGTATTTACCTGGACCCTGATATTATCGATTTAACATTTATTCCGCCTCCGATATTATCTGCAGAGGAAAGTGTCATATCGGAGGCCAGTTTCCCACCCAGATCATTTGCAGATCATGCAAATTTCCCCGATTATCAAGATAAAATTGTAGGTACGTCAAAAATTGCTCCTGAATTCATTCCTTAATGTGTGCTTTAACAATTTTTATGTTTTCATCATTTATCACGTTCATCTCATCCTTATTGCTGCATTTTCCTACATAAAATCAAAGTTAACGGTTCTTCATTTTAATCACGAACCTTATCTAACAATCATTTTTTTCACACAGTTACCAAAATTAATCCTCTTTCACCGCTACCAATTTGCTTGACCTGAAGTTTTACCCTCTTTTATAACAATTTTAAATTTTTGAAAAATAAAGTTTGCTCTTCTTTATTAGATTGACTAATTTTATGTGTGATTTAATGTATGAATTAATTTTTTCAAGTGAATTGATCTTTGAATATTTTTTATGACATCAAAAGAGACATGCAACACCAGTATAATTCCTTCTTTTCACTAATGGCAGAAGCAGATACTCAACTTTAATAAGAGTAACTCACCTATCTTTGGTGGCTCCTAACTCTTTCAATAGAAAGGACAAAACAACAGGCTGGATAAAGATATCTAAGGTGGGACTGTAGACTTCTAGGTTGCTGATTTTCATACAAAATAATTTATTTTAAGAAATAGATAACTGTAAAAAAATAACACGAGTTTGAAGTTTGAAATCAATTTTGCAGATTCTATCTTTGTTACAGATACTTTAATGTCAAAAGACGCAGAGACTAGAGCTCAACTGCTGAACTTAGATTTGGATTCATTTTTAGCTACAATGATAGTGCCTCCTCCTGAGAAAAAGACTGCTCCAACCTCTGCCTTGACTGCCGAACAGCTGTCTCAGTACATCATACCGCCACCTCCTCCTGTCAATAACGCTGAAAACTCGAATGAGGTAAGAATTGAAATTGGGAATATGCTGAATTTTGTGCAGTTTACAAAACTTTAATCATACGGATGGCCGAAGTGCTAATCGACGTATCTTCGTTTGCAACGATGCAGACTTAATGTCATAATTAATTTCTTCTTTTGAAAACTAGTCTTCGTCATTTCTTGAAAACTTCCCTGATAACTTCTCTCTTTGCAGAATATTCCTCAAAAATATCAAGCTATTTAAGTAATAGGCTTGTTTCTCTTCAAAGTGATAAAAACACGGCAGTGGAGGTACATGGTTTTGGACTGTGATGAATGATATCTTCCTCAAACTAGCGATTTTTCAGTTTAGAGCTGCAATTTACTCCAGATTCATAAATCATTTCAACTTATAATTTTTTTTAATTTAAATAAAATGCTAAAATTACTCCTTTCAAACTGTTGTACCATCATCTCAATTAGGGCCCTTTGGAAGAACCTGTTTCTTACGTTCAATCGAAGATTTGGAAGGGAAATTCCTAAAATAGATAACGTTTTGACCTCAGCACTAGTGCTTAAAAATTATGGTGATTATTTTTTTTTTCCAGCGAGTACAACCTCATAATTATCCTGACTTTACTTATCAAAATGGAAGTATTGTTTCATCCAGCATTGAAAATAGACAGCCAGAAAAGTACTACGTTTCAAACTCAGGTTCTCCAGTCAGACAGCGGAAAACGGTCGTTTTAGTGAAACCTCAAGAAAATGGCTACGGTGGAACTTTGCCCCGATGTTCAACTTTTGCCCCGCCACCAGAGATCAGAGTGAATCCTCTGTCTGCTACACTTGATAGAAAGACTAATAGTAGTAGTTTGTCCTGCTGTAGTAGGCCAAGGCAAGGAAGTCCTGAGATGCCCCCCCAGTTACCCCCTCGAACTGAAACGCTTAGCAGAAAGCCACCTTTACCTCCAGTGACCTCTCAGGTATGTATCTGGCACAATTTCAAAGGATGTATGTACGTTTTTAAGAAATCTATGACACCTGTTCTCTCATTTTTTATCTTATTCTGTGAACGGATTTTCAGTCTAATCAATGATCAGCTTTCGGCAAGCCCAAGATATTTTTGCGAAGTGCAAACAGTTAAAAGTTATCACAGAAAGGATGAACACAATTCCATGCAAGAAATTCAAACGAAGAGCAGTGATAAAATTTCTCATCACAGGACCAATTGAAATTGATGAATAAATATCTCGGCGTTGGCACCGTTGTGCACTTGGTTTTAAGAGAAAAAACAAGAATTGCAGTAAATTGGATATTAATAGTGATTATTACGATTCTGACAGTTTTGAAGGAATTTACTGAGGAACAAACTTTTCATTGGGGGAACAGGAGTCCTCTTTACAGGTTGTCTGTTGTAACTTATGTCCTGGGTTTTTTACTTCTCCTTAAACCCACATTTCTCAACAGCCCTCTGTTCGAGGCAATTTTTTTACGGCCCTCCCTAAAGTAGTCCCTCGACTGACGTAGCTTGTATTTGTATCTCCACGATGGCACACTTGAAAGGATTTGCTGCCGGTCATTTCTTTCTAGAAAAGAGAAATCTCATGAAATGCCAGGGAAAACTCTTGAACAAATTAAGAGATTTCTTCTTCAAGTGACTGTTTATTTTTTATTAGTAATTTGACCTAACTGTCTGATTTGCCATTTACAGGAAGTGTTAGTGCGTAATGGCTACAGTTCCTTGAGTAAAAACGCTGCAACTGCTGTAACAGACCTGCTAGAAACCTTAAGTCAGGTTGCTGCCCAGTGCAATGCTGCCCAAGCAGCTGGAGGTGGAACAAATATTGATGAAATGCGATTTCAGGTATGATTTTCCAATTATTACCACCCCTTTTCTTTTCAGCACTAAATACTCCTTCAAACTTATCCCAATCTTAGCAATAACTCAAGGATAACTCATCATAATTGCAGCATTTAAAAACTTAAATTTTTTTAACAATGGGGAAGAGGGAAAATGTAGCAACCTAAAAAATGAACCTCTAAATTCAAGTTGACCTACAAATTCTTAAATTACCAAATTCTATTTGTAAAGTGTCATGTTGACCAGAGAAAATTAAAACAAAAAGAAAATGTGACTGAAATAATACATTTGAAGAAAGTTTGCATTTCCTGTATTGCACGCTTTAATTAACTTTTGTGGCTACTTTTTACTTTTTTTCAGGAGGCCAAAGATTATTTGACCGTTGAATCTCGGCAGTTAGTCACATCATCCAAAGTTCTAGTTCGAAGTTGTACTTTACCCAAATCACCTGAGTTTCCTGCAAATTTGGCCCAGTGTATAGCCCATTTAAAGAAGATAACTGACCTATGCGTTAGGATGTCTGTGCATACTGCTGCACCTTTGCAAACACGTAATTTAGTTTTGAAAGTTCATGACGTTTTATCAGTGTTCCGAGATTTACTGACTATAACAGACATCCATAACGATGAAGTCCTCACCAAACGCGCTGAAAGCTTAGCAGGAGTGCTGGCAACTCTGTTAAGAAGCTTACGCGTTTTCTCACCATAACTTTTACCTTTTGACTACTCATTTAACGTTCATATTTGTCACCGTTTTTCTCTTATGAATTTTTTTTACGACTCATAATTAGGTTCCAATTTTAATTTATTTGTTTATGTACATTTGTTTTTGACTTTATTTGAAAGTTTTGTATGAATATTCAGTATATAAAAATTGTAAAAAGAAATATGAAATAGTGAGTAAGCTGATTTATAGCTCTTTTTCTGCTCTCCAAGAGAAGACAAAAAATCTGATAATTTTTTAAAAAATTAAAAGAGTGTATGTGATAGTAATTTATTTTGTTGTTAACTGTTTTTTGTTTGGTTATTTATTTCTTTTTTTAAAAAAATTATTTTCTCTTAGTTTTATTCATTAATTTTTTATGTCTGAGTTACTCTGCACAGGTTAACAGTAAAAGTTTGTTAATCGTTGAAAAATATTGTGCCCAATTATTAGCAATTTTGCCTTTGAGAAACAGTAGATTGTTAAAATTTTTAGTAGGAATGTCTTTTTATTGCCCCTCATAAAAAATTGGTCTACGTCTCTCATTGGTTTGTTATTGAGTCTCTAAGAAATTTCTAATCAGCTTCCAAAAAATTGCTGGTCATAAAACAAGAGGTTCCCTTCTGTTTCATTCAAATAAGCCTCTTTTAACTTGTTTATAATTCATTTCAGCAAGTGAGGACACCTTTTTTATCTTCAATATCCTCCTTCTTCTTTTATCTCCGATAATTTTACATGTAATTAAAATATTGTACTTGCTTTATCTTCAGCTGAGTTCATGCGGGCACTTAGCGATTCTCTTTGAGAGTTTTGAAAGTTCAAAATTAAAAATTGGTTCAAATTAAGTTTGGCAAATAGATTGGGATAAAAGCCAAAAGAAGTAGCAAAAAGGCAGAGGAAGATGAAATCAGTTTCTGTTGTTTCATGACAGCAACTGGAGTCTAATAATTTTGCCAGCAAAACCGTTGTTTCTCTTATTTTCTTTATTTGACTGAACTGAAACTCTAGTGTAGTTTAGATTATGTACTACAGCCTCTAAACGGATATTTACAAAAACCACAGAGTTTCATATTAGGTGTGAGGATTGTAGATAAAAAAGTCTCATTTCTGCTAAATTACTTTAAAGAAGGAAAATTGTGCACCCTTTTCTGCGCTGACCGTGAAGATAAATTTATGCAGATTTCAATTTGTTAAACTGATTTGTTTTAGTTGAAATTTTTTTTTCTTCTCAGCTTTTGTTTTAATTAACTTGCTCTATTATTTTGTAAATCTACAAACAACAGAAGAACTTTGAGAATTTAAATAAACCAATTTTCAAAATATGCTTTCAGTGCTTTTATTTGACTCAGCCTCCAAGGTAAGCTATTTTAGTTATATTTTGTAAGAACAAACAAAACAAGAAGAATTTTTGGGGAAAACTGTAATTAAACATTAAATTTACATCTCGTGAAACACAAAATTTCAACATGCTTTTTTCAGCTTACTGTGTCATTCTGATTTGAGCAACTACCTGAATTCCACTTAGTTGATGTAGATGTTTTGCTTTTGGAGTTTCCAAAATTTTCTGCGTCCTCAATAGTTTGAGGAAGATGGAGATGATGGGTCTCTGGTAGAAAAAGAGTAGCTATTCCGCCCAACAAAAGCAAGACTCCCATGACCAACAGGGGTAGTTCTCCTCCCTACAAAAATTAAAAGCGTTCGGCTAGAATTCATCTCCATACAATAGATATGAGGACTTATCTGTGACAATAGCAGATGTGAAAAATTACCTTTTCGAAACACATTCAAAAAACTGTTTTGGCATCGAGAAAATTTTGAGAAAATACTTGAGATGTGATCTTCGAAATCTATACATTATGCCAGAGCCAAACATTTTAAATTTTTGTGTGAACAAAGCAGTTTTTTAAGCATCTTTTGAAAAGGTAATTTTTCACATCCGCTATTGTTACAGATAAGTCCTCATATACACTTAACAACACTCAACTGGACATGCCTGTTGGAAAAAATCAATGAAAAGTTTCCTAAATTTTCTCTGGCATTCCTATACTACCCTTGACAGTCCTTAACATAAAATTGAAAATAAAATTTGGTCACGAAATCTTTGGAGACACATCTCTAGGCCTTTCATGCTTTCTTCCAAAGTGTACGATTCTTATAATTTTTCCCCGTTTTAAGTCCGCCCTCCTAATCAAAATGTAACAACAAAATGAGGGCGAGGAGAGGTTTCCTGCAGTTCTATTAGGAGCCATACATATTAAAATTGTTTGGTAAATAAGTGCCTGTGATAAAAAAAAAAAAAAAAAAAAATAATTTAGCCAATGCAAAGAAGGGCACCTGATGCCAATGAAATTAAATTATCTTACCATATAATTTAAGAGAGGGATGAAAATAGGTCCTAGCATGCCTACAACAGCACTAGTTGACATTCCAAGGCCTCGGACAACGGTCGGATACAGCTCGGAAGCAAAAAGAGGTAAAACGACGTAGGAACATGATATTCCCATTTTGCCACAGCAATACAACACTAAACCTAACCACGTACCTAGAATAGAAATGGATTCCATCAAAAACATGATCGTTGAACAGTAGTTAAAATTTTAGAACATTCAATGGAATTATTTTTCTTCGGAGAAATGATGAAGGTTGTTGGTTCCACAAATAACAGAAGAGTATTTTCATGATCAGCACTGGTAAAGCAAATCTTGCCTCAGAAAGCTCCAACGAGTCTCGGGACCAGGCGCAATCGATTCTACACCTCAAAGTAAGTAGGATTCAACGCTGATCATGAAATATTTTTCCCTGTCCGAGATCGAGAAAAATCGACAGGAGTTACATACATGGACTAAATTTAGGGGTCAAAATCGGAAGTTCTCCAATCGGGCTAAAATGAAGTTAGACCCCTTGGAAATGACCCGAGGAGTCCGATTCTCCGGTTGAAAAAGCTCCACAAGTCTGCTGGGCTGTGCACTGTATGCTGCGTTGGACCGCAGAGCAGTAAATGGTATCAATAATGTTAACATGAGCCAAAACTCAGCAGATCAGCTCTGCAGATCAGCAAAAACAATTTTTACTATATACAGGGTGTTTCAGACCACCCGTACCAGGCCTTTTTCTCGGTTGTTTTAGGTCGTACGAAGTCGGAGACCGCGGGGTTGAATAGGGAATTGACCCCAAGGAATCCGAATTTTGTGGTCCCGGAACCCCCCCACCCCCCCTTGGGGGGTAAAGGGGAAGTCACGATGCTAAAAGTCACGGTTTCCGACCGAATTGTGGATCGATCGCATCAGAATTGAAAAGCACGGAAAATTTCACGTGGAATTGACCCCTAAAAATCCAATATCGGACCATCCAAGGCCCAAAAATGATCCCCTAAAGAGGGGGACAGTACCCCCCTCCATAATTTCTCTTTGGTCTCAAAATTGACGTAAATTCTCCAGAAAAAAGACGGTTTCCCAGGTAATCGACCTCGAGAAATCCAAATTTCGTGGTCCCGAAGCTCCTCCAGCTCCCTAGGGGTGTTCAAACGAATTCTTGCCGGAACACTATCGACATCGTCTCTTATTGAAACTGGCGGCAGTACCGACAGTGGCCATGATATCGACAACAGCCGGCCTTATCGGAGTTTTGAGAGCTCGCACTCAATACATTGTTGCCCCGTGTGTCGGTTTATCAGATTGCCTGGCGCGGCGGCGCGTAAAATAGATGTACAATTGGCAACAGCTTATTTTCGCCAGCTCCGAAAACTCTGATCGCTATCGGTAAGAGCGCTCTTATCGTAACTTTTTCTTAACGGAACTGTTTCGGTGGCTTACCGACAACCGATTGAACAGCCCTACAGCTCCCCTTCGGGGGTAAACGGGGGGGCCCAATTTTAAAAATCGGGGCTCCTTTCCGAATCGCAAATTGATTGCATCCAAATTGAGGAGCAGAACACATTTAAATCTTAAGTGACTCCTAAGAGTTCTAATTGACCCCCCTGAATGGGAGAAAGTAATCCCCTGAGGAAGGGGGCCTCGCCCCCGCCAAAAATTTCTCAGGATTCCTCTTTGGTCGCAAAATTGACTTCGATTCTCCAAAAAAAGACAGTTTCCCATGTAATCGACCCCGAGGACTCTAAATTTCATGTTCCCTGAGCTCCTCGGGGTCGATTACATGGAGGACCGTCTTTTTCTGGAGAATCGACGTCAATTTTGCGACCAAAGAGGAATCCTGAGAAATTTTTGGCGGGGGCGAGGCCCCCTTCCTCAGGGGATTACTTTCTCCCATTCAGGGGGGTCAATTAGAACTCTTAGGAGTCACTTAAGATTTAAATGTGTTCTGCTCCTCAATTTGGATGCAATCAATTTGCGATTCGGAAAGGAGCCCCGATTTTTAAAATTGGGCCCCCCCCATTTACCCCCGAAGGGGAGCTGGAGGAGCTTCGGGACCACGAAATTTGGATTTCTCGAGGTCGATTACCTGGGAAACCGTCTTTTTTCTGGAGAATTTACGTCAATTTTGAGACCAAAGAGAAATTATGGAGGGGGGTACTGTCCCCCTCTTTAGGGGATCATTTTTGGGCCTTGGATGGTCCGATATTGGATTTTTAGGGGTCAATTCCACGTGAAATTTTCCGTGCTTTTCAATTCTGATGCGATCGATCCACAATTCGGTCGGAAACCGTGACTTTTAGCATCGTGACTTCCCCTTTACCCCCCAAGGGGGGGTGGGGGGGTTCCGGGACCACAAAATTCGGATTCCTTGGGGTCAATTCCCTATTCAACCCCGCGGTCTCCGACTTCGTACGACCTAAAACAACCGAGAAAAAGGCCTGGTACGGGTGGTCTGAAACACCCTGTATTTGCACCTTAAAATAAAAAATGACTGACCAAATTCATTTTCTTGGTTGAATATGGTTAACACGCAAGACAATCCTCCGAATATCATACTGCTGGAGAGAGCACATCTTCGGCCCCAGTGTTCCATGGCAGGCCATAAGATCAAATATGTTGGCAGTTCCACAGCTCCAGCCAAGAAAAAATTCAGGAACTCATTTCCTCCAAGTAATGGTGCATAGTAAGAAAGCCCAACGTATACGCTTGTGTTGGTGAACCTGAGAACCAATTAAAAGAAAATGCTATTAAAAAATCAATATAACGTAAAAGTTCAAGCCTTGCTCTATGCTGTGTCCTAAGAGGCAATGAGCTCCCAAGATAATGGTGTCCAAGTTTAAGAATCACATTCAGAGGGTAGACTTTTCCTTAACTATACATGCTTTTATTTTAATTGTTCAATCTTCTTTTCTTCTCTTTTCACTACACATTCGGAGCATGCACAGTTAATAATCTATTTTGCAAAACTTTTTGTAAACTCCTGGAAAATAGAGAGTCAGGGAAGGTATTTCAAAGATCTTAAAGAGATCAAGAGAAATTGCTTAGTAAATATCTTTAATGCTTCGCTTCCTAGCACTTGGAGTGCTTTTTGATGGCAATATGCCATTGAAATTTCAAGCTTAAAGAATGAGCCAGACGTTGGTCTTTAAGTAAAACTATAATTTTGAAGAGTGAGTATAAAATTCATTCGGAAAATTTGTCATGGACTGTAAACCAGAAAATTCTCCGTTTCCTTCAGTTTATGTTAGCTTCCCGGAGATACGATGCATACCTAGAGGCTATGTTATTCTAATTGATCACTAATAATGCTGCTCAGGGATTGAAAAAAAAATGAGATCAGTGCCAATCTAGCATTCACCTTGTTTTACTTCAGAATCTTACCAGATAAATGTGATGATTAAAGTTTTCTTCCTTAAATTTGGGGTTCGAAAAAGATCTGTCACTCCGTAATGTTTCTTGTCCTCAACATCATGGATGACTTTATCACACTCCCCCTGAATAAATGAGGAATAAAAGAAATACGTGAGAGAGACATGAAATAAGAAAAAAGTAAATGACAAATTTCGACAGAAACTGAAAAACTGCTTTTTACAGGCACTATTAAAAAAGATTTAAGAAATACAAAAAAAATTGATGTTTTGCACTACAACTTCGTTCTTCAATACGATTTATGGACAAAAGTAGCTGTTGACTGTTGATTTTAAATATTCTGCAGTATTCTCACTTGGCCTGATGGGCTTGGTTCAAATTTCAAAAAAAAGGTCTCGATTCTCCATAAAAAAAAAAAAAAAAAAAATAAAAAAAAATGGATTTGTAGTGAGTAGAAAACATTGCTCAGTGCTGTGCCTAGCAAATTTCCAAAGCTCTCCTACACAAAAAGTATTTAGAAACAACTTCAAAACTTATCACGAAAATGGGATTTTTACAGGTTTGATAAATGACGACATTTCCCATTGCTCACTGAGCAGGCAACTGGGGAGTGTATCTACATTAAGAGATAGTTAGTTAGTTAGTTAATTTTATTTAACGACGATCAGCATCTAGGCTATTTACGTCGGGGACTAGGCAATTTTTAATGATAGCAAAAGGAACACAATAACCACAATGGCCGAGGCCTAACACAGTTACAAAACTGTTAGTAAAGAGATCAAATGTCTCTCGAAAGACAAAGGATCAAAGAAAAAATTGAACTTGTTATGAATCAGTTTTTAAATTTTGTAAATCTTATTTGTTTAAGAAGGAACTTCCTCTCATATCCTTGTTATTCACTTTACTGCAAAGGAACCTCGAACATGGAAAGGACCTGTATATCTAGATCAGGAAGTAATGAAATCATTGCGAACCTTTTTCCTCGAAAACCAATCAGGGGGAATAGGTTTATTGTTAACCTTTGCCATTTTGTTGAGAATTTTTTCAGCCTTTGCATAAGACCCTCTGGCAAGGAGCCATCTTGGAGATTCTGGCATGTCTCTGAAAAAATAATAAATGATTAGAAACTTTCGTATCTGTTTAGGATAAACCAATTTACCAAGCTAAACACAAAAAAATACAGTTCCACAACTTTCAGAGATTAAGTTACATATAAACAAGGTGATGAAATGGTGCTGGGTCCACATTATTTTGCAGGGAAAACAAAGGCAAAAAGTTCCAAAAATTTTAATTGGAGTCAAAAATGTTTGAACTTAAATGAGTACCAGTACAATACTGAAGGGGGAGAGTGTTCAGCTCAGGCAGCTTGCGTTGGAATGACTTAAATTCCATAGATACTCATGGTACGTAAATATGTACATATGTTACGTAGATGGTAAGAAGTTTTTCACTTGGAAAGTAAATTATGAAGAGCGCTATAAAAGCGACTCATGTATATATAAGTAAATTATGACAGGAAATGTCACAAACCAAGATATGCAATTTTGCTGTTTCAACATTGATAAGACTTCTTTCATGTTATCAAGGAATTTTACAATCAGCTGTATAAATCAAAACATCATTTGAAAAGACAAAAAGAACTTATTACCTCAGATAAAAGAAGAAAAAAGCAAATGGAACAGACGTATACAAGGCCAGGAGTCTCCAGTCTCGGACTAAGTAAACTATGCATGCTAAAAGAGTTAGCGCGATTGAGTACGCAATGTTGATTAAAATGGTAACAGTTGTTCGATATTCTGGTCCCACCAACTCGATACCTTCAATAGAAGAAATACAAAATATATATAAGTCAAACACAAGAGGACATGAGTGCACATTATAAAGCTATCTCTTAATGCCTTCCAGCTGAAAATCAAGGTTGGCTTCATTTTTATGTTACGTTGTCTATTACCAATACCAATGAAAGCATTAATTTTGAAAAAGAGCCGTTCCAGACTTTTTTCAAACTTGAGTTTTCGATAGCAAGGTAATATTCAGCAGTACACATGTCTGGAACTAACTCATGAAGCGATTGAAAAAACAGATATTTTGCTAACTATGCTTCTTCGAGGAGGATAATTTTCATAGTGTTTGACAGCCCTGAGCTCAATCTTTTATACATTGGCAGGAAGGGAAAAAGTTCAATTGTAAATCAAAGAGGGTCTTTTTGTAAATAAGATACCAGAAGGGTACCTGGGTACCTTGTTACATTGAAAATTCAAATATGAGAAACAAGTCAAAGTAACCTAAGTATTTAAAAACTTTTCAGATATTTTTCAAATAATTTGATTTTTACTCCCCTTTTTTATTTTGTTGTTGTATTGCGCAAAACTGCTAAATGTTATCTTTTAATATTCTCTTACCGTTTTCTAAAAGAGAAAATTTGAAGATAATTTTCATCAGTTCTGCGCAATCTTGGATATCATTCTGACATTTGAGATGTTAAACATGGGTAGGCGCCATCCAGACTTGACGCAAGATAATGCAGAGATGACATAAAGGGGAAACAAACACTTACTTAGTACGTAAGGAGTGGCTAAAATGGCAGGAACAGTGAATCCAACGCCAAAGCGAAACAGCACCCATGACCAAAAAGAGTTCATGAAAGCCGTTCCGATCCCAAAAACTGTTTCAATGAAGAGGTAGATAAAAAAAGCAGGCTTCCTTCCAAGACTAGGAACAGAAAAATTACAAGTAAAAAATCTTGCCACCTAGAAAAATCTTTTAATGGTAATTTTGGTTGCTCAGAACAAAAATATCGACTATTTACTTCAAATACATACCTATTTACAAGAAAACAGGGGCTTTTTTTCGGGAAATACTTCCTTCGAAAAAACTGGTGCATGGTGCTGGTGCATGATTTGAGATGCAAGATTTCATGAAATTTTATAAAATGGGATTTTAGTATGAAATCTCAAATTTTTTTTTAAACTTAATTAATAGATTTAGTAAGTCATAAAATGCTCAAAAATATTAAAAACTCCATTTCAAAATTTTAAAAATCTTTATCAAATGCTTGGTCCTTTAATATATAAGTTCCAAATTCAGTCCCTAAAAATTCAATGTGATTTATGAAAATTTTTCAGCAAAATGAAATTTCATTTTGCATCCCTGTGCTTCCTGGATCAAAACCTTGGTCATTGACCGAATTGATGACCCAAAAAGCATGGATTTTAAGAAGTGTCTAGTTAATAATTTTTCCTTTAATCGACAGAATGAATGGATAAAATAATATTTAAAGGATTAGAAACGGCTTTTCAAGCTATTTTGCCTCTTCATTGGCAAAGCAGCAGAATTTCTGACACTTGCATACTAATGGTGCTAATAATACTCGTAGAAAATTACTAAGAAGTCAACTCACCCATCTTGGATGTATCCAAAAATATAGTTTCCTATTAGTCCTCCTATGGCCAACAAAACTAAGGCACCAGTTGGGTAAAAGTCTTTATTGCACACCAAATTCCACTTGAAGGCAAAAAGAAATTACATTAGGGAAAATATGTATACAATAACAAGAATAAAAATAGACACTATAGATTTAAAATTAGAGTACTACACATGAGTGAAATAGTGATTTTGAATTGACAACCAGGTAGAGTTCCACAAGGAATATATTTACGTACTTTCAATAAGCGACAGAAAATCCACCAACTTGACTCTAGTATTTATTCTCTATGCTAAACTGAAGATAGCTGATCTTCTGTCGCACTCCAAAAGTGCATAAACATTTGATTTTCAGAGAAAAACATGAAAAAAATTGGTTAAATGGTCAAGTATTAAAATTTTGAAATTATGAAATTCAAGCAACTACTTCAATCAAAAGTGAAATTTCAGCTCTGAAATTTTTGTGAATTCACTTGTAGTGATGAAATATTAACATTTTGACCACATTTTTACATTCCAACAAAGTCGTAAAAGAGAGAAAAAAAATACCCCCCCCCCATTCAGATTCAAAACGTTGATAAAAAAAAAAAGAAAGTTAGATTTTGAAGTTGAAAAATTCTATTGCTGTAAAAATTATTCTTATTTCCACTGCTACTTCGTAAAATAAAGAGGCCCCTAAGCCCTAGCCTAGTACTCAATCAAGAGTCAAACAGATTTAAATACATGGAATGAATTATTTATTTATTCCTTCCATAATAAACAGAAGAATAAAAAAAAACAAATTTTAAAACGATTTGAACAGTAGAAGTATTACAAAATTACAAGGAATTACCAAGATAATAAAATCTTAGAGAAGAGGAGGGGGGTTTACAGGCTGAACATTTTAAAATATATTTAAGAGACTGTGTAGTGACCGAATATTGAATCTAACAAAATAAAGAGCTAAGGAATAAGGACCCATCTCATGGTGAATGGTAGATTCAGATGAGAGATTTGAGATGGATTCAGAATTAACATGTTTGTAAATGAAGGAGGAAGGATAATTAAGGGGCAGGAGAGCGGGCTGGCTAACAAACCAACAATAAGGCTCTGTTAATAAGGAAGTATGGTGAGCCGCAATTTACTTCTTTTGTTGCCGCTTGACTGTCATGCCATTCCAACTCTAAACGTTTCTCAGTCATAGCAGGTACGTACAAAAACATACGCAGACCATTTCAGTCAAATAATCAAATTAATTTACATTATTCTTTCAACTATGCTTAGAGCCTTGCAAATAAATTAGGGTTGCTTTGCTATTCCTCTTTTGAACTATCTTAGAGAAATGCCCCTCATGCATTATCCTTTCTGGTAAACACAATTTGAGCTCTATCTAAAATTGTTTCCATCTCAAAATCGGAATTGTTTTCTGGTAAAGGCTTAATAAAATGATGTTGGGAAAGTAATATTGTCGATTTGATTAGAATAAGAGGGGCAAAATTTAAAACTTCTTGAATGCTCAGATCGACCAAAATTGTCTCCAAAAAAAATTTAAATTTCCAGAGTGTGTAAGAAGAGGGGAAGTCCTCCCCTCCCCCCGATACCCCTTAAATAAGGTCATTTAGTGTGTAAAAACTACTAAATATTTTGAAATTCGATTCAGAATAAATCTAAAAAATTAAAAATCCAACTCAAGAATGACTTCAAAAATTAATTTTTTTCCTTTTTGCTTTCAAGAAGACAGTTTACTGGAAGCTCTTTGTGAAGCCAGTCTGACAGCTTTGCTACACATACTAGAACTGTATTCAACTAAATGTTCATATTTTTGTCCCATAAATCTCCTAAAACATAATACTTCCAGTGTACATTATGCAAAGTATTTTACAAAAAAAAGAAGTAATTTATGTTTTATTATTCCTTCTGCAAACCAACAAATATGCTGCCTTGAAATTATCATCAAAGTATTTGTTCGGTGTTAAGAGGAATTTCAGAAAATTTCAAGTATGATCATAGAAGATGGTTCAAAAAAGCTAAAATTAAGGAGATGCACTCATTTTAAATGCCAGGAAGTAAATAAATGTTGATCCTACTAGTATCATATCCTCCTTTCTTTTTTAAAAAAGGTTTCAAAGACAAGAACTTTGTTTGCCGACTTTTTCTGAGCAAAAAAAAAATCAATTTGAATTGAAGCGTATGCTTCCCTTCAAGAAAAATTTGCAGGTTTAACTAAATTGCTGCAAAAAAATTCTCAAAGCAACAAGAGAGCACGAATGAATTATTACAGTGCACCATTTTGATAAGCGACCAAAACCTCCTGGAAAAAAGGATGACCCTCTTTTGAACCTCTACTAAACTTTCAAATGGTTGGAAAATGAATGATGTGTACAGTTTAATTCCTATGAAGGAGACAAATGTAATTAATCCTCTCTAACCCTTCTTCACAAAATATTTTTTAAATTTCTAAAATCTTAAATAACATCAATGACAAAATAATTTTCTGTACCTCTGTGACAATTGTCTCTTTGTATTCTGAATGATCGAAAGTCCAACCATACTTGCACGGCACTGCTTTCCCCAGAGGCACTGACTCATTAGGAAAGGATGCAATGGCAGTGTAGTTCCTATCGTACATGAGGCACTGGCTGAGTTTTCCATTATTGCTTTCTGGGATACTTGGAAACAAAAAAATGAATTCACAGAATCAACTTGTTAGTAAAGACACAAAAGATTGTTTGAAATAAAACCGGCTTGATTTCACAAGATATTGTTGCAGTCTCAAACTTTAAGTTAACGGATTAATCTACGTTTTGTAGAACTAGCTGATACAACCAGAGAGAGAGTCCCTATGTACCTGCGAATAGCTCAACGAGAAAATTCACTTTTACCATTAACTAAAGTCTCACAGCAAAATCAAGTTTGCACATCTGTTTTTGTGCAAGGGACACACTAATCCTGGCATACACCTTCTCTCTCCACCACATTTCTTTTCACTGCCCCCTTGCCCCCCTTCCATTGGGCTTGAGAGCCTTTCAAGTTGATAATTAACTGACCTCATACCTCTTGAGTCCAGTGCATTTCTATCTTCACTTACATCCAGGACTTAATCCCCCACCCACACTAACTGGTCAATTTTGCCATGAGGATAAGTTAATTTCGTACATAATTAGAGAAACATAAAAATAAACAGAAAAAAATAAAAGAAATTAAATCATGGTAAATTATGCTGAAACTCACAATTTTTACTATTTACTTTTTATATTTATTCATGAAAAAAAGATCGAGAGTTGAAAAGAAAATCACGATATTCGAATTGAACACAAGAGAAAAAATGTTGTCTCTGTATGAACAGACACTTTCAGACATATTAACGGCTCAAGTTGAGGATTGCTGTTCTACACAGCAAAATACTTTATGATTTTTCATCCTATTTTATTCCTTGTACCTAGGAAATATTATATACCTAGCATTATCTCTTGATATTTAAAACACCCTGTATGGTAAATAAAGATCAAAGGACTTCAAGGACTAAGGATTATTTTTCTAAAAAAAGAAAAAAAAGAGGAATAAAACATACAAATTTGCGAGTGGTAATAGTGTGAGAGATAATTTCGGTTTTTTCAGGGAAAGTCATTGTTACAAGCAACGCTCAGGAAGCGTTAAATTTGGGTTAACATTTGTGACAGTGCATACTAGCTGCCTAAAATAGGAATATATTAATAAAATAGAATATAATTAGTAAAAATGCCTTACAAAAGTGTATTATCTATATATTTAATATCCTAAGGTTTATGATAAACAGTCTTACCACAACGCCAAAACTTTAGCCGATGAAATGCCCAACGAGAGATGCTAAAGCTTTCTAGCCTAGAAATAACATTTAGAGAGAGAGAAAAAATTAAAATGTTACCTTAATTGTTTTGCTTCCTTGATATCAAGATGTTTCAATTCAGGCACATAGCACCAGTGTTGAGGGGAGGCAGCCATGAAGAGCTGGTTGTAGGCATGAAAACCACATGGTAGCACACACGGTAACAAAACAAACCACAGAAGCCTTTTTTGATAAGTTCCATATTCACCTACATCAGGGAGTAGATTGTCTAAATCCATAGCTTGCTGAAGACTGGAATGGCTGGGCAGGCATTTTCAAGAGCAGGAGCTATGAGAGGTAAATACAAGGGGGAACAACAAAGGGCCCATTAACAATGCCAAGGGTTTGAGTCACTGAGCTAAAACAAAAAAAATCAACCCCTCCCTCTTCCGTCAACATTCAATGCACTCTCTTCCTTCTTCCTTGCTCAGGTTTTGAAAATAGACAAGACCAGTATTAATTTAGTCAACAGGATATTTAAATCTTTTCTCAGGCTATTCCAGAGTTTTTAAGTGACCTACATAAACTGGATAAAAAGTAGATCAATACCTAGTTCAGGTTATGACTCTCCTGCCTAACTGTGTGTAAAAGTTTCAAATGTATATTTTATTTATTTATTTTTTATTTCATCTTGGCTTATTTTCCTCCTTTCTTGTCTTCTACTATTTGTTATTTTCAAGTACACGGTTATTTTTAATTGGAAGTAGGTTAGCCAAAGAAATTTGTCGAGAGAGAAAGTCTCTTAACTTTTTGCTTATTCTGAGATGACTTGAGGGTATTCAGATCCCATTAAGTCCATTCAATTCCAGTTTTTCATTTTTTTTATTTTATCTGAAAATAGATTAATTCATTTTTGAAGAATTGCCCCCTGGATTTTTGGAAAAACGCACCAAATAGTAGAGAAAATGTGGTGTTATTTGTGAAATATTGCAAAAAATAATTCAAATGATGCTGGTTGAGTTTAAACAATTCACACAAAAATAAAAATTGTGGATCACAAATGCCTGCTTGAATAAAAAAATTTGTATGGTATCAGCACTGTTTCAACAGACTTTGACTTAACGTGCATGAGACCTCTTAATTTCAATTTTTATCTCCAAATGAAAGATAGAATTCATCAGGATAAGATATTTTTATACATTTCAGAGATTAAAATAATGTTCAGCCAGGCTTAAAAATCAGGTTGAAGAAAAATTCAAATTTATATTCACAGAAATTCAATTCACACCCGAACAGGATTTTTAAAAAAAGGGGTCTACCAAATTCATGATTTCATTTTCTTTAGGAAATGTTTGCAGTTTTAATCTTTCTCAGATGGACGTTGTGATGAAATCTTTTAGAAAGGTTGAAGTTAAAAAAAGCTAGAGAACACACTAAAAATGCACATTTTGTTTTTGAGCACAGAGAATAATTAATAATTTTTGAACCAGATGAGCTAGCTTTACTGCTTCTTCTTAAAAAAAAATTAGGAGAGATTTGATTAAAAGTGGAGCATAAATATTAAACTTTATTAAATAATCAATTCATACTAAAATTTGCTAAATTGATCACAGAATCCAAATTGCCACAGCAAGGTAAAATAAAGATCCTTTTAATTACCATGGAGGTAATTAAACACATTAATAAATATAACTTCTGACATAAAAATTGACCAAAAGCAAAAAAATAATTATTCAAGGCACTTTGAAAGCAGTTGATTAATAAATATAAAAAATACATACAGACTAAAAAAAAAAAAAAATAATTAGAAATAAAGTTTCAATGCGTAACATTTTTGTGTGAAAGCTTCTCCTTCCAGGTGATAGAAGTTGGAAGATGAGTCTCATTAATTTTTAAAACATTTTTTCTGATGATTAATATTTCAGGAAAATAGAATTAAAATTAGCTGGTGGACACAAATTCCCATTTTTGAGTATAATAGGACGATTTTTCTTGAAAAAGCTTTAATTTGGAGGCTCGGCTGATCGAGGGGTTTGTCCTAATTGTGCCCTCTGCGCAGTGGGTTAATTGATGACACCGAAGTCAGGAGCATCTAGTAATTCTTCTTGATTTCGTCGACTCTTACTGGATCTTATTACTTTATCTTCTCTGACTTGGTCATCATCTTGGGCCATCACCTGCATTCTTTCCTTTTCCTTGCTATACCGGAGTGGTAGCTGCCTCATTCTTCGCGAATCCACTTTTTTGGGCAAAAAATGGTTCAAGAAGAAGCTTTCCAATGCAACTAATATGGTCTCCCATATTTTTTTGTCATAATATATGCACTCCAATAGGAAGTCTTGAGGAACCGTCACAATGAAAAAGCACAAATCTCGATCAGTAATAGAGAACTGTCCTTGAATTTGGAACTTGTGTGCCTTTTTTGGCTTTAGGTGCTGCTCACCTAATTCAGGGTCTTGCGATCAACCGCGTAAGCACTATACAGCAAACAGTCCGGCGGAACTCCTAATTTCGGCATTCAATCCAAGTTGCCAAGTTTATCAAAAAGTAAAGATAAAAAGATGCATCGTAAGTATGCAAAGTCTTCAATAAAAAAATAAAATTGACTAACTCTTAAAAATGATATAAAAAATTTAAATTTGTAATAAAATGGCGACACCAGCCAAAGTCCACTTGGATGGTTTGTCTTTCGATTTTAAATTGAAAGTCCACACAAAGGTGGGCCCTCGCATACGGGTTTTGTAGACTGGACACTCGTACATATTTCGCATATCTTGCTTATCTTGAGTAATTGCCTACACAAAAGAGAAAAACCCATTTATCGATCAAAACGCACTATAAATGCTATCTCTTATGTTCTAATATCTTGCACGCACACACACACTCCCTCAATGACCTAGCCTAAATGTTACACAAAGTAAAAGGGGCCTAAGATTGTGCAACTTGTTTTACACTCCAGGAAAAAAATAAATTTAAACAGCCCTATCCCAACACTTGATAGATGTTGATTCAATTAGAAAATTGGCATGTAAAATTCGTTTTTCAGTTTCATTTGTTATGCGTGACTATCGGCATCCACAGAAAAAGGGACCTTGGTAACAAAAAGCTCAAAATTGTAATAGCACTGTCTTTGGGAGCATTTTACAAACGTTCAGACACTGCTCGTTTAAAAATGCTAAAATTTTAAAAAGTCATGCTTTGCCTGAAATGATACTATTACAGAAAGAAAATAATTGTGAAACTTACCCTGATGTTGATAACAGGCATGTGCGGGAACAACTCTTTTAATTTTGATTCCATTATGACACCTTGCTGAATGTCCCATCGTGCACCCTCCATGAAAAGGCCGTGAACAAAGGCGCCATCTCTTGGTGCCCCTCTGAATATTAGAATAGACAATGAAAATAGGTACTGTATTAATTAAAAGGATAAACTGCCAACTTATTGCGTACACAGTATAAACAAATGTTAAGTTTTTAGGTGAAAATACGTAAAGAGGAGGAGTGGGAGAATACACTGATAGGTATTTAAGTTGGAGCAGTTGACAGGAATTATACACCATTTAAAACTGTGAAATGAAGTTTTCTGGCCTCACCATTTAAATCTAAAATAAACTCAAAGAATAATTAACTTACGAGAAATCTTCCTTCTGTTTTTTGGTAACATCACATTGCAAACACATTTTATCCAAGGGAAGTTCACTTTTACGGGCTGTGCTTTGCATTATAGCAGTGAGAAAGGATTGTGGATTGAAAAACCCTGCAAGCCACACAGAGGCTGGCAACTAAAAAAGAATACAAAAATAATAAAACATTGAGGTAGGCTCTATGAGATTTTTAAGTATTATATTATAGAATACATAGGATCATAAAACCATCTGAAAGTAAATTTTACCGTGGCTGAAATAAAAAATAAAAGTTATGGATAGAGCAATATTTTTTCTTACTTTAAAGCTGGGAGACTTGAATTTTACTCCACAAAAGCAAGACAAGATTGAAGAATCATTGATCCTACAGCCTTTAACTTTTCACCAGTATAAGGTGCTTTGTTAAATCCAATTATCCATCTGTATCAACTTTCAAACAAGAGAACTACCTAAACTCTGTAATAAGGAGCATTTGCCTATTAATTAAAGTTGGTTTTCTTCGAACAATACAGCTGACCCATGGGTAATGCAAAAAAAAAAAAAAAAAAAAAAAAAAACAGAACTCTTGAGTTTTCGCCAAAAGGTGATTATGTTTACAAACGGCGCTGGGGGATTAAATTCAACGGTAAAACTGTCATGACTTGTGGATTAAAAAACCCTGCGGGCCAACAGAGGCTGGCGAGTAAAAAATAACATGGAAGTAAAACCTTATAGTAAAGTCTATGAAACTTTAAAGAAACTACTTTAAATTAACGTCTATAAAACTATAGAAATTTAAACTATAACTTACTACAAAATCCGTCGACCACGTTTCTAGTTCTCTTAACCGAAGTAAAAGGTCTGCAAACCAAGATGTCAGACCGAGCAATGACGGATAGGCTCGTTGTGTCCATATGATTGGGACTTGGTCAAGAAATAATGCAGTTTCAAGGTCCTCCATCTCAGATGTAATTGTAAGCTCTCCCTGAGGACCGAGAAAAAAATTGATACCTCTACAGATAGCATTGATCTAACTTCTGAAACTTTTCCTTGGGTGAAATTGTGACTAGTGAAAAGTCATGGGTCTATCACTGTGATCTGGCGTGCAAACAAAAATTCTCTAATACCTGATATTTTCCATGGTTAAAAATGTCGATTAAAAGAATTCGTTTGAAATTTAATGATGAAACTGAATGCTGTTTAATGAAGTTCAAAGGAAGAAATTAGGATGTGGCTTCAATTGGAATCCTCTAATTTTCTATTTTCTTTTGCTTTTTTGCTTTATGATTCAGAGGACATTTGATTAATACTTGCCTTCAGACCGAGATCAAGTTCTCGCAACGATCTTTTCATCTCATTGGTCAGATAATTCATCCGTTGACACTCTTGAAATGCGACGATGACATAGGGAGTCCTTTCTTCAACCTTGCTCATGATTTCTGTCATATTGAATTCCTCTGGCAACTTCTCAATTATTTCATCTACAATCTGTTTCACCTGGGATCAAAAAGCGAAAAAATATATCAATGCCTGTTAAACATGCTTCCCTGCAAAAGCAAACTGTCTTGAAATTTCACGGAGGGAACATTGCTCCACAGTTCACAAAAGAAAAGAAAAAAAAAAAAAAAGAGAAGGTTTGAGGATGGAAATTAAAAATTAGATACAAATATAATATATTGTTTTTCAGATTGAACAACTTCAAGGAGAATTCAAATGAAAAAGAATGATAATTCAATGAAAGAGAAAAAAAAACCTTGTTTGTCACAAGCATTAAAAACTGAGTTGCAATTCCCTGCTAATCTACTGAAAATCAGACCTCAGCTTCTCTGCATACTAGCTTCAGTAGAGCCCATTGATCTGATTTAGTTTTTTACAGACGTATTTTTAAGATGGGAATACCTTATCTTCTCTGGTGACAGTAGTGCCTGAAGTGGTTCCTGCATCTCGGGGCTGCATCTCAAAAACAGTTCGGAAAAGATTGTCAGCAGTTGTGCTGAGGAACCCTATTTCCGCATTCGGATGGAGTCCGTATAAGTAAGGGCTTTCAGGGGGCATTGCTTCATCGATATATGTGTGATAACCTGTATAATCCATATTTGGTGGTGCTGGAAAACCTGGAGCTAAGAACAGCTCGCCATCAACCTGAAATTAGTATCACGAAATGATTATCTGCATTTGCCTGCTCTCTTTTGAAGAAAGCTTGAAAGTTTTTTCTACATCTAATACCATTTAATATGCCAACATAGACATAACTTCCTTCAACAAAATCACTCTATATTTTGGGAAGAGAAAATTTTATAGTTAAAAAGTTACGTAAAAAAATGGAGCACTGAAGGCTAGCTTAGTGCAAGGGATGTAAATGGGTTCTTCAGTATTGAAGTTTTTCAGCCAGTGAGGTTTTCTGAAGGGTAAATGCGATGGATGAAAATTAGCGCTCACATGTAAGCCGTCAAAATACTTTCTAAAATTACTTAGTTTCTTAATACTTTATTGAATTGAATAACTTGTGATACAGCTCATCCTTTCATATGTATTCAAAGTTTTAAAAAGTATACTTTCCAAATAAATAATGTTAGTATTGCTCCAAATTTGACAGAGCCCCTAGGAAGTTCTCTTACTTTAGACTGCTTTTCTCGGACAATTAACTTGTACTAGCTTAACGGAAACATTCACCGTGAGTTAGATTCTGTAAATAAGGGACTCACAAGCTCTGGCTGCATGAACTCCTCAAGATATGAAATGCACAATCTCCTATCCCAGTCATCAGTAATATGACCACCATACATAATTTCGCCAAAAAGGTATCTTAAATCTTCCCATGGAACTTTGCTGTTGGCCTCCAAATAATTATACAGAACACTGACACTTATGTTCAAATCACCTAGGGAAAAAATATATAAGAAGTGAAATAAAAGACAGTATACTAATCATTGTGGAGATGAGGACAATCTTCCTTACCACTTAATTAACAAGATAAATTCAGTATTCGAGGTAGAAGTGACACAGGATTCAGAAGATCTCTTAGATAATTCAATGCCCACAAAATCAAAGAGGAGGAGTTCCATTTGAGATTTTACAGTTTCTTATTTAAAAAATGAAGCAGACACTTAGCAAACATAGATTCTAGAGTTCTGGATTCCGATTCAATTTCTTTAAATAGATCTACATTTTATAAAATTTATCTTTTTTTAATTTTGTAAGATGTTTTGAAGATGAAACCATAAAAAAAAAAAACAAGATGACAAAAACTCATCAAGTTATTTTCTCATAGTGCTGAACTGTTACAATAATTTTTGCAACCCAGGATAAGGCTTTTTGTTTTTCGAAAGGAGGAAGAAAATAAAGGAGCTTTGCTTACCAACATTGAAAGGGTAAACCTTGTTCCAACCCTGTGGACCAAATTTTCTTCGCTCCGCAACAACTGCATGGAAATAACAGAGAGAGAATAATATGGTTTTAAACTCGGCTTCTTTGGTGCACATTTCAAGTGTTTCTTGGCTGAAGCAGTCTAAGGCTTTGTGAAGATTCGCTTGCATTCCTGTTGGAGGCTCATTGGTGATTTTGATTGAGGACTCTAGAATACCCTGTAAAAATAAAATGAAGAGATTGTTAAAGAACATAAATTATTCAGAAAAAGTGTTCATAAAATCTAGTAATCAAGATCACCTTACAATGAGCTTACACCAAGTCTTCCTCCTCGTCCTTCACAAGAAAGGATTATTGTCTCCATGACCGGGTAAACATTTATGAATTATAGCATTATGTGTACATGGGAACAAACAAATTACATAGGTATTAATGCTGATACAAGATATTACTTTTCTTTTCATAAACATACAAATTACATATGTATTAACGCTGATAAAAGATATTACCTACACTGTTCTACGAAAGTATAGGTCAAAAATATCTCCACGCTAATTTGAAAGAATGACCTACTTACCTGAGGAATGATGTGAGCACTAGCGGTTGCTGCAGGCTCTGCGCTCATAAAGACACGATACTGAGCATGAGCATTTTCACTCAAGTTTTCCAATTTCTTTTCTAGCGCTGGTAACCATTTTTTTACAAGATGAATATTCTGTCAAAAGAAATAGCTTACATGAATATAAGAATTGATAATTAAAAGAGTAAAACTAAAGAGCCCGAATTTTACTGATAAAATGGGCTGTGTCACCACAGAGCAAGCCTTCAATCTTGAGTTTTGAAAGAGATGAATCTTGCTGAAACGAAAATAGGACCATTATTTTTTAAAACTCCCAAAGAGTCTGCAAAAATGTTATAATAATGGCAGTTCAAATTCTTGGGTGCTTGATCCTTCGAGGACTACAGCAGTAAGGAATAATAGTCGTCACTATGAAAACCAACAGATAGGTAGATAGAGAGAAGATGGCTTAGGTGCGTTCCAATTCCTTGGCGACACAACAAATCTTGGTTCTTTGGATGAACTTGAGCTTGAACTCTTTCAAAAACAAACTGGAGGCAGGATGTGCCGTTAACTAGACTTTAAACTTTAGATATATGTATTTCTAGCAGTGTCCAAAATAAAAGACATTGTGGTGATCTGATATGAGATTTAACAAACCTGTAAGATAACCCAATGACCCTCTTTAGCTGCAATGTCCATTGCTTCCTCTGCAACAACTTCCTGACCTTGGCCAAGAGAGACACTATGGAAATTGCCATTATCTTCGGCATATCCTAGTTTACGTCCCAACGTTTCAACATCCTGTACAGAAAAAGCATGGTATTATGTCTACAAACTTGTCGCATAGAAAACTTCAAAATTAAGGTATAATATGTAGTGATACATGAGACCACAGTTTTACGGTATTACGCATGTTTGTTTAGAATTTTAATTATGTACATATGTGGTTTCAATTTTTTTAAAAGAAGAATAAAGGTCAATTTAAGCCATTATAATTGAAAAGGAAAAAACCGTGAATGCATTTCAAAGACAATGAAAGGCGTCATTTTGAAATAATCATTACTAAGAGGCCCTTGATTCCCAAACTTTCATTTTTTTGTCAAAATTATGACTAGAGATTTACAGGGTCTTTCCATAAGTTTTACGAATTCTCTCCGAGAGTTGGAAAAAGAAGCAACCTCATGGCTGGACCCTGATCCCTAGTTTCCTATGATGTGCCTTAAATTTGTCTTATTCAAATACCTTTAGTGGATTAACTCCTGGCGAGAGGATGAAGAAAATAGGGGTAGTCGGGCTTGTTTCTTCGAATGATTTTGCTAGCTCTACACTTCGCCCTTCCACATATTTGTTGCCAAGTTTCTCTTCGATGAATACACTAACAAAAGAAAAAAAGGGTATGATAAAATTAGGAAAAACCACTAAGGATCAAAATATCCTACTGCAGAGGGTCTACTCCTACAAATAGATGGCAAAGCACTGATTGCTGACACACCAACCCTTCAAGACGTTTTAGGGCTCAACAGATTAACCAACATGCAGATACAGGAGTTTTGCGCTCCTCCTCAGTTTTACTGACCTCTCTTTCTGATGATTAAAACAAACTGGAAACTGCAAAACTTCAGCCTCACACCCTTGGAACCAAAATGGCAGTTGATTCATTGTGGACATAAGTAATGGGACTTTCAAAAACTAAGATACTTACGTCATAGCATAGGTCATTCGATCAGGGCGAAGAGCTCTCATCATACACAAACGTTGAAAAGCAGTTTTATTTTTCCATTCTTGCGGAAACTTCTCTCGTTCAGGGCAATCAGATTCAACAAATTTTTTCCAACGTTTAGAGGAACTCTCAATGTCTCGGTCTAGATTTCTATAAAAAGGAGGAAAAATGAAAAAGCTTTGTTAGAAAGTCATTTCCTTTGGAGACAGGGCAAAGTCCTACATTCAAAAATTAAAAGTTTAAAGAACTGAGAAAATTTCAATGAGAGTGATTTGGTTTTTTTCATCAAGAAAGTTCATCTTGCAATTGCTGATTTTAGTGAAGTGACAAAGCCAGATTATTATATTATGAGAGGCACAATTTTTTTGACCTGACACCAAAAGTAGCAAACAGACATTACAAAAACACTGAATCGTTAAGATTTATGTATGTAATTTAAAGAAAAAATCACAATTTTGATCTGAATTTAGGCACAAATGCTTTGCAACATTAATTTTACAACCTCCACTATTTTTTATGAAAATACAAGGATGAGTGACGACTGTAGCTTAGAGAGAAGTACAAAAATTCACCTGAATTCATCTTTGCTTGATAAGGACCTGACGCCACCCCATGAAGTATTGGATAAAAAGTCAACAGGTGATGTAACGTGAGGAGTGAGAGGGAATCTTAAAAAGAAGTCCAACTCTTGGGGTTGAATTTCCTCATTGATAAGGAGAATCTGCAAATGAAATTGGTACATATTACATTTTGATGAAACACAGCATATTCTTCAGATATATATCTTGATAAGTGCACAAAGGGTGCAAGTTACTTTTAAGCATAGTAAAATATAGATTTAGATGAAAAGGGACATTGTTCTTAAGTTTGACTTAGAAGCTCGGTAAGTTTTTGTGTAAAAATTAAATCAGTACTTGCATGGATACTAGATTAAGACTGGTGGAAAAAAATCAAAGGAATTTTGTTTTTCTGAGGTAGGGGAAGGGGAGGCGCAAGTCATTTTTTCTCACAAATAGCAATTCAATTGGTCAAAAAAAAATCAATTGATGGGTTTCTATGAGACCAAAATCATCTGTATCTCTTTGGATTTTATAAGTTTTATAGCTCAATGGGAAATTTTTTCAAATAATGATGTGCCCTGAAAAAAGTTTGTTTACCTGAAATGCCATTTGGGAAGCAAAAATAAGTTTATCACACTCAAAAAGACCTCTTGTCGTGTACATGAAAACAAAGTATGTGATACAGTCAATTAGGTTGTTAACACGCATCTCAACATCATCGTTTGGAACAGCTTTCTCAATTGCTTTTTGAAATACTACGCTGAATGCCTGCAAGGATGCACAAAGGAAAATAACAAAGAATGAATATGAAACTCCAGTGAACGTTCAGAACACTCTCAGCTGCTTGAGAAAACTTAAAGCACTGGAAATATCTGCTTTATCAAAAAAAACTTTAATTGGTCTTCAAATCAAACAATTTGTCTTTTTTTCAGAAAAAAGTTAATTCTTTATTCATGGTACCGTGAGCATTGGATCTGAATCTTATCTTATTACTTGACAATATATTTATTGTCATTTGTTTTGTCAAATTTGGAAAAAAATCACATTTGCAGCTTATTTACATACAAAACTACAGTTTCTTCTTAGAAAAAGAAATTAGAATTTGTCAGTGCTTCATTATAGGGTGATGATGGTAAATACCTAATTGGGACTGTCTCATAAAATTTTTCTAGGGGAAAACTTGACAGTTTATTCCAGCAGACTCAAAATAAAAATTCATTTTTTTTTCAAAATAAGAAAGAAAAAAGTCATAAAGTTGTTGGCATAGAAAAGTTGTTGGCGTAGAAAACTTGATGGCGGAAAATCAAAATTCTAAAACAGCATCAAGGGTCACTAAGCTTGTACAAAGTGTTCCTCATTGTAAAACAACCTGAATGTTTTTGCTTCATCAACTTTTTTGAAGGAAAATATTCTCTGATGTTTGGTCTCATCCTCATGAGGCCGCTGGATTTCCACTCAATAAGAAAAACACTTGCACAATTGTAGAAACACTTGATGACGCTCACTTGGTTTATAATTTTCACTCTTCGGTTATTCGCAGGAGTCAAAATGTGCAAAAGTCTACAAATTAACCAAGTCCAGCACATTTAAATCTAACAGTAAAATTTTACAGAGCTAAAAGTCTATAAGCTCTAACTCTTGAAGAGGAATCAATAGCATGCTTAAAAGAAGATAAGAGTATTTGAAAAAAGAAAATAAAAAATGCTGGGTAAAAATTTAATGAACACCTTCAAAGAGAATTGATAAATTGGGTTGATTGTGTTGAGGTCATTCAAAATAAAATACAGAAGACTGGCTCTAGCAGCTGCTGGTCTATAATGTTCTCTGGCTTCATCAATTTTTACTGATGTGATCTTTGCTTCTGCAACTTTTTTCTCTATTTCTGCAGCAGTTCGTTTTGTGGTTTCCAGATTTTCAACGAGAGCAGTGTCACCTAGAATATTGCCTGAAAACAGCAGAAACGAACTCATTGAAGACGTATATAAATGCAAAGTTATATACACGAAGAATAAAACGTGAAACAAACCACAGAAAGGAATAGGAAGAAAAATTATGAGGTACATTCTGAGAGTATAAGCTTTAGAGAAACTCCAGCAGATATAAATGTTGCACTACGTTTATTTGGAGAGGCCAATCTGGTGAAATACAAAGTTTTTCTCTCATTCTCAAAGTTCCTTAAAAATTACATACAGTCAACTAAGTTTCTCATCTTTATTGAAAGTTATTATACTATACCTCCTGCACTTGACAGTCTTGATAAGAGGTCATCTTCCAGTTTTTTCAACATAATTTTAAAGTCATTTTGTTGTTTAGTAAGTTCAGCCTGGAGAAAAAATGAAAACGTAGATTAAAACAAAATAGAATAGGCCGCATAAAAATTAGATATAGAATATAGAGAATATCTATTGAGCTAAAAGAACAGCATTCACATTTTACTTCGTATATTTTTTACATTTAACCACTAGACAAGGTGCGAATTTAAACGTCATGATAGACGTTTTCTCATCAAAATATCATTTAAAACAAGATTTGTGCAACAAAAACTATTGAAAGTAGTGCCTGACTAAAATATGAACGTTTTTGATGCCTTAATCAAAACTACCGCTAATAAAAAATGAGAAACTACTTGAGTCAAACCAACCACTAAACTTCACCGTAACAGTCCCTGCAGTATAAAAAAGTAGCATGGTATATTACTGTATAAGTTTGATAATTTTTTATTCTTTGATAATGAGTCTTAAATACTTAAAAAAATAAAATAAAATTTCTGTAACAATCATACTTTCAATTCTTCCAAATCAGGTCTTTCTGCTTTGACGACCTCCGCAAGCAACTGATCTTCTAAGCCGTCTCGCGTCACAGTGAAATTGATAAGAGTTGTTTGAGCTTGCATTTCAGGTTTGTAGTGAGGATTTGCAAGCTTTGTATGCAGAATTAACCTAAAATTACTGTTGTACTCAACTTCTTTGTCACCCATTTTTATAGCTCTGTTGGAAGAGACAAAAATAGAGTTTAAAACAAAGCGGCAAACAAATGAAAAAGTCACACTTTATGATAAGTACAGAAGGTTCTCGCAAAGAGTGGATGACAAGTTCTTCCCATTTTAATAAATTCCTGCAGGCCTTTTTTTGTATGCATAAGCAAGCAAATGCTTTTCATAGGGCACATATTTAGCGTGAAGTCTAAGCCCTGCTTAAAGACAGTATGGATGTAAAAACAATCGAAGTCATTAAAATATTTCGAAAAGCCAAAAAATTCAATATTTGATGAAAAAATGTCTCGACTTTTCAAGAATTTGTTACTCACAGAAATTAAGAGTTAACTCCACAGCTTTCTAAGCATAAAAATTCACGACTAAGCACTTCAAACATTAAAAGTAACGAGAGTAGGGGAAGAAATCTGTTGAAATAAATGCGTAAAAATATTATTAGTTTACCAAACAATATTAAGGAAGGAAAAATTTTTTTTGGAGGATATTCCATTCTTTGATACACACTGACCTGCCTTTCTTAATCAGATTCCGACCTAGAAGAGGATCTAGAACAGGGTCCAGATTTTCACCGATATTTTCGAGAAGGACAGTGGCTCCACTGTTGAGACTTTGTTCCAGTATTTCCATAGATCCTTTCTGTCCAAGCCTGATAACCACAAGATCATCACCATACTTCTGTTTGATCCACTTAACTCCTTGCAACTGTATTGAAAAAATTGTCGCAACAAGACAGGATAAATATATGGACATACTCAAGTGTGAGAGTTTGCATACTTACAAGGAAAGAAAAAATTGGTCAATAAATATACATGAGTTATTTCATACATTTGTTTATTTAACTTCAGAGGCCCGATCCACAAAATTCTCAGTGTGTAAAAAAAAAACTCAAAGTCAAAATCCACGAGCCATCATAAGTCACGGACGAAAATATTTCAATTCAGAAGACCAACTCAAACCCTATAATAATTTGTATTAGATTCCACCAACTGCATCAGTCCAAGTAAGTATAAGAACTTACACAATTGGTGCCTGTTTTAGGCAAAATTCATTAATCTCAATGGTCCTCTTCACAAAATTTTAGGGCTGTGCGAATAGTGAATTTTCCGAAGGAAGCGAATAGCGAATAATTTCGGCAACTATTCGCGAATAGCGAAGCGAATAACGAATAATTTAAGTCAATTATTCACAGCTACGAATAGTAAAACAAATAATTGGAAATGACTTTTTTAAGTGTGAAAATTCGCGAATATTACAAAAGTCGACGAAAAAAATGTGACTAATTTTTAAGAATTTTCCATTTGCTCATACGCCTGCACAGAAAACAATGAAATGCTATGATAGTAGCCTAGGCTGTTAAGAATTTGTTCGAAGATCCCTAGATGCTGGCTTAACTGTCCCTGCAGTTACGTATGCATTTCCAGGATTTGAAGGTAACTGCATGGGCAGTCAAGCTAGTATCGAAGGATCACTAGACACATTTTAGTATTTTATTTTGTTCGCTGTAAATAAAAATGTGTTTATGAACTTTTTCTTTCAATTTCAGAAATTTCTGTGTCTTTCAATCCTTAATTTGGGCTCTTTGCTTATTCCCCAATTGCAATCGCGCTCGCTGTTCGTAAACTCGGCAAAGTCGGTAAAGATCAAAGGAGATCCGCCGTTCGCGATGTCTCGGGTGGAAGCGGAAGCCTTGCGCAGGTCCTCATAACGTTTCACGATTGCCACTCGGAAATTCGTTAATTTTGATGGCGCGAATATTTGAAAATTCATTCCTCGTGACGGCGCGAATATTTGAAAATGTCAGTTCAAAAATTCACTATTCGCGACGGCGCGATTATTCGCAATTTGCGAATAGTGCGCGAGGCAGACGAAGCGAATATTCGCGGCGCGAATAGTCGGAATTGCGAATATTCGCACAGCCCTACAAAATTTACTCAAAGCGCTCACTAGTTTTTAGCATACTTCATTGACCACAACCGTTCATGCCGGTAAATAAAACTTGATGCCAAAATCGGTTTTTTTGATGGTTTTGTGCCAATGTTTCATTTCCCTTACACTTCCGTTTACTTCATAAAATTGGAAAAGATAAATTTAACTGTAATACTGGTTAAACAACTTCTTTGTATGAAAAAAGTGACAAAAAATTCGATTTTGTATCAATCAATCACTTACACCCACTGACAATTACAACACAGTTTCTTCAACAAACTTAGCATCATGATTGGTACTTTTTCACACCAATGATTTATTCAGATTGATGTTTTGTTAGGTGGTAGCTATTGTATCGATAAGTAGATCTTGCCATTTTCTTTAAAATATCAGATTGCTGGTTGCAGCTAGCTATAGCTTTCACATACGACACTTCAAATAACAGATATTTTATTCACCAAAATAAGGAAGTACATACAAAATGAGTAAATGATAAAAAGGAAAATCATACTTGTGGATCAATTATGAGCGGCCATCTCTCAGAGTTGGTTAAGATGGTTGCATTTTCAGTGGACATTCTGTCGCTTGGCAAACCCTCATTGTTCCAAATTGCAACTTGTGCCCCGTCTGTCAGCAGCGTTAATGGATCCAAATCTTCTGTGTTTGGAACGGCTGGCTAAAATAAGAGAAAACCAAATAGGGCTTATGAAATCATGGCAAGAAAACAGAATTGGGTGTGTACAGTCCTAATAATTTCTGTCTATGTTCTATTTAGGAAGAAAAAAAAACCTCGGTTTTTAACAAAATTTACTGTAAATTTTTGTCATTGATTAAAAAATATTAATAGAAAATTCAAGGAAAAAACTCTGATTTGTTCTTTTAAAAAAAAATTAGAAAACATTATGAGAGATTTTTAAACATTACAATGGAGATACGCATTTTCAAACTTTGGCTATCCATTAATAGGGTTAACAGAGGTAACTTAAGATGGAATTGAATTCAAACTATTGGAGCCATAAACTAATGAGCTGACTAAATGATAAGGCAAAGTCAAAGAACTGCGATGCAATAATATACAAATTAAAACATTACTTCAAAGTTGCAGTTTTGAGTTTAATAAAATTGAAAAAGTGAAAATTCTTGCCCACCTCTAAGCCTTTGAGGAAAGGTATCCACATTTTGTTCATTAGATCAAGTCGATACTGTTTGGTAAAGCATCCAACATATGAAATGAATGCAGTAATCAACAAAACGTCTCCAGGTAATGTTGTTCCTTGCTGCATAAGACTGGAACAAACAACAAAAACAGATTACATTCAACAGAGCATCAAACATTTGAACTTAAGAGAAAAAAAAAACAGAAAAGTTATCATAAAAGCGAGCTGAAAACTTTGAAACATAATTGATCACACATTGAAAACACATACTTCCTTCACTTTTTATTTGCGCTAAAACTTGACAATTACCTAGAGCCTCAATGGGCTCCAATAGACTCAGCACAACCTCTCTTTTGCAAGCCTTACTTGGCTTGCATAACAGGTGGCTTACGGTGCAGAGGGTAACCCCTTGCATCCTGACTTTGCATGTCTTAAATGGTTCCTGTGAATTACACATAAATGCATTGCTTAGTAATTAAGTGTAATAAATGATACAAACTATTTGAATCATTTGGGTTATGGATATTTATGCAAAAATTACCTGGCAACTGCCTCAGCCCATCTTACGTTTTCAGAGGCTAGCCCGCCGACCAATCTATTTGCAAGCTGGATGGTGCGATTAGTGGCATCTGCCTCTTCTTGACACCGCAACTTTTCTGAAGTTGCTTGCTCAAAATCATGTGTCAGTTTCGCTAACTGCTCTTCAAGAGATGCCACTTTACGCTTAATCACTGTCAGTTTATCTTGAGCGGCAGCGAGTTCTGCATTTGCCGCTGCTAAAGCTTTCCGTTTCGGTTCAACATCACAGTATACTTCATAGAACTTGATTATGTTGATGACCCATGCACACAGACCTGAGAAATGTTGACATTAATTTAGCTCAATGTTCAAGCAGCATATAGACAACTTTTATTGGAGAGGTTCGGATGAAAATATTCTCGATTGATTCCGAGCAAATGAATAATCAAGACTTAACATTTCATAAATTATATTAGTTTTTAACTTGTTATTGATGGAGACACTTTGGTCAAAATAACTATGGGATAGACATACTTTCTCATCATATTAGACTTGAGGTAATGGCAACTATATATTCCTAAAATCCCGATGACCTACAAAATTAGGATCTTGGCTTCTTCATATCAGATTCATGTTTAAACTGAAGCAAAAAATCTAGTTCCTGATTAAACTAGCACCAGATGGTGTAATGCTGAGACATTCTGTTAAAATGCTGAATTGTCAATGCTAGACCCAACAAACTGATGAATTCTGTCGATTTCTACAATCGGATAGCTGCCTCAAAGAGTTATTACACTACGCTACCACAGCTGAATAGAGTATACATACATAGAAGTAAACAACTCATAGTTGATGAAGGTTACTATCTCCATTTGAAAGAAAAGGATGATGAATAAAAGAGCACCTGCAGCTGCAGCAGATTTTGATTTCACAAAGTCAGGCTCAAACTCCTCATCCTTCAGATATGGCTGGATGGCCTTGATGATTTCTGGATGGATGTTCTCCTTATCGTAATTTACAAGTGAATCCAAGAAGGTATCAACTTTGGCCATAACGATTTTAGCGGATTTCCAACTTCTGTCTTTGGGTATTTTACCGTTTGGAGCTAGGAGCACCATCACTGCAGCTGTGACGTTTGTTACGACACCAGGCGGAGAACCAAAAGACTTCAATTCAGTGAGATTAGCTTTGTTCAAAGTGTTCAAAGCTTCCTGTAAAATGCAAAGACAAAAAATTTAATTTGCAGCAATTTATAAGTTACCTTTTTTAATCTATTACTATGCACAAGAGAAGGGATCTAATTGTTAATGCAAGCAGGCAAATTTTTTATGGGTTTTTTTTGTAAGATTGAAAAGTCCGATTTAAGTTCTTGACAAAAAACACTCCCTATTGCCCCAACAACAGAGTTGCAAATGGTTTACAATGGTTCATTTTCATGACAAGAGAGGGTATAAAGTTTCGATATATTTGGACAATTTGCGGCCTTAAGGATGGCAGATTCCACTTTAAAGAAGTTTTTTTTCTTGAAAGCATAATTTTTGAGCTACGAATTTCAAATCATCATGAGTTGTGTTTGGATTTTCATCTTTGAGAATTTTTCTAACCTAAACTCGAGAGTGAAAGAGTGAATTTCTGATGGTGCGGAAGGCCCATCAAAAGATGGTTTTTGTTGTGGCCACAGGGAATCAGTGATCCAAAGCAGAAGAATACATCCGTGCCGTACGGACTTCCCCTATACCGGTACTGATCACATGCAGACCAAAAGTACTTGGGGAAATGATTCCACTACCTTAGGAAGTCAGTGCACTTGACATCACAGAGATGAGACGGCACAGGCTTGCATGAGTCGAGACAGAGGGAACGGATTTTCGTATGCAGCGCACCCGTGAACACTGGGGGGGGGGGGGGGGGGGGCTTTTTATATAAATTATCCTCAGAAGATGGGGCAGGAGTGAGAAAGCTCGCACCAACCTGAGCAGCCAATAAAGCAGGTTCAGCTTTCACCAAGTCCTCCTCACAATCTTGTTGTTTTTTTGCAACTTCATCCGCTATAACTTTGACTCTTTTTTCCTCAGCGTCGGCTATTGCTTTTTCTCTTGATACTTTTTCCGTCTCAACTCCTACGATCTGAATTAGAGTATCCGCAGCATCATTCTTGATTTTCAATTCGACTTCTTGCACGGCTAGCTTTGCCTTCAGATCATCGACCTGCAAGAAGGAATCAAACAAAAACATAAATGAAGTGTGCAAAGGGGATCAAATGTGCTACACTGGAAAAGTGGACAAGGGTCCCAAAAACCTTCGTAAGAACTAGAATTTGGCAATTTTGAAGCCTTGTTCTCATATATGTATTATTCATATGATGCTTGGATGGGATAATTTTACTTATGTTTTTTAAAATCATAGTTGGGTATGTATTATATCAATAAAATTTAATAACTTAAATATCAACTATTGGTGAATTTGGAAAAAATGAGGCATAGATAAATTATGTTTGACTGTCATTGCGCAGATTGGACCTCATCTATTTCATGAGGATCTCAACCTGTGAGAAATATTCACTTAATAATATCTATGAAACTCCCTTGAACCCGCTAGGAAATGCTGAAAAAAAATTTTCAAATCATTTCAATTTTGTCAGGAGAATTCATTATTTTTAAATAGACGAGAGGACTATTAGTTTCGTAAACAATTAGGAATCTGACCTGCTCTGCTGTGCTTTTCAGTTTCTCCAAACCATTTTCTAGTCGCACAACTTTACCAGCCAACTCAGCTGATTTCTGAAGCAATAACTTGATGTATAAGGCGATCTGTTCCAGGAAGGATTTTGGAGTTGTGTAGTTGTAACGACGTTCTGCTTGTAAATATACGCGAGAGGTAGCGTTGACTTGAGTGTGGACATAAGCCATAAATTTAGCAACCGAATCTCTGAAGCATTCCTGTTGTCAGAAGAGAAAGTATTATGAGTGTAATTACAAAAAAAATTGTTAGGAATCATTGAAGCCTCCAATAAATGAAGAGGGTAGGTTCGTGACATTTACATGACTATCAGAAAAACGAGTTTGAGGTTTTAAAATTTTGCAGAGTCCGATGGCTCCAAGAGTTTAAACAGCTGATGCCAAGTTCAGTTTTCTGGATCAAATTTTGGCAAACTTCATTTTTAAAATAAGTTTCCCTCAAACTCACTGATACTTTAATTTTTTCATGAGTGTCACTTTCCTCTTTTACACACCAGAGACTTTGATTATTACGCACTATTGTCAACTAACATGTAAAAACTACATGTTAAAAGCCTAATTTTGTAGATCAATATAAGTTTCTTATTTTGACATATCAGTGATAGTTTCAGATCAAGATCAAAGGCATTCAAGAGATCCAACAAAGTAACAAATTGAAAAAGATGGTAAGGAAGACAACCAACTTTGGTAAGATCACAAACCCTGCCAGATTAGCTGGAACTGCCTGCCACACATGTCGGCGCTTTGTAAGCACTGTTTTGTAAGTTCAAGGCACATCAAAAAATACAAGACACTTCCCTCATTTTCAAGAACTTTAAGAAAAGAAATATATTGGTAGTTAATGAAAAGGAATTACAGGTAAGACTTCAAGCTCCATTAGAAACTTCTTTGAGACAGACATCAAGGCTTCTTGCGGCCATTCATGGAACCAATTGATACAAGTAGAATTCACTAAAGCAGGAAATTTACGAGACCGAATTCTTAAAGTTGAACCAACAGGAGAGAAACAAAGCACAACTTTTAACTGTCGTCGAACTCTGTCAATGAAGAACTTCCAACAATTCTCACGAGAATCTAACAGTCCAGCTCCTTTGACCTGGAAAAGACCAAAGAATACAAAGATTACCCCTGATAAAAATTTCTGGTTTTATTTACCCACGAAACAGAGAGAAAAAGAGTAAAGGTTCGATTTGAGTTTGTTCTTCGTTGTATTTTTTTCTTCTTTTTCCCCCTTTTTTTCAATTTCATACTTTTTCTGAGGCAGACAAGATAATTTTATGTCATTATTATCTCTCATCTACCAAGAAATCTGCTAAGTTGTCCTGTAACCGACTTTCAGTTTACTGAACTTGTAAAACACAGTACATAATAACACGGAAGTCGCTTTTGGGGAATTTGGCACTTGAGGCTGATTGAATTTTAGGAAAATGTTTATTTCTATGATATTATTTGAAACTTTTAAATGTATGTGAAATATGTTACAAAGTGAGAGGTTTTATTTAAAAAATTGATGCTGAAACATGGTTTTTTTTTCAGCTCATTTAGATATTTCCTGCCAAAAACACAATGTTTAGAAACAAATTACGGAAAAAAATGACAATACTCATTATGAGCAACTTATTCTGTTCAGTACACTGTGGAGGATTTTATGATTTCCCTCTCATCAAAATGGTAGTGCAAGAACAAACTTACCTCATTTCTGACTCCAGAAATGATATTTTCAACTTCATCATCAGGAAATAGGTCAGGGACCTCACCAGATGCTAGCATATCGTTGATGAGAACAAGAAAACTCTCTGATGGTACCTGGGCATCTGTCATAAGAAACATGATTCCAACATTTTTCAAACCAGCTTTTAAATACAAGCCTGATAATTCCATCTATAGAAAGAAGACAAAAGAACATTAGGAGAAAAATAAATCAAAGCAAAAAGGAGGTTCAAATAGTTTTAAAAACCTGGATCTTGAACAGCAAGGAGGTGCAAAAATCAGTTGCAAACTCAGCCTTAAAATTTCCTTACTCTTCAAAAATATCAAACGTGTGAATTGAGAGAAAATTTAAAAAATCCGCCTGCTTGATGTTTTTCCTTATTTTTTACTTTAGAAAAAAAATGAAGTGCTTATCTTGATAAAATGTTCTATCTACAGTATAATATAGCCAGGAACAGAAGGACAAACATTGGTGAAGCTTTTTTCTTGAGACCAAAACTGGTTTGGTGGAAAGTGTGGAATTGTGATTATTTATGGGACAAGTATGTCTAACTGGACCAAGCCTGAGGCAGCAGAATGGGACTTCTTGTTACTACCATATTATCAAAACTGAAGATTCTCAAGACTCAGTCCACCATGCACCAACTGTTTATGGTGCACTGTTGTGGCTACAACCATACCTAGCGCACACTTTTGTCACTTGAGCGTCATACATACTTTACCAAGGGTTAATAAGGTGCAACATAAACCTTCAAAAATATTTTTAAATTTCTTTTGGAAACTTGTAAATCAACTCTGCAACACTTTTTGGACAGCTCATGAACTGCTTGCATACCAGCAAAATGAACTTATGAAGTTTCTGATGCGACTTTAACAAAGCAGATAAACACACACCTTAAGGTCTAATATGCCGTAACCTTTGCGTAACTGTATTTGCGCAACTTCCAAACTTGAAATGAAAGCTGCTAGTCTGGATAAGGATTGTTTCCCACTTCCACCAACACCAACCAACAAACAACTTCCTCGAGGTGACTCTAAAATTCTGTTTATTCTAGGAACAAATAAATGAAGTGCGTCTTAAACAATCACAAAACAGCAGAGAAAAGATTTTTTATTTGCTTAAATCTTCTAATGAGTCCTTAAAAAAAATTCAAAGGCTCTTAAATGAAGACTTATTTTAGGTTCCAAATAATTCCTACTTGACATGTTCCTGTGCAGAATGATTCGCAAATGCTCAGCAAACTGCAAACTTTCAAGAAAAGAAAATCGCTCTATTTGTTTTCTTTTTTTGCTGTCTCACAGTTTTATTTAACAAAAAAATAACTACATTTTCAAATATGTTGATTTAAAATTTTTATTTCAGAAGAGCTGTATTAATGCCGTTCTGTAATTATTTCGTTAATAGAATTCAGCAAGGGAGCAAATTATATGAATATATAATTTGCTCTTGGGTTGATAGGATTAATAATATTTTTTTGTTTTTTTAAAAAATTGAAAAAGTCAAGAACAAACAAAATTTTTACTTTACCTCATAAATATTTCATTCTTTCATAAATATTTCCGGATTTTTCTTAAGATTACATTAATTTTTATTCTTCATTAAGTAAGTTTCCCTTATTCTTCCTTAATTTTTGTATCCTGACTTGGATTAATAATTTAATAAATCAAATTTTAAAAAAAAAAAAAACTGCATTTAAAGCCACTTAGATGTGTCCTACTTGTTTGTGGGTCACTTTTATGCTTACCTACAGACATGCATCATAGCATCTTCAAAAAGAACTAGATTCATGGCAGCAACAAGGTCGTTATAAGATGCGAGAGCTTCTTGAAGTAACTTGCTCAGATGATTCCAATCAGCTATTGGCATGTACTTTGGTTCTCCAATTCCTTGAGCAAAGTGACAATAGATATTGGGTTTTTCAAGAACAGTCCCTTCGTCTAATTCCTGAAAGGTTCATCCAGAAATCAAAACATGATTAGACCACACACTCAGTTGCACAGATTATGAAGGGATAATTGGTGCCAAATTGAAAACTATACAGTGACATGAAGGAAAAATAAAATTTACAGCTTACATGATTCAAATTCTGGGAGAGGAACCTCATCTAGCTTCTGATGAGCTAATAAATAAACTTTTCTATTCACAAGAGTCATCTGTTGAAACCTATTTCCCCAGGAAATTTTGGTGGATTTAATTTTGGTAGATTTAATATCAGATAATATTCGGTGATGTCTGGTATCTGATTTCATATTGGGTATAGATAATTGAATAGACAAGTATCTGATTGGGCGTATCTTCCACAAAAATTCTTTTAAATTAATTCATTTCATTTTACTGCCACAAATTTTTTAAAAAAGTGACACTATCCAGTAGGAGAGGTGACTGGAGAAAACTTACATCAAAATTCTTCTTAACGATATCGATTTGAATCTTCATGAATGCATCTGCATCTTTGTCATCGGTTAATTTATCTCCATAGACTCTTTGTGACTCGTGCATCCACAACCGCACCAAATCAGACGGAGAGGTCAAACAATCATTAGAACTGAATAACATTCCCTGTAAAAGTAGAATATTATGAACTAGAGATAAGAAAGAAGGGATGCTCAATTTTTAATTGCCTGAGACTCACCCTCTCAGCACAGGGGAAGAGAGTCGCAACATGTAATTTTATTATTTTGGTTGATATCTCATGAGCTCTAACAAAAAAATATCTGGTGATCCATACGCACTAATGAGAGAACTATGAATCTTAAAAAATTCTGCAACGTTTAAAAAGTTCCGCTCCTTGTCAATTTTTTAGAAGCAAGATTCTTCCATTCAATTTTAAAAAAGTACAAACAATAAGAAATGAAAATTTTGCACCACTCTTTAACATAAGGAGAGCATATCAACAAAGCAATTGAACGGTGCTTCCTAGTAGAGCTCAAACTGCTAAACTATGCATGAGGTGTACTTTACCTGGAACACATTAGAAAGATCTCGTAGATTGAAAATATAGTGAAATTTGATTGCAGTTGGAAGAAACACTTGGCCGGCTTTGTTATGAAGTGCGATGGTTGCTGTTACGACATTGGGGCACATTCGAGCAACGATGTGGGGGAATCTGTACTCTGGATTGGCAAAATGTTGGCTTAGAATAGAATGGTAAATAGTGCTTAAGGATTCAGCATTTGGAAAACTGGAAAAAGAAAAAAGAAACAATATGAGAAGGATGGACCACTTAGATTCGTTTTAGGCTGCTTCTTCTTCATAACAATTCTAATAACAGAATTAGCAACGACTGCTCACAGACTTAAAATCGAGTTATTGCTGTTATTGCCTCGATAGAAATTTGGGAAAATTGTGACAAAAATCGCTTTAAAATTCTAAACCACTTGGGAGGTGTGACAGTTTGAATTTGCAAGTCCAAAAAAGGAAAAAACAATTCAAAATTTTGCGATTTACAAGGCTGAAAATAGCTAGATTGAAATGTAATTTTATGTCTACCATTGACGCAAAAATGAACCGAATCACTCATGACTCATTTTTAAGATACTGAAAATTTAACTGTACAGACACATTTTTTGCCCAACTTGACAAATGGGTCTTTTCTAGTGGACAGTCATGTTTGTCTAATTTTTCCTTGCTGAGTGATCAAGAGAGGAAAAAACCGTCTTTTCAGGCATCCGGGACCATTGGAAGTATTCACAAAAAAGGTACTAAGGAAATTTACTGGCACACTGCTGTAAATTCCATACCTAACAGCTAAAACACAGAAATGGCGCTGAAGACGTGGATTGATGGTGAAACTTCCCGCTGTTGGATTCATACAGGAGACATACTGGCAATTGTGAATGTCCTTCAGAGACAACTTTGTGCGATCATACCAGTGATTGTAATCCAAATGCTGTCTAATTAGAGTATGTGGCTGTACTGTGCCATACTGATCAACCTAAAATAAGAAAATTTTGAGAATTAGCAACAGGAGTTAGCTTGGGGAAACAAGATTTTGCGTTAGAATACAGGGATCATAAAAATGGGCTTCATTGAGCACAAAGGATAGATGTATGGAGAGAGTGTTAAAAAACAACATTCAATGCAGAAAAATGTGTCAGTGTGTTTTATTACAACTCACTTTGTAGAGAGGTCCGTTCCGCTTCATGACATACAAAGAGTTCACATTTCCTGCCGAACTTTGAAAGCATGATCCAATAATACAAGAAAAAGGCTCATAATTAGAAAAAATTTGGCTTTGGGTCAAAGAGAAATTTTTTGTCGTCCTTGCCAAAGAAAAGTAAGACTAGTTTGCAAAGAGAGGAATCCCACGTTTGTCATTAAAATACAGTGTGTGGGGAAAACGGAATGTGGGAGACGAGACTTTAAGCAGGGCTGCATCTACAATTTTAGAGGCCCAAGATTGGGCATTTTTTGCTCCAGCACTTGTCTACAAGTTGGTATACTTCTGCAAATCATAGGATCTCATGAAAGCTGATGCATTTAATATTTTACGGTTCACTTTAGAGAAGACTGATTTCCTTCTTGCCCTTAATTCATACATTAAAGTCTGCTGATTGATGCCAAAAACCGGGTTCAGCAATAAAGAAATCAAGTTCATACAAATACTTACTTCTGGCATGTTCATATCATCCAAAAAATAGACCAATGTTTTATTGCCAGGAGGACCATAATTACGACCAGCTTTTTTCTCCAAAGGCTTTTCCAATATTTTTTGGAGCATTTCTGCAAAAAAATTGACAATCAAGCACACAGTCAAGGAGAGCGCAGCGATGCATGACAAGAAAAAAGAATAACTACAAAAATACTGTAAGAGAACAGTAGATTCACACGATTATTCCTCTGCCACTCGTATGAATTAGTTGATATAATGCCAAGCTGGTCTTAGTGACCGTTTTTTCACAAACTAATACAGACGGTGATCAATCTTTTCTGGAGCATGCTTTAATCATGTTGCCAGCCTATTCAAATATTATATGCAAACCCATCTTGTTACTAATGGTAAAGTTGCAGAATGGGTACAACTAAGAAGTAGCTCTACTATCTGGAAATTTCCTACTGTTCACGCAATGTCCTGAAATAGTCAATCACAGCCGTCGCATTGTGTCATTTTTTTTGGGCATCATTTTTTGGTCTAGTAAGAGTGCAAATGAAAATCATGTGACCAAAAACGCATTACACAGAATTTTTTTAAAAAAAGTTTAAGATAAGAGCAGTATGCAGAAATATTTTAAACAAGCTCTTTTCAAATAGGCAAAATTCATTGATTTTTCCATGTAAATTCCTTGAAGAGAATAATAACTGAAATTAATGATATAAAAACGACTTTACCTGAGGAAGTGTAGAAGTTGAATGGAATATTTGCAACTGCATAGTTCTCATTCAAGCTCACAAGTTTCTCTGCAACCAGAACAGTTTTGCCACAACCAGCATTACCAACCAACATGACTGGATGTTTCTGGTCCATTAATAAATCTACGAAATACCGAACACGTATAGACTCTGATGTATGAACCAGGATTGCCTAAAAATCAAAGACATGTTTTTAGAAAAGCTAATATTGTAATTACTTTCAGCAGTTTGAATATAATACAAGAATTTATTGTGGAGAGCAAGATTAAAATGAAAAAAATAATTATCATTCCTTCAGGATTTATCAAATTTTCTGAACAAACGGACACATTATATTTTATTCATTGATGATTTTTAGCCCAAATTCCTTGCTCAGATTATTACATTTGTACTACAAATGTATATGTTATGACTGCTTTTAAATTAGTGAAGAGGATGGAGTATAAATGCAGAATACAAAACTCTTTGAATAAACAAATCAGCCAGAATATTGGATAAAAAAATAAAGAACTGCCGTATGTTTTAAAAATCTGTACCTGTAATGGTGTATCAGGGTCAAGTTCAAACCTCGGTAATCGCTCAGTCCATGGCATGAACTGTTTTGTTTCATTGTCAATGTAGTAGTCGAATACAGTCCCAGTGCTAGGATATTTTACTGATTTGAATTCTGATATCCACCACTTGGAAAATTCAACCCGGTAATCAATTGCCTGGGAAAAAATTGATACAAATGATTTTATCAATTCTCACCATAAAAATAGCAAGACAAGAGGTTGACAGTGGTAGAAATTTCATTCGATTAACAAAACGAATTCCGAGACTTCACAGTTAATTGTTCAAATTAATTAAAAAATTTTGCAACATGCTGACCAGAAATCAAAACAGTCACAGTGGCTAGTGTTTTGAGCAACGCACTTTCATTGCACCATTGTGCAATAGAGGTTCTGCTTTTAGACTCTTTTAGGAACTAACTGTAGGGAATTAGTTAGTAAGTGATTGATAAAAACCGCTAGCATCACAGAAATTAGTGATATTGTGGTTCAAAGCGCTCAAATTCCAATGCTCCTTTTGTGCGTTCTTCCAGCCTGACAGGAACAACTTTGCGAAAACATGTGGGCAATGAACAGATTGATGTGCTGTTACGAGTAGGTTCAAATTAAAGGAAGATCACTAATATAATTACAGAATAAAAACACTTTGCTGCAGAACAGCAAGAATACATTTCTGAGGAAATTAATATGAAATCTGAAAAATCTTTGAGATCTGACAGGTATGGATGATGCAAACATACTCACTGACTTCGCCTCCGAAACCCTCCACTTACTGAGGTACTTATCACTTAATAATGCTTAAATGATCGATGGATCATCATTAAATGCTGCCATAAGAAACTTGAGCTTATACCTGGTCTTGAAACATGGCGGCTCCGAAGGCCCAAACACAGGCAAAAGAAAAGTACAAATCAAGCCACTCCTTGGAGCAATCTGGTGGTGTATTTTGGGGAGTCAGAAGACACTGCAGCAAGTGACACAGCATCTGAATATGAGCCATCTCCGCAATTGGTGTTATTTTTTTAAACCTAGTCCGCACCGTTTCTAAACAAGCTGGGATGTACTTGTCAAAAAGTATGACTAGATTTGACTTCTCTGAGGTGTGTTCACGAGTTTCAATCCAGCTGGTGACATACCTTGCAAAAAGAGAAAAAATTAAATTATTGATAGATATTTCAATCCTCAATAAAAGTATTCTGTAAAAAATAAATCAGGTCAAGGGGCAAGTAAATTACAACTCTCTATTAATATTTACTCCTCCTCACCACTCTCAGCAAGTTTGTCATAAACCAAGGATAATAACATCTGACTAATCTTTTTTGAGTTCCTGAAAAAGTGCATAACTTAAAAGCCTTCACAATTTTTGAGCATAAACGACAAATTTCTCTGAAGAACATTCTAAACTTGGTTAAAGTGCGATTTGGTGGTCTACATACATTGACAATAGGGAAAAATCCTTCATGATTGAATGACCCTCCTTGTTACAGAATGTACTTGCTAGAGACGAGAAGTTTTTATCACTTACGGGTTCCAGCCTAAATCCTGAGGGTTGATGTAAAGAATACCAGCTCTTGAAACAGTTGCAGGGGTAGCCGTTCGTAAGTTGGAAATTTCAAAAAGCAGACGCATCGATGGAGTTAAAGCTATGCGCTCATTACTTGCTAAGGTCAGAATCTGTAAAAATAAAGTTTTTATAATTCATTCAAATCATTTTCATACCCTGTCCTAAAAGGGAGAGGCACGCTGAAACTTTAAAGCTTATCACCATCTTTGGATGGAAAAACATGATAATGAAGAAATCTCCTCTGACCAATATTTAAGAGTCTTAAAAAATTGGAAAGAAAAGAGTGTTAAGGTTATTGATGGGTGTACCTTATTGTCATCCATCACTGTGTTCAGTGATTCTATCCACATTGGATCAATGTCTCCATCCAGTATGATCCATTTTGGATGATCACCAGACAAGTTGGCTTGATCCCTCATGATTACGGAAAAGAGACCTGCAAATCAATCATTAAATGGTAAACTTTAAAACTGGTAAATTTTAAAAAAATCATGGATGCTGGATCAAGATAATGAGCGCCTGCTTACTTTAAAATTTGCAAAAAAGTTCATGGCGAGGCTAGTCATTAAACCTGTCCCCCACCAGTCCTGACTTAGCTTCCGGGTATTAATGGTTCTTACCAAACCTAGACAGAAGTTTTTGGGAACAAAATTTTAATTCAGTGCAAAAAATGCTCCTCAAAATTTTTTCGATTCTTTCACAAAATATCTGCCTAAAAATGGCAGTAAACATTTTCTAAGATTTAGAGAGAGAGAAATCATCAGATTAAGAAAAAATTCAAATAAAATTCATTAAATAGACGACTCATCTGTAATTAAATTTAAGTCCTCTTTTCTCCCTCTTATCCATTGTGTGCCAATGAGGTACAAGTTACATACCGCTAATTATTATAGGATGGTATTTCTGTATCTTAATTGCTTGGAATACCCTCTAACAAGAAATAGTTTTAAAACTTGGTAAAGAGCTTTGAATTCAGATCTTGTCCACATCAGTTTGGGATCTAAAATTCATTCGGAAGTAAGCGGTTACCAAAATGAACATGCACATTATTCTCATGGTTACAAAAATGAAACCATGGGAAAATGATGATATACTTTAAGCCGTTTTCTAAAAAAGTCATATGATGATACAAATGGTTTCTACTGTTGATAGAAGAGAGAGGTTACCATCTTTCCATTCTCTTGTTGCAGGGTTGATAATCCCAAATAATTCATCATTTGTGACGGCTTTTGGGTTCAAGTCATTGTAGAGTGGTTTTCGTTTGATATTCTGATATGTTTTGAACAGCGTTTTCCAAACTTGAGTTTTACCCGTGCCAGCGTTGCCAACTAAGAAGACCGAGTGTCTGACTTCCAGTAGTTCTTCCAATTGAACAACCTGTTATGAAACAATACTGTCAAAAAGAAAAATATATGAATCATGGAATTTCCGCCAGTTGCTTGGCATGAAAAAAAGAATACGGACCTTTGTGCGAAATGAAGTTTTACAATTATGAACTTGAAGATAGATTGTTCAAAGGTTTGGATTGTAAAAAGCTTGGGAGGGATTTGGCATGTGTAAAACATTTGGTAGCAATATGCTTGGGAAAAGATGTGGGACTCGAAAAATTGCAAATGCTATTCAGAACAATAGGGCTATCGTGCAGATTTCCCCAATAGTTGAAAACTGTGAACATATAATTACAGTTTTCAGACTTTTACCAAGAGATTAATGAATTTTAATCCTACTTTACCTACTCGGATGAACGGACGCTGACAACAACTATTAGCTCCATGAAGCAGATTTCTTGATCTGAGGGAGATTATATTTTAATTGAGCTAGAAAATGTACCTTCAGAATGAAATTGTCCTCAGGTTGTAGTAATAAATCCATGGCTGCTTGTTTTACTGTTCGTTCAAATTCCAAATCCCTCTTACGTGGAACATCCAGAGCAGGAAAGAGATCACCGATCAAACCCATGAAAACCGGTACGTCATCTGTGATGACTTTCGGGGCGTTAAAATCACGAAGCGCTCTCATCAACACCTCTTCTTCTGGACGACCTGGATCTCCACGCTGCAACATTCATCCATTAGCACAATCAATAAACAGGAGTAGCAATGACAGGCTCATTAAAAAACAGCGAGAGGGTTGATTGGGGGGGGGGAGGGAGGCATGCATTAGGAAACTGAATAATTCTGAAAGGTTGTGGTTGTAAAAAAGGATTTTCAAGTAAAAATAGGCTCAAGAGACAGAGGATTTTTTTATATTAGATCTGAAACATTTTGAAGACAAGATGAAAATAAAAGTGGAAGTAAGGACTACAAAGAACCTATACAGAAAGTTCTTACTTTCAAAGAGCCGGCGACAACCAACACAGACTTGATTGCCCTTAAACCCCAGTCGTAGTGATCTTGTTTGGATAGCAATTCCTTGCACAGGGTATACAATGTGATGAATTTTCTGGCTAGAACACGAGCTTCTTGAAACCCTTCTGCCACCAACATGATTTCACAGATTAATTCAAAATCAGGGACCACCATTGCACAAGGCCTGAAAAAGCACAGAAACATTTTCATTCTCTGTAGATTCACTCAGTAGAATTTTTTCAAATGCTGACTCATAATTTTTACAAGCTTGGTTTCATGGGACAGAAAGAAAATTAAGGTGCGATGTTTCTCAATCAATTGCACATGTTTATACAAACCAATTCATCTAGATATAGTATTTTCTGTAAATAAACTTTGGTTCAAAAGTCAAATTTGGTTCAAATGTCTGGTAAAATTGAATTTCTTAATCTATTGAAGACAAGAAACCTCACCTTGTGATTTTCCAATCAAACTGAATTAAGTATGCGCCTGACAAAATAGAGATTAAAAAATTAACCTGAATAGAGCTTTTAAGTTCTCAGGCAATTCTGTACGTCCAGCATAGCCAGGGTTCATTGTTATGAAGATACCAACTGTTGGAGTCAACGCAATCATTTCCCCCATGAAATTAAAGAGTGTCTTCTTATCACGAATGGCATCCTGAAAAAAATTACCAAAAGAATGATGTGGATGTCTCATTATTGCACAAAAGAACAACATCTAGTTACTTCATGCCACAATGATATTACCTCAAAACCGCATGCCTCAATATTTGATGATGGAAAGTATCATAGTCTAAGTAATCATAACCAGAAAAAAGGAGAAAGTGTCAGTAGGATGTATTGAACTTCTATAATATTTCTTAGTCTTTCAAGATTTTTCACTCCAGAGTGGACAAATAAGTGCTGATAAGTTTTTTAGTGGAGAAATAAACTTTGAATGAAGGATACTAGCGACGATGGATTGATGTGACATTCACAAGATTTTGAGAAAAACAGATTTAAACTTGAAAAATTACACAAAAACTTAAGAACAAATGGTTTTTAATTTAAATATTGAGCTGAAAAAGTGAGATCTAGTGTTCAATTTATTAACAAAATATATCAAGAAATGAATTTTGATTGAAATGGCCAACGTCATGATTTCTTTTAAGAAGTCATTTACCGCCTTTCGCCAAGGTCCTCTTCAATCGTGATAAACATTTTGTCCTTCGCACAGTTGAAGAATAAGAATCCAAAACTAGGTAAACATCATCAGAGGCTATTGAGTCAATGCATGGATTTTCTTGCTATGGAAGAATCTGAATAAATTTCCCTTACGTAATTTTTATTAGGAAATTTTGATTTTCTTGAAATGTAAGTCTTATTTTTATGATAAATATTGTTATTTTCAGGCCACTGGATTCCCATTAAATGATATGGGATTGCTGAATAGTTGATGAGTAAGTTTGTAATTACTGAATAGTTGCAGAATTGGAGCAACATGCAATGGATTTTGTCAGGTTTTAAAGCACCCTTCTTTTCTCGGAGAGTTGCAGCCTGCAAAAGTATGTTCTTTGTATGTTAATTGTTTGAATTGAGCATAAGTTACCTGAACAGATTTTACTTGAACAGCCACCACAGAGAGAACTTCCACAGAGATTCTATTGAATTCATCAAAGCAACCCCATGCACCAGTCTGAGCTAAACCTTTGTATATATTCCCGCATGACTAAAAATGTTAAAATTGAAGACAAAAAACCATTGCTTTACTGATAATGGATTTTTAATGAGAAAAAGCAAAGAAAAATAGATTTTCATCGATTTAGATTTTATTACATGAAAGCGATCCTGCACCGACCCGATCCATAAAGGAGGTGTTGCTGAGTTTTACTCAATAATGATCTTGACACTAATTACTTGACCATTGATTTTTATCAGATTTCATTATGGATACCTACTGCTTCCACAGTATTTTCCTTCTTGAAAGTGAATTATTTGTTTATCCCTCATGGAATATAATATGCGGTAAGTCTCTCTTTGGGAAACAGCAAAAAAAGGATGATATGGATTTAAACACCTGCTGTTTATCTTAATTAAAACAGATTAAAATATACCAAAAATGTGCGATTTCAAAAACATGATTACATTGTTCTCCACACGGCCCATAAGGTATTGACAAATTAGACTTCTTTTTAAAAAATAAAAAGTTGCTTGTCACCTCTATTTCATCAACTTTCATTTTTTTTTTACTGCACCGGCCTGAGCAGAGACCAATAATAATTTTTCTTAATTTTACAAAAAGCTACAAAAAAACTGTACAAGCTCTGTAATAGCAGCATTAAATAGTGTCTAAGAGCTAACTTGCATACCCTTGAATCCTACCTTGAAACCTCCAAAGGATGAAAAAAAAGGGCATTGGCAGTTTTTTCATGAGCCGATTCTATTATACTCAAAATATATAGCTGAAGATTGACTGAATGAGGGGATATACCTTGTAATCCATCTGCTCAGAGCAGTTGAAAACATATACCATAATTCCCAACGCACGGCCCAAGTCTTTGGTTGTTTCTGTCTTTCCAGTTCCTGCAGGACCAGCTGGACCTCCTCCCATGATTAAATGTAACGACTGCAGTGAAAGAAAAAAAAAATCAGGAGTTTGAGTCTTGCAATTGAGATACACTGTTTCAACATAACCTGAATAATCCTGAAGCACTGTTGGAGTGTTTTCAAATTTCTGCTCTTACTTCACTTTTTTTCCAAAAGAAAACAAATTGCATGGTATTTTGCATGTCCATGGGAAAGGAGCTTGGTGCATAAGAGCAAATTTTTTGTGAGAGAGCAAATTCTGTGCGGCTGAGTAAAGATATTGGAATTTGAGTTTTCAACAGAGAGCGTAATCTGGTATCCCCTTGCTTCAGTTCATATTTGTGTCAATGGAGGGCTTAAGTTGCATTTTAATCCAACAATTTCAAGCCCATAATATAAAAAATTAAAACTTCAAATAGCTTTGGCCCAAAATAATTTCTTTTTTTCTTTAACTGCAAACTTTATACCCACATGACTCTAGTTTACTTCGATATTTAGAAACGTTTTCTGTGACAAAAAGTCCAGAAAATACACCCATAAACAGAGGTATTATTACCTCAATTTTGAATTTCTCAGCTTCGATAATTTTAAACCTAAGAGCGGTCATCTAATTGGGCGGAAAATTGGACAATCTTAGAGGAGAACAAATGGAAATAATAGTAAATGTGAAAAGGAAAAAACATACCTGAGTCAAAGTTATATAGCAGCGATCTGTTAAAGGTGTAATAACCAGACGTGGGGTGTTTCCTAGGTATTCATGACTGTAACGAAATTGAGCGTCACATATGTTCGCAAAACAATCTTTCTCTTTGTCATCCCATCTAAAACAAGGAAACAGATTTGAAAAAAACGCTTATTTTTGGTTCACATTAAGGAAAATTGAGCTATCTGCGGTTTTAGATGAGCATTGAGTAGCATGAATTCTTGTGCAAATTAAGGCTCATGAGAGAGTTTAGATAGCTCTAAATTTATTTTTAACTGTCCACGTAGATTGACTCTAAGGTTATTTGGTCTACAAAAGAAGGAGTAGCAAAAAAATTGGAGAAATTACCGATGTCTGAGCTGAGATTGCCACTGGAAAGCAGATGCAGTTTCTATCTTTTGTTGAATCAGTCGTGCAACAACATCTCGAGAATGCACATCAACCGTGCAAATAGTCATGATTTTCTGGCGGTCCTGCTTTGATAATTCACCAAGCAGTAAAGAGATCAGAGTACTCAGTTGATAAATCTGAGGGCAATGAAAAAATTACAATACTTTAAAGTCATAACAAGCCTCTAATGTTTTATGACATAGCATGTCATTTTTGAAAGACAAGGATCTCAACTCATTGAAGCACTCTTTCAAATAAAAATTTATCACAAAATTTTGAAAGCTAATAGCATTTGAGGATGAGTTGATAACATTGTCTTGAGGTCTAAATAACTATAAATTTTATGTATTTTCATACATTTATGTTTACCTTTTGGATAATTCAGAAGTTAAAATTATTCATGTTGTTGATTAAACTAATAAAAAAAAGTGAAGATGATAATACGGTCATAACAATTACAAATTTTATTGTTCCTACTCGCTCTGGTTGGACCCTTTTCTGTAAATGATTAGTAGAATGTTGATTTTCAAGATTCACCTGCTTCTTTTGATAATCTTTCAGAGCATTCTCGTAACCTTCCTCTAGTCTTGAAAATGCTATGTTCACTTCTGTGGTCCACCAGATTTGAGAGCAACACAGTGATACTTGGGCTGGATAGTCAAAAAGCCACTGCTCTCGTGGTTTTTCCTCATAACTGGTCGTCGCATCCGAAAAATAATAACGTATGGAGGATCTCATTGAAACCTGCAGTCTGTTCAGCCATACTTCAACCTGAAATCACAAGACAAAATAAACTTAGTAATAGCTCAGTTCATTTTTATGCCAAAGACCACATATGGACGCATTTTGGTCAGACTATGTTAAACTCTGTACAATTATACCATATTAGATGATTATAGAAACTAAAAAGTCTAAACTCCGAAAGACAGTGCACAAAAAACTTACTGCTCCGCTGCAATCACAACTCCCATGAAATTCCACATATTCACCATCTTTGGCATACATTCCTGGGGCGCATAAAGTTCCTTTCGTTTTGCCATCAACAAATTCCAATCTTGCCATGGAGTCAAATAGCTTCATCAGATGCCTGGAAGAGGAAGAATGCAAAAAATAAGCATAAAATTTAAGAGTGAATCTTCCCAGAAAAATTTACATTTGTCTAAGAATTTATTTTGTATAATCTTTGCTATCCTTGATACAAGGTTTCACAATCCTGTTACAGAGGTTGCATGAAAATTTCACTCTATTCAAATAAAAAAAATGAATAAATTGAAGGAAAGTCTATTAGATATACCTGGCAACAACTTTTGGTTGGTTTCCATTCGACAAAACATCTAACAGATCCGCAGATGAGACAAAATAAAACCGTGGAAATGCCAGTCGTTTTGTTTCTAGGTATTCTGCTAATGCTTTTTCGCAAAGGGTTAATTCCTTTTGAAGACCATCCAGTTGTTGAACTAGTCCAGGTTTATTGGTAGCTTCCACAACATTTGGAGTTTTGGCGATGTTTTCCATCAACACCTAAATTACAGACAAATATAAGATATTGAAGGTAAAAATTAACGCTTAAAAGCCTTTCTAGAATAAGAAAATTAAAAAAAAAAAAAAAAAATTTAGAAGACCACAATACTAGAAAAAGGATTTTTTTAAGATTTTCTCTCCATATTCAATTTAATGATAGATCACAAGATCGGCATTCACTTTAAAGTAGGGATTCCTTTTTTCTCCATTGTTTCTTGGAGAAAAAACCTGAAATTTCAACCAATGTGTGCTTTTCACACTTTTGACAGCTTCCTTGAAAAAGTATAAGACTGAACCCACAATCTCCAGAAAGTTACGAAGAAAATTCTACTCGCAACCTGCATGAAATTTGGAGAGAAGTTCAGGCTTGTAACTTAAAAAACAATATATCGACGGTGCAAGTCGGCAATCACATAACTCGTTTGCGGTGTCTGAAAATCTCCGCAACTATGTTATTTTTTTAAAGGAGAACAAATGGACATGATTCCTTGAAGTTTTTGCAGAATTTTCCTCGCACATAGAAGAAAAATCACGGCAGTTTTAAAGAATTACCGTTGGGTAGTTTTCCGTTTAAAAAATAAAGTATGACAGGAAGTCTGCGACGTCGCAAACCGAGTTATGTGATTGCCGACTTTCACCGTCGATATGTATAATGTTTTTAGTATTTCTTTTTACAAACAAAGCACTTGTACAAAGCAATGTTTCGATTGATTATTAGATAGGGAGAGATTTGTTTATTATCTCTTTATTTTCCAAGAAAAACATTTTTTCCATGAAGTATTGGCAGAGCCCGTAATTAAGTGCAATGAAGAAATCAAACCTTGAAGTCCGTATCTATCTGATCAAAACGGGAAGAATCTTCAGGCAACTGTTTACGGATATCCTCAGAGCTCATGAAAATTGATTCTAAGTGCATCCAGGTCCGCTGAACTTCAAACCAGACCGTTATTGCTTGATCAGCCATGCTAAGTTTTTGTTGCCAAACAGAAACTTCATCCAGGAAGTGTGCAATGAACTTTGATGTGATGAGATTTTGAAGTTGAACCTGAAATATGATGAAAGTAAAAATAAAAATGGTAACATTGAAAATGCGTGCAAGTCTTAGATTTTTGTCTGCTGCATGGCTCTGAAGAAATTCACAGACACCAGGGGAAGAAAATTACAAGAAAAAACATTTGCCTCCTTTGCATCAAAATCAAAGGGTATCGCAGTTTTACGCTTTAGTGTTTTGTGCTTTGAAGCAGAAAGAAAATCTTGTTGGGACGGTTCTTATTACTGTCCCCATCTAGACCAGAGACAAGCAGTAAAAGATCCTAGTCTTGGCATGTTATAAGCTGTCAATAAAGACAAGGGCCGAAACTACAGTGCTGCATCTCAAAGTTACTTCCTTTCAGTCTTTGAATTAAACTAATAGTATACTTTTGCTTTTGAAATATAATTTTATCGTGACCGATTTCATGAAATAGTGAAAGATTTGTTACCTGATTTTCTTCTAGGGTTTCGATTAGCTCTTCACTAGCTCTGAGCAGGGTACAACCTGTCCTGGCATGTAATTCTTGCTGAAATTCCATTGTTGACCAGGTAGAGTTAAGTTCTCTTAATATTTTTTCCATTGACATCTCTTTCACTGCTTTATCAACTATATTTTTCACTTCATCCTCACATTCATGAAGATTCAAAGCTAATAAGTCTGCTAAAGTTGTGCCTTCATCCATGACAAAACGCACCTGTAAATTAACGAGGGGGGGTTTTTAAGAGAACTTACAAACGATGAATTAGAAAAATTATATTCATTAAAAACCGTTAAAAATTATTGATCAGACACATTCATACTCATCAGTCATTCTTTAATCAGTTTACCGTAAGCATCCTAAGCATGCAAATGCATCATTTGACTTACTCTTGAAAGTAAAAGAATTTGCTCTCATGTTTTTGAGGGAAAATAAGGCTTTAATAATTCTGTGCAAGGAAAATCGGATTGAAATACTTATACCACTTAGTGCAAAGGAAACAAAACTATAAAATCGATAATACTTAAAATGTTTAACTGCTACTATTATTTGGCTTAAAAACATAGTTTTCGTCTCTAAAAGCTAATGTCAAACTGATTAATGAAACAGAATACTGAAGATTAAAAATTAACAAACCTTTTAATTGTATTCTTTTCAACACTCAATAAAGTTAATTAAATTGAATGTGTAGAGAATATTTAAAGAACAATGGTGCAAGGGATACTACGATGCACTACAAATAGTCAAAGATAGAGCAAAGATAAAAGAGAGGGAGATTTTAAAATGACATAATTCTTACATAAATAGGATGAGAAGTATTTGAAGTTGAACTTTAATTACCTACTTTGAAAGAATGAGAACCATTCTCAAGCATAAGTCTCTGAATGGGTAAAGACATCTTAGTCAGAAACAAATGAAAAAAAAAAGTCAACCACACAACGGAAGTTGTGGCAAACTCCAATGTTGAACAAATAAATCATTTGAATCTATAAGACATGAATAGAAAATTTAACACATATAAAATATACTCACTGAAAACTCAGGAGGCAAATCAGAGTGTTTCTGAAACAAATGGGCAAAAAATTACATCTATGTTCTGATGGAGAACCTGGAGGGACGCAGAATGATTATGAAAAAAAATTCAAGTAAAGACATTATACAATGTCCAACATACAATAAAAATTTAAAAAATTCAAAACTCAAAATGACTGACTTAAAATTCATCATTATCTGTCAAACACACATGTCTGTCTATTGTATATTATTTGTTGGGAAAAAAAAAGAGGAAAAAAAATTAAAAACGAAACATTCGTTTTTGTGCATTGACATTGTACTTATCTTAAAATATCCTAATTTCTGTACTGATATTTCTCTTACAATTGAATTTAATACATTTGAATAATAAAATCTTGTGAAAATACAGAGGCCGTCCTAATTAATTTAATTAATCATATCATTTTAGGAGAATAAACTACACCCCTATTTACGATGATACGTAAAACGATATTTGGCACATTGCATTTATGTTCAAACTGAAACAAGATGTGAGAGAAACAAAGCTGAAATACCTATATTGAAATGATAAGAGCATAATTGAACCAAACACATGAAGGACAGGCACAAAACATGAATAAAAAGCCCAGAAACCACAAAGTAGAAATCTGGAACAAATCACAATAGATTAAGAATGGAGAGAGATAGATATTAAGGATGGTACGGACGGTATGGGATTTGTGCAGTGGTTCTACAAATGATGAACATGCACGGGACATGCAGTGGTGACTAAAATGGGGGAAAAACTAAAGTGAAAACAAGCCTTCAACTAAAACACACGGACAAAATCAAAACATTTACACAAATAGAATGACCACATGGAGCATACACATACAGGACGAACACAGAAATTACACAGATAGAGACGACACAAAAAAAAAAAAAAAATTAATTAATGACTTAATTGATGAAAGAAAAAAATGAATTGTTATTGCATTAAGTTCCTCTTTTTTTCCCTTTTTTTTTCTTTTTCTCATTTTTTCAATGCTGTAGTATAGGGAAGATGCCAAAGAAAACCGCACACTTCATTGACGGTAAAGCATATAAAATGCAGTTCATCACCGACTTGACTGCTACAGATATATAAAAAATTTGATTTCATAAAGTATCTTCAGAAGCATTTTTCGGCGAATTTTTTAAAATTTGGACTTTTTCCCCCTTTTCCTGGGATATTTTTATTGCTCAAAAAAATGTTTAATTTCGTTGTTGCTCCCCTCTTACAATGAACCCTGGGGTTTTAATTTAGGTCGAACATTACATAATTCCTCATCAGAATTTTCTTCTGAAAACACTTCCCAAAATTAAAAAATCTTGAATCAATATCGAAGCAAAATACGAATTTTATTATTTACATTAAATTTAAAAAATTTCGAAGTTTGTACAAGTTCAAAAATTTGAAATAATCATCAGGAATGAATTTCCACATTTGACAAATTACAAGCCACAGGTTTTTCCAAACTTTCTTTCCTACAAGACACAATAATCTTATGATTTCTTAAACGGAAATAAACTCACTGGTAAACTCATTCAGTTTAAAAAATTCCCTAATTTGTTGAATTCACAGTTTGACTCTCATAAATTTTGCTTTTCCGATCGGCTTCCTAAGTTGAAATAAATCAACATATTGCGCAGGAGTTAATTTAAATATTATTCATTGCCAGAATTGTTTTGCAATTTTAATTTTAATGATATTTTTAATTTTTGATTCAGCACGATAAAAGAGTGAAAGCTAAATGAGAGCTAACCTTGGTAGATTTCATCAACTGCTGCCAATGTCTTTCTCGAATTGCAGGATTTTGGAGCTCACCAACTGCTCGTAGTGAGGTGAGCATATTTTTTACTGTTGCTTCTAGTTGGACGTACAAGTCCCAGTTTCTCATTTCCTTGTCAAATGCTTAAAAAAAACGACGCTTATCAGATTATATGGAACTTAAAAAAAATTCAATGGAGAAATATTCTTCGGAATTATTTTTGGAAAGACTGAATTTTGCCTTGTTCTAATGGCTAACCTATTTAAAGCTACGAATAATCTTATTTACAGATGTTTACAATTATTACAATTTAGGAATTTTTTCTCCCTCTCATTCTTTCTTCTGTTATGCGTAGTCTGATTTTGTCCTTAAAAGCTATTTATAATAGCTATTTACAAAGGTGCTATTTTTCTTCAACTCACCTGCATATTAATGTGTCATTTTCGTCTTTTTATTTCTCCCACTTTCTTTCTTTCTTCCATTTCTGTTTTATATCTTTAGGGGCTCATCTGGTGGAGAAGAGGGTATTGAAACAAATAAATAAATTACGTACCACGAATTTCTTTGGCGAACTTTTTACATTCTATATCCATATTCTCAACGTCAATTTGCCTCCAGGGTGTTGTTTTCCAGTCCTCGATACAGGTCTTGACAATGTGCGTATAATCCCATAGTTGCTAAAAAAACCAAACAGAGTCAATGACATTCAAAGCATGGACAATATAGACTGTGGAAGGAGCAAACTTTTCCCTAAGAGTGCCAATTGTTCAGAAAAAGCCACCTTTTTCTGAATAAGTTCCTTTGATTTCAATTTTACGATTGATTTATGAAAAAAAGATAAGAATTTTTATTCTGAGACCCATTGAAAAATTAATTGGTGTAAAATAAAAACATAGGAGGCCATGAGCCAGATTGCTTTGGATCCCAACAAACTTTCTCTTGGCTCTATCCACCCTATCTCCTTCATACTTCATGAGAACACTTAGTTTATTCAAACATTACACACTCATCTTTTTAAATTGCTCAAATACCTGATGCGGTTTCTTGAACCTCATTCATGAATGATCATAGAAACCCCGGTGCCGGACACGGGAGCTGTCAGCAATAGATTTCGGGTGCAGATTGCAAAACGACGGTGGTGGCGCGACTGCGGATTGCACAGGAGTTAGGGCGCTCCGCGAGAATATTATGAACAATACCTATATGAAGTGTGTGGCTCATTTTAGAACTTTGACTTTTAGAAGTTTTCTTGACCGGACTGCGGGCCGAACGCTGCCTTTTTTTAACGGTATATTACAGAGAAGTGCAGGTAAAGGGGAATTGTGTCGATATAAAAGAAGGGGCAGTGGACTGATTAATCGGAATAACTGGTCAAACAGTGGTTGCCCATTTTTGAGAGTGATTCTTTTCGCTCTAAATGTTTTTACTTATTTCTTTAGGCCTTGTCTCCACGGGCCGTTTCACGAGATTTGTCCCAGCGTTAAATTCCACTAACGAAGTTGAGAAAAATATTGAGTTAATCAATATTTTTCCCAGTACCAAGTATGGTACTTGTACCTCTAGGACTCACTGAGAGGAGAGGAAGAAGTGAAACGAATTGTGCGATATTTTATTCATTACTCCATTGTTAATGTTCGTTTCGTTAAAATAATGTGTATAATTGTCAATTGAGTGCAATTAGTATTTTAATCCCGGTTAAATACTCGACTTTATCTAATTTATCTTCTCGTGCAAACTAGTCGCAGGACTGTATGAGCCCCGTCTCGTGGAGACGGTAACTGGGAAAAATCCCAGAAGTTTCATTCCTGCGATTCGAACTTGGGACAAATCCTATGAAAACGTCCCGTGGAGCGACAAGGCCTTACCTTTCTCCTCTTGTATTTTAATCCCCCTAACAAGGGGAACTTCCCAAGCTGCCGCCTCCGATCGGGCTGAAAAAATTCGTACGAACTCTTTGGATGAATTTATTTGACCCATATTTTTTTGTTTTTTCCAATGCCCCCCAGAAACACCCCAAAAAATTCCGGAAAGTTTTGCTTGGAGCGCTTGAGTCTATATACGCAGTATAGCAGTACTCCCTTACTGTCAAGTGGAGGCTCTGCGGTAGCGCGCTCGCCCAGCGATCCGACGGGCCCGGGTTCGATTCCCGAGCGCCGCGCCAAATTTTTACGACCGAATTTTATATTCTCACACATTTTCACATCGATTCCCATTTGATACATTAGATCTTAAAACATCAATTAATTTACAACCATCAACGATCAATAACTTCTTCAATTTGAAGTATAGATTTTTTTTGGGAGGGGGGGAGGGGTCACGCGCGCGATATTCTCGCCAGTCACTGTACTTTCACATTAGCAGACGACCCGCTCCGCCCCCTCACATCAACATATTTCTCCCGATCACCCGTATGCGTCATGATTTTTCCCATCATTATCCAGAAAATGATAATGAAAAATTACTACGAACATTCAAATTAAAAATGCTAAAATTTTTCATTATCATTTTCTGGATAATGGTGGGAAAAATCATGACTCATACGACCGGGCGACATGACTCATGACTCATTCGGGAGAAATATGTCGATGTGAGGGGGCGGAGCGGGTCGTCTGCTAATGTGAAAGTACAGTGATTGGCGAGAATATCGCGCGCGTGACCCCTCCCCCCTCCCAAAAAAAAATCTAAACTACTAAAATTGAAGAAGTTATTGATCGTTGATGGTTGTAAATTAATTGATGTTTTAAGATCTAATGTATCAAATGGGAATCGATGTGAAAATGTGTGAGAATATAAAATTCGGTCGAAAAACTTTGGCGCGGCGCCCGGGAATCGAACCTAGGCCCGCCGGATCACTATTGAGCGCGCTACCGCAGCGCCACCACTTGGTGGTAAGAGAGGTAAGAGAGTGCTGCTATATTGCGCATATAGACTCAAGCGCTCAAAGCAAAACTTTCCGGAATTTTATTGCGCATTTTTTGCGCGCATTTATTGCTAATTAGTTTTTGATGAGTCAATATTTTCTAAATTTCTCATTTTTAATAAATTTTCCGCTTCATATATAAAACCTTCTTCAGCATGTACAGCATCAACTTGTTTTGAATCCCCCGCCACCTCTTTTTAAAAGTCAGAGAGTTTTTAGAATCTTGTCCATCTGTATTACAGGTCGTCAATTTTTACAGCCCACAAGCTGTTCGTTAGTTCCTCAGATGTCCGATTCAATTTAGAGATTCAATTCTTCAATCCCGCGGCCAAAGTTTGTTTACATCATACAAGCGCCCTAACTCCTGTGCAATCCGCAGTCGCGCCACCCGTCGTTTTGCAATCTGCAGTGCACCCGAAATCTATTGCTGACGGCTCCCGTGTCCGGCACCGATAGAAACCCTGCCTTTTAATGCCTTCCGGTTAAAAAGAAAATAGACTTACTTTCAACATTCTGAGTTCACGACGACATTGTTTCAGTAACTTGAAATCAGGAACATTAACTTCAAAGAGAGAGGCAGAATCTTGAATCCCTTGCATGACTGTTTCGTACTCTCGAATGCTTAAATTTGCTTTGTCCAGCATCCGGTAAGGAGTTGGACAGTCAAACCTGAGGAAACATAAATGAAAAAAATCTAAGTCTCCTTTTAAACTAACCATTTAAATAACTTAGTAAAATTTTGCATTATTTTTCTTTGGATTTTCCAAAAACTGTTCTCTAAAAATTTGATGCAAAATAGTATTACTTCATTTATTTGGACATTAATAAAGATAGTGTGGAAATTTCAAAACTTCATAGTCAATATACTTGTTTTTTCAATTTTAGTGTAGGAATGTATCTGCAAAAAGAGGTACAAGTGCTTCATAGAATCAAATCTTTTCGCTGACGAGACATGACGGATAAAAATTGTTACATATGCTTCCAACAGAGAGCATCCACTGTTTTTCTTGCTTATTTCCATAAAACTATCCTTTTGGAGAAAATAAATCACTAACTTGTTTCTACTGTTTGAAAAACCAAAGCTCACAACATGCTTAACTAATTCAAACAGAGGACTAATTCAACATCTGGACTGAAATCGAAAAAAATGCTATAAATATGCATTCTCACTGCAAAAATTCCTGAACTTTGAATTTTCAAAGGCAGAATAAATAAACCTATGACAGCTAGGACACTAGAAACTTGAGGGCATACTTTAAGAATTGCGCTTTTCTAAAGTGTTCTCTGTATTGACTCTGCCTTACGTCAAAGGCTGCTATTCTGTTTCTGATACTTGAGACTTCTGCAGCCTGTAAGGGTGCAACTAGCTGTTTTACAGTAACTGCTATTTTTTTAGTATTGTTCCACTGTTCTGGCAATTCCTGTAATAGAAAAGTAAGTTTCAAACTTGGAAATGATGTCAAAACTGGCTGAACAATTACTTGCGGACCTTGGCATTTTCATCAGTAATTATCTTGAGTTTTTAATATATCTGATGTTTAATCATTTTGGGACTATAGCTTTAAAACAAACGATTCAGATGGATTTTTTTATTTTCAAAACCTTCCAAGCTTCCAATTTCAAAATTTATCAATAAATTAATAAGCAACTGCTAACTTTCAAATTGCTCTCATTGCTAGAACTCATTTCCTGACATTCTTTTTGGATCCTTCAACATTTAGTGGTCAGGCAAAAGCTTTTAACCGTGACCTAAAATGTATCAACTAAATTGAGTGTGAATTAGTAATTTCCTGATAAATTTAACAAAGTAAAAACTGAGCAATCTATTCAAAATACCTGCAATAAAACATTAACTTCCTCAGGTAGTTCTTGATCATATTGTTTAAGCAGTTCAATTGTGTCATGAAGTGGTTCAAACATATCGTCTGTGGTAACCTGCCGCTCTTTGACATTCATTAAATATCCCATAACACTGATCAGTTTATCATAATCACCCTCTTCCACCGTTTGCAAAAGTCCTTCATCTGCCGAACGAATGAAACTTGACAGATCAAACAAACTGAAATCAAGGAAAATCAATTGTGATAAGAATAAATAAATAGGAAAAAATTTCACTAATACCACTTGAAAAAAAAAAAATATATGAAACTACACAAAAACCTTGGCACTATAAATATCCGTTAACTGGGGAAAAACTACTGTTCTTATAAAATTGTAAACATATGCACTGCTATTTGCCAGTTTATTGTTGCAAGATCTAATGCAGGTATTATTAGAGATGAGGCAAATAATCTGCTGACACACAGAATTGGATTGCAAAACTTTAAAACTTTATGAAATTTGATAAATATAGCGTAACCACACACTGAACTCTGGCATGTGGGCACGCTCAGCAGACCCACAAAAACTTGAATGACCAAAATTTACCATCAATATGCAACATTGAAAAATCTGTTTGATCGAAACAGAGAAAAAGCAAAAATTATGATTTTGTGGTACCTGTTGGTCACATGGTCCATCAGATGTTTCTTGAACATGTAACTCCACTTACAAACAGTGTTAAGTAAAGCTTGTTTAAAAGGTCGAATGTCGACTTGAAACCAAGAATTAAAAACTTGAACAGAATTCAACTCTTCCACCTCAGCAAAGAGACTTTCGAATGTGTCAATCTGTGAACAAATATTAACTGAGGTTGAAATGAGAGGATCTTTGGCCTGAGGTTAAACTTGTTTTTTCAGAAATTTGACTTTGCGATTTTATTCTCAAGACAAGTTTACTTCTTTTGCTTCAGATTTTGTCAATTTGTTGAGAAATTAATGAGAGAGATCTTGAGTAACTAGCACTACAGATTTTTGTGGAATTAAAATTGCAAACCTGTTCTTTATACTGGGCCATTGTTGGAGCAACCGGTTTAGGAGCTAAAGAGTCGCCCAGATTAACAAGATCCATCTCCTCCATTGTCAGTTGCCTTGCGTAAGTGATGAACTGATCCATATACATTTGCCTATCATCTAGCCAAAGGTATGAGTAAGATTCAAACCCAAGGCAATACTCATTGGCCTGTTGGAACACGAAAAAGATATATGAGAGACAAATCATAGTTATAGAGGAAGACCTACCACACAGCCGGTAATCATCAGATCAAAGAGAATACTCAGATTCATAAAATCATGAATAAAGGATATTTTTTCATAACAGACAAATATCGACGGTGTAAGTCGGCAATCACATAACTCGGTTTGCGACGTCGCAGACTTCCTGTCATACTTTATTTTTTGAACGGAAAACTACTCAACGGCAATTCTTTAAAACCGCCCTGAATTTTCTTCTCTGTGCGAAGAAAATTCTGCAAAAACTTCAAGGAATGCTGTCAATTTGTTCACCTTTAAAAAAATAACATAGAGGCGGAGATTTTCAGACACCGCAAACAAGATATGTGATTGCCGACTTACACCGTCAATATGTGATCAGATCTATGAAAAGGGGTTTTATCTAGCTCCTGCTAGATAAAGCCTATTTTTCTCCATTGGACCAAACAAATGAACAAAAACGAGCAAACCCTCATTCTTCCAGGAAGTTTTACATTTTCATCCAAAAGCGTTGTGAGAAATTGTCATTTGTATTTACATGTGGACCAATTAACTTTGGGTCTCAATTGGTAGGTGGACCAAAACTCCCCTGCTGAAAAAAAACATGGACATAAACTGCTGGAAAAAACAGGTGTTTGGACAAAAAATCGTGGACAAAATGTCCTTAACCTGCATATCAATTGGTCACAATAAAGCAAAATAATCTGGTCTATTTTATAACTTCATTACTTTCTTTCTTTGATTTTTAAACAAAGAGAGACGAGAAGCTAATGATATAAAAGCCAGTCATCAAATAACTAATTAATGGTTGTGAAGACTTAGGCTCCCTCTATGCTCTGAGGATAGTGTTCATACTTACTTCAGAGGTACCATTTTCCACACTGTCCAAGATTTCCTTTTTCATTGCTATGATGTCATCAATCTTCTGCATGCCTTCCTGAAAAGAAAAGCAAAAAATTTTTCTACTGATGTAGCTATCAAGGTTGAGACAACAATAATCCGTTCCAACATTAAAGTGGTGATGAAAAACTTGTCTAGGTGGCAACAATGTGTCTTTGAGCAAAAACTAACAAAGTTAGACACTCAAAGATGGTTTGATAAGATGAAATTTCAAGGGATTGTAACTATTAAACAATGTGTAAGATTTAAATGACAATTCAAAATTTCAGTTTTTTTTAAAAACCCAATTTTAAGTGATCTTAAGATTCAAAACTGAAAAATATTAAGAATCCGCAACATATAAGAAGTGTTTTAAGATAAACTGCGATTGATTATCTCAATTAGGCGGTGAGATAGAACGGTTTAAAAAAGGGGGTAATTTTTGGGCGGCACTTTAGGGGGGGGGGGGGGGTTAAGCAGAGGGTAAAAGTAAGGACTTTTTGGAGAACACTCCTTTTGAAGAATATAATTGAAAGTAAAAAATTCAGTTTTTTTCCAGTTTGTTCCACTAAAATCCCTTATTTTCCCTTCATTGACTGGACTGGTGTGAATTACGCTATTACAATGCAGCATAGCAAATAAAAAAACAAAAAAAACTGAAAATTACCAGATAATTTTCTTGACCCAGGTGCTTTGCCAGACGAGGAATGAGCGCAGCCATTTGGATGATATCATCGATCAAAGATTCCACTCGACTCAAAAAGCTATCATTGTACTCGGGATCTAAAGGAGGCACAAAAACGATATCAGGATCAACAAGCTCTAGCCGCGCTTCAAATAAAGGACAATTTTGATTTGAAGGGTCCATTTGCTCGGCTATGTAACCTAGACTGACACCTACTGCACAAAGTAACCCATAAGCAACGATATCATCAACATAATTGACGTAAGCGAGCCATCTTTTAGAATTTGATTCTTCTTTCATTACAAACAGTTCCTGATTTTCTTCTAGCAGTCGAGTAATTTCCACTCCATCTTGTGTTATTTGAGAATATTTTTTGGCACAACAGTCCGCCTTTTCTTCTATATTTAGTAATGCGTCTTTCTTCCCATCTTTGCGCTCCATGAATAGTTGCTTTGCCCACTGCGAAACCATCTCTCGAATTATTCTGATGTTTCTTTGAGCTTTCTTCACTCTGAATTGTAGTTTGTCCACTAAATTGTGCAATTTGTCAATATATTCTGATAGATTCTCAGAGTTCCATGTCAATTCCTTTTCTCCTTGCATGATCAAACTATCAATTTCTTCAACATATTCTTTCACCTGTGAATCAAATCAGATACATACTGTTATGAGGCATGAAATTGTACCTTATCTTTTAAAAAAACTAATAATGGTACCTAATGAGATACCTTAATAAAAATAGAACCCAGATTTTAAATAAAAAATAGACATCTGTATCCTATAATAAAAAATTCATGGTTTCACTTTTTTTTTCCTCAAAAGGTTCCGACTATGAGAGAGTAAAAGCGATTTGGAGAGACTGAAGAAAACTAGAGAGACAATGCGAGTTTAGCGTTAATGAATGACCTTCAAAAGCACGAGAATATCAAGCAGTGAAATCATTCGAAAACTTACTAATTCATATTCGACCAATCTGCTGTGTTTTCGAACATCGTTATACCAATCCACGGTGCAATTTAACTTGATTCTATAACCACGGAAGACTTCAATCTTAGCGTAGAGTTCATATCCTGATTCAGGAATATCTTTAAAGTCAGCTAGCTGCAGATAATGAACTTCTCGCAATATTGCCTCTAACTGAAAAACAAGAAGAAATATTGGCCAACACTGGAAAAAACATAATTCTACTGTTTTGTCTTACTTGAGTTTTAACTTTTAAGTCCATATTTATAAGTTAATATCTAACTATTAATTTTAGATGCTGAGTACAGAATCATCATTTGATTGTTTGTGATAATATATTTGTTAATTTACAAAGCAAGTAGTTAAAAAAAATCTTGGAAAAATGAAAAATCTGACAAGATATACTGGGATACTACTGTTTGTGAATTTTATTGGTAAGTATTTAGTGTTGGACTTGTAGAGAGATGAGATGTATATGTGGGAAAAAAGGTCTTTAGATAAAAAACTGGAAATCAATTTTCAGATTTTTTTTTATTCTTGGTAAAAATGGGACGCTGTTCTCAGTTGAGAATTTTCTAGTATTTGATTTTCTGCAAGAATACAGGATACCAATATTTCAAGATGAAGTGTAGAAATGCTTACTTGAGGATCAAAATTAACTAACAAAACTTGGCGATTTGGGGACCACTTTAAAAGTGATTTATTAAGACTCAGTTTAACTTGATCAGGAACTTTTTCTGCCCATTTTGCAAACAATTTATTTTCAAATTCTGCTAGTAAAGACATAATTTCTTCATACTTATTGAATACATTAAGTCCCGCTTCACTCTTAATAATTCTGGAACAGTGAGAGCCAAGACAATTTTTCAGGTAAATAAAGGCAGAATTTTGTTTAAAACAGAAAACGAAAATGTTCTGAGGGTACAAGTTTCAATGCCTCTTTCATTATGCGTTTCACTTGAGGGAAGAAGGTAAAAAGGCGTATCTAACACATTCAAATTCTCTGTAGCTCTAATGAGTCAGTTGAGTATTTATTTTATTTTATCGTGCGAGAGTATCAGGTATGCTAAACTTAAAGTTATGTTCCCCCTCTTTACCATGAAAGAAACTGAAAGAAAAAGTTATATTAATATGTTTGCACTACTTTTTGTTGGGAAAAAGTCCTCTCTGGAGACCAAACTATCAAAAAAATTCCTAAGGTATTCTCTTGTTGCGAAGCTATCATTTTTAAAATTCATAATTTATTTGGTCACTGTTCGGTGAGGCAGCTCAGTGCATATTTTTCTTTTTTTTTCAATAGCAAAATATACAACAGACAACACAGTAAACCTAGGAACACATTTTTATGGTTTCACCATCTATGTGCTAGGCAAAAAAGTGACAAGTTTTCGAAGTAAATATATTTCTTGGTTACTTTGACTCTTTTGATGATCAGATTTCATCAGAGTATAGAACAAAGAGAAACATGTCTGTCAACGAAATTGACGCACTTACGGATTTTCTAACTGCTTGAAACTGGTGACAGGTATAGTAATCCGTTGCCTTACGGCATAGATCCACCTTAATGTGCCTGCTAGAGGTGGCATACTTGGTCCTACTGGAATGGAACCTGTCTTCTCAAAGGTTTCCATATGCTCATTATAAATGTCCTAAAAAAATTTAAGTATTAAAATTATAAAGTTTTTAACATTGAAATTAAAGCTTTGTTATCTAATGAGTGGTAGAGAGAAATCTGAAGACTGACTCGAAAATTCATAGTAGAAATTAGTTTGTTACAGAATTTATTGTTAGACGAGCAGGCAAAAAACCGTTGATGAGTCGACACTAATGGACAAAATAAGTATCATTTGCTCAAAATTTTTAAAGAAAACTATTTCACAGGGTATTTTTAATTCAATATGGGAGTTTAGGTTTGCTTTATGGGTACATTTCAATGGGAGAAAGGACAGTCAGAGACTGAAAAACACTGGAATATTCCCTCGTGATAGCCAAAGGAACGTATGAATGTTAAGTTCAAGAAACCCTTAACCCTCTTTTCATTTTCTCCTTTAATTTCTCTGTTCAGGTTTTGCAATTTTAATCTGTTTCTCATTTTTTTACAATAAATCTCTCCAGCTTCTCACTTATTTTTCTTTGTTTCCCCTTGAAGTTCAATCTTGAATAGCATTTAAAACTCACTGAAGTGGAAAAATGTGCAAAAATGTATTACCATTGATGCATCCAATTCTGCATTCAACATATCAACAATAATCTGGTACTTCGACTTGAATTCTTCCTTGATTAGTGGTCTTTCCAATACTGAACCAACAATTTCAATTAGCTGAAAAAAATACAAGCTGTTAAAGAAAATTTTGTCCCCAGAACAATAATAAGATTTGAATGCTTTAAACTGGGATTTGTGCCTGTAAACAGTACCTATATTGCTTAGCAGAATGATGAAAACGCGCTGTTCAAAACACCTCTCACTGTGACCAATTTGGCCTGGCGTAATTTACAAAAAACAACCACTGTGACCCGCTTGACAGTGGACATACTGATTCTGGGGCATAGGATTACATTTTTGCCAGAGAAATTTGAGACCTGAACACAGTACAAAAAACTGTAATCATTTCTTAGGGGAATGGGTCCTTAAAGATAAGACAACTTCAAATCATTACGACTTCATTGCTTCAATATTTTTTAGCAATTTTTGCACCAAAATTTCTGTGAAGTACTGCTCCATGCAATGATGTTAAAAATGCGATCTTTGATTTTTTGCCCTGAAGGGTTTCTATTGGTGGAAATCACAATTATAAATAAGTTGGCAGTTGGACTTACCTTAAAGACACTTTCTAAATTAAAGCAATCATCAAATGCTTGGCACAAAATAGAAGCTAGCCTCCTGTCTAAATCACAAATATTACTCTGAAATTGTTTGTAGTCTCGGAGAAAACTTTCATCTTCCGGATCTAAAACATCATATGTCTTGCTTGCAAAAACTGTGAAGTGATCATTAAATTCTTGAGATATGGCAATAATGCGCCCACTAAGTGTGCGCCCTTTGAGGCCACCGATTTCCACACGCTCTAACTTCAAAAATTCCATCACAGTGCTGAAGAACCACTAAAACAAAGATATTGACCAGTTTAATAAAAAAAAAAAAACTATACTTTCCCAATAAAAACTTTAGCATAAGACCCACACCCCACACATTCCTTACACAGTAGAATCTTCTTGATCAGAACACAAAAGACAAAATAATGAAGTGATTTCTCCCTTAATTTAATCTTCTATATTTTCTCAATTTTAAGCATTCCCATTTTAAACATTATTTTGAACTCTTGAAGTACAATTAAGCAAATCTCCAGGTTGGCTATAACGATTTTTGAGTCTGAATTCTGATTAAATGAACTGTTGAGTCAGCAAAGAGTTTTGACCTTTAAACTCATGCAGGGATACAGATGTTATGAGGCAATATCTAGTGAGTCTAGAGACCGTTAAAGAATCAATCTGCTCATATGAGAGAAAAAATCCTGAATTGTGGACTCTGAAAAAAGAACAGAAATCACGGTTTTAGCTGTTCGTATTATGGGGTGTCATGAATATAACTGCATCTGTTTGATGATTTAAGTTTAACCCCTGACTACCCAGAATAAAAAAAGTGACAATGAATTGAAACAAATGATGGCCCAGAGGCAATTAGGAATAAAATATGATTATACAAAGTTACCTGTATAGTATGAAGCCTTTCAATAAAGTGCTGCATGCGTCCAAAAATTATGTTCGGATGAAAAGTCCACATATTAGGAGGCCTGTCTTTAAAAAAAGTTCCTAGTTTTTCTTTGTAGTTATCGAATATTTCCCTGCAATATTGACAAAAAAAAGTGAATGACCGGAACAAATACACCTCAATCTGCTTAAATTACACATTATGACAATCGCTGCTTTAAAACTGACTACCAAGGAGGAATAAAAACTTGAACAAAACTTTAGAGCAAACTTTGAACTTTGAAAAAGCAACCAAATTTAAACAGATTCAAGATAAATTTTAGGAAACGTTTCCGTACGTGGTTTGCTGATGAGGGTAGGCTTAGAATTAAATCTTGTTCATAACTTTTTTGATATTGAGTTAAGCAAAGATGAATATAAAACTATGTGTTAAAAAGCTTATTACCTAAAATTTCTTAAGACTGTTAGAGAATGTTGTATTCTTATTTTAGCTTCATCAACATCAGTTTGGAAAATTGATGATGGATCTAGGTAACGCTTAGCCTGGTTTAACATAAAAGAGAGAATATCTTGAAGCAGATTTGTAGACTTAGCAACACTTTGTCACATGCTCAATATTTTGATCATTTGAAAATTTCAAGATGTTTTTACAAAAAACCTTAAACTTACAACATGTCTCAGAACACTGATTGTTTTTAAGAAAAAACAATCGGAAAATAGTTTGAATTACCTCACAAAGAACTGTTCTGATGCGTTCATCGTATGAAAACTGAGATATTAAGCAACCTTGCTTTTCAAGGTTATTCCATGATCAAATTTTAGGTAATGTGACATGAATCACAGCAGAATGTTCGGAGCTTGAGAGGTTGGTTTTTAAAACGTCTTCTAGACCATTTACTCACCAAAGTAGTGACAAAATGCTGCAGTATTTAGGGATGAAAGTTAACAAATATGTTGGTTTAGGTGACTTACATTTCACAGAGCTTGACGACTCATCAGAAGTAAGATTCGTGAATTAATGTCTAATTTTTGACAAAGCAGTTTAAAGAGTGATCCTGGTTAAAATCTAAAATTAAAATTACAAGAAATTCCATTTTGGATCAATCACAAACTCTCAATTCGACGATGACAACTACAGAGCAGTACAGTTGCTGCTTAGTCGAACTGAATATCTAATTTGATTCTTAGAGCACACTTTGGCAGGACATCATGGACATGAACAAACAGGAAAAAAAATCTGTAGCTTGGTTCCCAAATTCGTCTAACTCCTAAATTCTGATTGGAGGGGGCTTTTTAGTTGAGTTTTTTGCAATTTCAGGTGAATAAAATAATTTGCAACAATTTCCATGATCAAGGGCCTTACATTTTGAATGATGAAATATTCATTTTTCAATTCCAATAGAAAATGAACTCTAACTGAAACTTCAAAATAACTATGAACTATTGGAGTTGAACATCATTATCTAGAAAAATTACGAAACAGATTGAAGTCAAGGTGGCATATCATAGGTACCTGATGAATTATTAAATTACAGATTTGTTTCAGAAGAACGATAATTTTCCCTGAATTGCAGTAGTAGTGAGAGTTGGCCCAAACGAGACAGACGATATGCATGAGCGGTTTTAAACAGGGGATAACGTCCGAAAAATCTGTCTCCTCAAGAGCAGCGAAATGTCGATGCAAAGGCTTGAAGTAAAGCACAATATCTTTGGCTTCAGTCAAGGCTGATTCAATAACAGAGAGATAAATAACAATTAAGATTAGGAAAAAATTCTTTGCACATGATATAATAATTTAGCAACTTAAAAAAGTCAGGGATAAAATATGCTAAAGTAACAAAATAACCTAGCATTTGAAATGCAAATTCACTACATGAAAATTTTCTCTCTAACTCTCTCTCTAACTGTTGAACGCCTTTCCTATCTTTCTCTAAAACCTCATCATTCCTGATTTTGTCTGAGAACGGGGGATTTTGCCATTTCTTCATGAGTCTCCTTCAGAAAAACTAAAACCAATTCATGCATGATTACTGATAGGATAATACGATGACTCGAGAGAATGCTCTTTGAAATTTTAAAAAAAGTTTCATACCTGCTACAATGTTCCTAAAAAGATTTTTGAAACAAGGGCAATAGGCACTATCAGTACGTTCCAAGATAATTGCCATTTTTTGAACCCTCTCATCACGCAGTTGCTCATAGATATATTCTAAATTACGTAAACGAGTGTTCCAGAAATTGACCTCTGAAAAAAGAGCAAATTACATTAGAAAACGTTGTACATTTCATTGAATACAAATTGAAGCTGACATTCATCGGATAAAAACTGGATGGACGCACGTCCACTTGATTTTTTTTCTACATTGTCCTTATAAAGGTTTACAAACAATAATCTGTTTGAATTTTGGAAAGAACTACTCATTTAAAAAAAGGAATGAAGAGTGAAGTTCTTGCTGCTTCAAATATTTAAGGAAATTTTTACTAGAAGAGGTCAGTTTTCATTAACATTCGCCGCTATCGTGTTTGTGCACATTCCCTTTGATGACTTTGATTTAATTTATGGATTATAAAGCAGGGTTCAAAAAATTTCAGAGAAAGTTTGTATGTAATTATAATCAGTTCGCCAGTGCTGGGCCTAGTAGTCTGATATGACTCACATTGTGTTACCAAAATCACCTCTGATATTTTTTAAGATCAACCGAATTGACCAGATACTCAGATAAATTCGAGCAGCAACAAGAGGGCTACTGCAGGTCTTCACGCTTTGAAAAGGACGTTTTCAACTTAAAAAAAGTCTTGCAGGATTCTTTTAAGTTTGGAATTGACCTACCAGCCCACGGTGTCGGATTTTGCCCATTAGCAAAAGCCAGGGAAGAATCGTCGTTCAAAACATCATTTATTTGGGAAGCCCATTTGATAACGACACCTTCTATGGCTGATTTCAAGTAGAGGTCCACCATTTCTCCTCCGCTAGATAAAAATGGTACAATATTATTACATAGGAGATTTGTTAGGTATAATTTCTATTTACATACATTGAAAAGTTATTTACTCCTTTTTTAGTAACATTCACTTGCAGACTGAAAGTCTCAATTCCTTCCACCTACCTTTTTTAATGAAAAATAATGAAGGGAAAATTCATTGCTCATTCAAAATTCGTTCCATTAAAAGGCATACTTCTACTTAAAAGGCGATCCTGTCAAAATGACAATGCACATTCTCAACTTTTCAGCCGTATTTAGTTTAAAATGTCAGCCATCATTGATGACCATGGAATATGATTGCCTAAAAAATTAAGGCATAACAAAATTGAGTTGATACCAAAACTAGAGAGTATCAGACACAGCAGATCCTTCGGTAAAAATTTCTGCATCATCTCTTGATTCTCTCTGCTTTATAATATTTAAATGTTGTTAATATTTAAACCTGCTGCTACCCCATATTAAAAATACTATCGATCACTTGTTGGCGAAATCATTAACTCTCTAGTCAAAACGAAACGTGCGTCAAACCGTAATAACTTTTATTGAAATCTATTAAGGCTCAAAATCTTGACATCAAAACTGAGCTCATGGTTAATTATTGTGATGCTCATCATTGAGGAAACAGAAATTTGAAGATAGCTTCGGTACCTTTCTCGTAACATTTTTTCTGCTTGGTGAACTCGTTCAACTCCAACAGGTAATGGCAGGACAGTTTGCCCATTAACTTGACCTTTCACCTGATATACTGTGCTCTTCAAGCTGTGCACATGCTGACTCACATCTTGAGCAACGACAGCGGGCCAGTTGCGATGGTTTCCTTTATTTGAGAGGAGGGGCACAAATACCTGGAAAAGAAGAAAACAAGTGACGACATGAAAATATAATTAATAAACAAACTGAAATTCTCTTCAGAAACTGTGTAAAATTCATTCAGGTCAGTTTTTAGACATTGTTTTTCTAGACCAAAGTATGGAAGGATCGTTGAATTTGTGTATTGTTTGCTGTCCATTTTAAAAGACTAGAATGCACTATGTTTTATGTTTTATGTTATATGTTATATGCAATTTTAAGAGAGGAAACTTTTGTCAAGTTGAGTAAAAAAATGGAATGTTTCTGATGGATCATTAATTTTATTTAAAATCAAATAAAGGGCAAAAGTTTTCCATTGAAATTAAAAAAAAATGAAGAGAAACTTCTCAGGTTTGAAGAAGAAATTTCAAACGTAGATACATATGTTTTTTTAAAAATAAAAAATAAAAATTGAATCCTTACTATTCAGGATTATAAGTTTTCTAGAATTTTGACATTTTCTGACGTTTCGAGGATTTAGCAGCACAAATTTTCCTGTATTTTCTCTAGCTGATATTTGCTGAGTATTCAGCATGAAAATGCTTTGCACAAGATACGTTCAACCCAAAATTCAAGCTCTCTTAGTAGAAAGTCTGGATGTGTTAAAAATTAAATCTAAGAATCAACAATTTTCTCAGCGAACCTCATCAACAAGTGATGCCAGCTGCTCAATAGGCTTCGAGGCCATGTCACCAAAAATCAGGTACTGTTGTATATCTTCTTTGGGAACAACGGTTTTTGACTTTTTGACGAAGTAAGCACCTTTAGTTTTCAAGTTAACTGGAAAGCTGTTTGCCGGAATCAACTGAGCTGCAATATTCTGAAAGAAAAAATAAGCAATTTATGAATTTTTTAAACTTCTTTGACTCTTATAATTAAACAAATTTCTGAGGGATCAATTTCTTTTGACTGTCAGTTTCTCTAAAATTTTCTACTGAGCTGCAGTTCTCATTGGATAAATTTTCTCAAATTCGATCGAGTCATCATTTGTCAACTTGAAAGAATTGTCTGAAACCTTCTAGAGTATTTATGACAATATCATCAAACTTAAAGCTCCAGAAGAGCTGTTTCATAATGGGTGAATGCATAGGTACACCTGCTGTGAGGACCTAATGTGGTAAAAATTTAATTTGTTGACATCAAAAAACGCATTAGCCGCGTTTTTCTCAAATGTACTACCACTACCTATACCTGGCTGTACTTAAGTATGAAGGGATAATTATTAGATTTCTTCAGCATCTTTCTACACTGTTGACCTTTTTTTTTTCCCCCCTTCCTCTCAGTCCCTCTCAGTAAACTTTCAGCCACTATTTTTGCAAACTAACAAAAGTCAAAAGCTGGATTAAGATATTTCTTAGCACCTCCATGGTTCTGCAACGGATGGGACTCATCTGTGCCTGCAAAAGTCACGCGCTTACACCTTTTGACTTGAAACGAGCTCAGGGATACCCAAATGCTGTGGCCACAGGAATAAATGACGACAAAAAAACACCCTGCTCCCTAGATACAAATTTCACCAACGCCTTATTGGGAGGATTTTTTACTGAGCCCGTGGGCAACTCCTCTTGTTGATCACAACACCTGTGATACACCTGTGAAATAGGATTATTTAGTAGAGTTGCCAAGGTTGCAGATTAACACCTTGTCCACAAGAGCGCGGTTCGCGGAACTTCGGGCGAACTTGTTCCCGCAACTTAGTATGACTCCTTCCGCAAAATCTTAGTTCGTTGAACTCATTCGCTCAAAGTTCCGCGAACTGCAATCGTGTGGACAAGACTTTAGGGTTCCCGCACACAGTGCTAACTCTGCCGATGTATTCGCTCCTGTCCAAGCATAAAGAGTTTGACTGGATGTAGAAGTAGACTCTTAACACCACGTGGGCGGTCTCCTCCTTTACAGCCTCAACTTTGAGAGCTTTTTTCGAGCTTGAGAGTTCGTCTCAGAGAAAACTAGTAAAACCACGTGTTCCTCGCTTATTATTGCATAAAACTAGTGCTTAAATCGCAAATCTCTATGGCATGCAAAAGCTCCATTGCCGTCGTTTCTATTTCAAAAGAGGGGTAACATTGACACCTTGATAGGTTTCTTTTGATGTTGGGAAAAATCGGTTAGACTCGAAATTTTAAGGGTGTCATTTTCATACGGTTTAGTTTTGAGGCAAAATTACGGATGGTGTGTAGAGGAGGTGAGCAAGTAGGTATTTTTCAAGAATTCAAAATCAAAGGTAAAACTCGTTCAGCGGCGGATGAACGGTAAAGTTACGGTGACGTATTCGGTCGAAGAAATTAAAGGCGTCACAATCAGAAAGTAAAGCGGAGTAACCTTCGGGCAAAACAAAAAAATTCTGGCAATTTCATTTTAACTATGAAGTGTTAGTTAAATCTGCATCAGTTTTCGGATTTTCATTGTATTTTCCTTGCCGTTGGTACGAAAGGCTTAAAAATCAGCTGAAACAAGAGAGCGCGGCAAAAAATGCTTCACATTAAGGTTCCGTGCGCGCCGGGCTGAAATAACCCCCCCCCCCCCGCTTCCAAAATAATTTCACTTCGGCATTTGAAAATCCCAAAGTATTCTCCAACAACCAAACCACCCTTATCTTTTCTCCCAGCAAAGAAAATGAGTATACGTCTACGGGCAGATCCCTTCGTGTCCCATGTCGATATTTATTCGAAGTCAACTCTTAAACCAAAAATTCCCGATTCGCCCTCGATTACCGTACCTGCGAAATGATCAAAACGTTTACTTCCGGTTTGTCGAGGAAGTCGAAAACAACGTTCCGGAATTCCTCGAAAGTCAACATGCGCGCCCATTTCTCCGACTTCATTTTCAAGGTTTTCTGGACGTAGCTGCTCAAGTAATCAAGGCGCGGATCATGATTGCTGCTTTCCATCTTTCTTCAGACCTGAAAAATAATCGAGGTAAGCACAAAAAGAATTGGAGAGGAGAGAAGAAACCCGAGATGAAAGAAAAACTCGAATGAAGCACGGCTCTTCAAAAAAAGGAAGAAGGGTCTGAGCCAGCGAACGCTCGGATACCCTTATCAACGTCTGGATGCAACTATTCGTGCTCGATGGATGTCCGTGTTGCATATGCAAGCAATTGAAGGCGCACTGGCTTTCCTCGTTCAAGTCGCTCTTGGTCGCATGGTCATTTGTTCTTCAACGCATCTCGCGCCGTTGCATGGATGGTATTTCCAGGAGTGCAGAAAATGCTCGAGTAAGTTAATAACGGCAGTTGGGGGGGGGGGCTGAGGACAAATAGAAAAGCGAGCTGATTTTGGAATGTTTTATGAAGGTGAAGGCAGTTATTGCTATTGAGTTTTGCTCTGACGTACTCGCTGCCCCGTTTCCTTGGATTATTATACCATGCAGGGTAAAATATTGCAGTAGGATAAATAATCATTTCCTGTTTGGATAAAAAATGCTCGATTTTCAACGTCATGCTTTGAAAATCTCTGCGATTTGTTCCGACTACGAGAGGCATATTTTAGTATCGAATTTTCAAGCGATTGTGTTGATTTGGTCACTTTTAAACAATAAGATAGATGAGGACAATTCCACACATCGCCACTTTCCGGCCAAAGTATCACAAGCGCCATGCGATGCTTCAAAATTTCCACCGCCGTTTAATTTCTTTAAAGAGATTGTTTAACGAAGCTGTCCAAAAATTTCAGTGAATTTTCTTTAAGCTACCGATAAAATTCAGTGAAATGTTCAAACAGATTAGACCAAAAATTTCTCTGTAAAAAAAATAAAATGACTGTGGAAATTTTTAAATGTCACAAGGCGCTTGTGATACTTTCGCCGGAAGGTGACGGCATCATCATCGAGATACGCTGTTTCTTCTTGAAACTATCGACCCCTCCCCCCTTCCCCTCGAGGTTCGCTGAGATTTCCCTCGCCGGCATACAAGTTACGGGACTTATGACTAAGTTTTACTCGGTCAAGTTTTAATTCTTTTCGTGGAGAAACTTCTTTTCAACGTTTTCCCGGCTGCGTGACGGCTTCATAGAAGAGCGCTCTTGAGCTACGATGCTCCTACCAGGGATTTTTATGGAAAAAGTTCTGGCATCTGACAGGTGAACTCCTTAAATTGGCTAATTTTTTTCCGGAGATCTAATTTCTCTGCCGGTAGCACAATAAACGGGCATGGCGCAGGCGCGGCGTACAGGACGTATAAGATCTCTCGGTTACCTACTGATTGGGTTTACGGTCATTATAATACACGGACTTGAAAAATCAAAATGAATCGATAATGAAGGTAAAGCCGGTAGAAGAAGAAGAAGAAGCAGCAGCAGAAGAAGAAGAGGAAGAAGAAAACACTATTATGATTCCAATGTTTCAAAATCTCTGAATGAACTGAAAAGTTTATTTATTGTAATACTTATATATTCATTTATTTGTTTATTTAATTATTCTAGAGAAAACCGGGTGGACGTGATTGTTAGAAACTTTAAACAATTATGCCATTTAGGATGAAATCGGTAAAAATTCCAAAAAAATAAATTTTTCCCAGTTTTCCTTTTGGAACTCAAAAAAAACTTTTTGAGCTGATTCGCCCATCTCTCACAAAACGGCATGAGACTGTCATTTTTTGCGAAGATATTATACTGTTGAAAAAAATAATTTTTCAAAAATTATCAGAGAGCATGATTTGAAAGCTTGCTCAAATTTGACTTTTGTGAACAACCTCCGTTGGAAGGAATGCAGAGCTTTTCACGTCCAAAAAATAAAAATTCAAAAAAGGAAAACAACAATACAAAACTGCAATTTAAACGTATAATTTTGGTGAAATCGTATCGTACTATGAAGTCATCAAACACTCAATTCTGAAAAAATGGGTGATCAGTCCTATTTCAACCAAATGGTTAAATTACAACCGTCGCTACTTCCCAGAACTTTTGACCTTTCCTGTTATATCAGGGTGTTTATATCATCCCTTGCTACTTCTATATTTTTCGATCTGCACCAAACTGTAGCTAAGACTGTTGATTTTGAACACGTGTAAAAGCACGTGTGCGACACGACGTGTACGACGTGTTTTACTTTTTTACGGCAGAACTGGCAAAAATTGAACGATCGGATGCGGAAACTAAACGTCAGTTTGAAGGGGCATTAGCTGTGCAAATACCTAACGACAGAGAATAGTTTCGGTGGAGTGTCGCGGGGAGGGAAGAAGACGGGGGTTGCGCGAAAAGGTTACGCTGTTGCCAAAGCGGATAACATGGGGTACAATCCACCCCATCCATCAACCGATGATAGAGGATCGCCCTCCTCACTACGAGCAGCTAGGCCAGTATCGTACAGTTAAAATGCAGAATGCACAGAAGTACACAAAGAGAAAAGCACGAAGAAACATTTGGAGGGGGAGGGGGATGAGTGAGGAAAAATTTAGAATTTAACTACAGTCGTAAATTTCCTCCTGCCAAAAATTCAGTCGAGAAAAATATTTTGAACATGAAAATAGTTGATAAATTTAGTCCTTAACGTATTGAGTCTTTAAAAGGGAATACGAATGCAAACCTCCTTTTTCGGTTCAAACTTAAGACTCACGACGTTTCTAATGAACCCGGTCCATTTTATTTCACATGTTAAGCACTGAAAAAGAGACTCTGGCTGGGGAAGCCGTACTCAAGGGCTATGTACACATACCGTCCGCGTTCCGGGCTTAGAGGCTGAAAGTTCCGGGCGTAGCACTCGGAGAAATCCGAGCTACAGCTCCAGCACCCGGAACTTCCAGCCTCTGAGCCCGGAACGGACGGTGTGTCTATCTCTATACAGCCCGTAACTTTTTTGCAGTGAATGTACAAGGAGGATTTTAGGAATTTAAAAAAATTGAATGCTGAATTTCTTTCAAAGAATTTTTGACGTGGATTTCACATACATTTTGCATGAGAAATCCCGAAAAGAGTTGGGCTACAGCGTGCATTTTATTATGTTTTACTTTTTTTTTTAGGTCCACGCGTACAGTAATTGCTTCAGGGGTTACGAAAAATCCATTTAAAAATAAGTCTACGAGAACCCTACAAAATCTGTCGTCCTAAAAAACGATTAATTCCTACTAAACTGACGGCAACGGCGGGAGTTTGGCTGGTCGCGTTGCGTGATGGCATGTCACTTGAAGCCGAGTCTGAGTTCGCGACTGTATTTAAGTATAAATAATAAGATACCTGTATCATCATCTTTGTGCCAGGCACTAATGTGCACTATCACTGGGTCACCAGGAGCATGCTTCATCACATGAGCTTCGTCTTGACCACTTTTCGCTTCTGCCCGCCACTCGCGACCCCTTTCCGCGAGAAACCGTTTCCGTTTCCGACCCGCTCCCGGAAACTCGCCTCCTCGCCACAAATCCACCGCCCGAGTCGGAACCGCATACCTCGACTTGCGACGTTGCGGATTTCTTCGCACATCTTTTTTCTTCGAGGGAAAAGGATAGGACAGTTGATTTTTCGGAAGTTTCACTGATCCACCGTCCAAGAAGAGTTTATTTTGGGCAATGTTCATTAATTTGTGGGATTAATCATAGATAGAAACTCACTTCCTCGCCACAAATTCACCGTCTGAGTCGGGACCGCATACTTCGACTTGCGACGCACAGTGGATCAAGTCAATAGGAGAGGCCGGACAAAATTTGGAAACTTGAAACGCTCATAACTCCGTTAGGTAACACAAAACTCCGAACTTCTAAAAGTGGCTCCATTGGTTTTCTCGTAAAATTTTCTTCTAGAAACATCACTTAAATTTTAAAATGTGACGAAATAAACATCAGAATTTGCAGTTTTAGTCCAAAATTTCATATCCGACCTCTCTGATTGACTCGGTCCACTGTGCAACGTTGCGGACTTCTGCGCACATCTTATTTTCTTCGAAGGAGAAGGATAGGACAGTTGAAGTTTCGGAAGTTTCACTGATCCACCGTCCAAAAGGGGAGTTTATTTTGGGCAATGTTCAGAAATTTGTGGGGTTAATCATAGATTTATGCCTATTATAGTTGAAGTTGTTCTAAACCAAGGGTTTCCAGTTTGGTTAGAAAACTTTCGGGTTCATGACAGATTTTAGAGACCAGAATCGGCGGCTTTAAATGTCTATACGAGGAGTTCAATTGGACCGCGTTAAGCAGAAAGGAGCCAAGCCACATCAGCTATTGCCAAATTTAATTGAGAACTTTAATTTTTTACATAAAAAGGGTTGTACAGATTTTTGTGCAAATTTAAGTAAATTTTTTGCACAGTACGAAGCAAATTTCTAAAAATTTTCACAGGAATAAGCGTTTTCTTGTAAAAAATTAAATTGTCCAGTTAAATTTGGCAATGGCTGACCCGGCTCGATTCCTGTCTGCTAAACGCGGCCCAATTTAGTAGAATCAAGGAATTCAAAAGAACTATTGAGGACCACTGACATTTTCAAGTACTTTCAAGGATGTACCTACAAAAAAAAAAAAAAAAAAAAAAAAAACCTAAAAAAAAAGGCTTCAAGAAGTGCTTAAAAATGGAAGATTTATTTTAATGCCTTTAGATATACCTGCTAACTAAGCGTGGAAAAGTACATAAGTTCTATTGAATTATGATAATAATTGGAGTTGGAAGTCAAGAATGATGACACGCAGTACTACATCATTCCTACAGTCTCGTAGACGCTAATATGAGTTTCATGTCAAGTTGTCAACTGACCGACTGACTGCACTGCGTTTGGCGCAATGCGAGAAGTATTCAGGCAGTCTTGCAGGCGCCGATATGGGCTTGACTCCGACCGCACTGTTTGGCGCAATGCGTGAAGTATTCCTAGAGTCTTGCAGACGCTAATACACGTTTAACGCCAACCGCACTGTGTTTAGCACGATTTTCAAACTCGTAGTAGAATAAGTACGGCATTGAATAATAGAATGGTCTGTGTTGTGTTT